TGCACTGGTTACCCGTTACCTTTAGAGTTCATTTTAGATCCTGACCAGAACTTTCAGGGCTCTACATGGTAAAGCTCCTCCCTGTATTACTGAACTGTTAAAGCCTTATGCTCCAACCCGAGCCCTCAGGTCCACACTTCAGAACCTTCTAGAAGTTCCAAAGACCAGATCTAAAAGTCCAGGGGCCTCATATATCAAACCTTCATAGAAAAATTCCTACATTTCTTCCTATGAACGAAGTTTAGAATGTTTGTAGGAACGGTCAAAATCCTGATTCATGAAACATGCGGTGGCCTCTCGTACGCATGTTCCCCCGCACTCGTCTGATGATGATTCCCACCTGTGCATACCCAGGTGCTCGTGTCCATTCTCAGTCATCTACATACAGAAACGCCCTCAATTAACCATATTTGGTCACGCTACATCCTCAGCATGTGAGGGAATTCCCTGCGTTCTAGTCAGGGAAAAAGAAAACTTGTGCGATTGAGACACTTTGTGCCGAAGTGCAAAATAATCAAACAAGTTGCAGAAGTTATGAACACGGTCGGGACAGAGGAGAGGTTCCTGTCAGGAATAAATAAAAACTTTAATTTGATAAATGGTGGAGTAACTCATTGTCATTTACATTTAAGGAGTCATTCTGGATGGGATTAGGGTTAGCCTCTTAGCTGTCACTCAGTCTGGTTACCTTGGCAACGAGTGTGTGATCGGGAAGCAGAGGAGGTTCTCATAGTTATAAAATAGAACATGGACTGGAATCGGATTTGTGCGGTGTACCTGTCGCTCCACAAAGATCCCAAATCCCAATCCAGCTACAGACGGATCTGCTGTCAGCGCGCTCACGGAGACGCGTTCCCTCCAGAAAGGAGCTCTGACAGATTCTTAATAATAACATAGAAACGTTCTTTTATCCAACGCATCTCAAGCAGAATCATGAGGCGTTTCACAAGGGAAAATATAATGTAATAGAATTAAATCAAAAATAACATAAAAACAATTAAGAACATAATAAAAATGGGAAGAGTAACGATTGTGAAATCACGATTCACGTCAGGTGTTTCAGCACCAATTATGTGACTCGGCTGTTTTTCCACCCGAATATTTAATTAATGGGCAAAATAATTAGTGGATGAGGAACATGTGTGGAGACCTTTGGGGTTGCGATTCCCCCGTTCTACCACTAGATGCTGTTCCTATGCATGCTCTGAAGTTTTCTTATGTTTAGGAACGTTTCCACACACAGGTACATGTGAATACCACACCTGCGTAAAATAGTTCCTACTCACGATTTGCGCTCAGATCTGTGCAGAAGTACAGCTGATACACGAGGCTCCTGGTTTTCCTGTTTCCAGACTTTGGAATGATCTTCCTTTGCTCTTACATAGTTTTGACAGCCTGGACACCTTTAAAAAGCAGCTGAAGACCCTTTTTATTCCATTTAAATCTAATTTATAATCATCTTTTATTTGTTTTATGATCATTTCATGGTTTAAGTGAGACAGGACCTTAAAACAAACCTGATGCTCCAGATGTTTCTTTCACTGAGCCCATCTGGAGATAAAACATCTGTCTGTTGAACAGTCGGCATCTGCCCAGCTGTGCTGAGCCTCCAGCCTTAGCAGGTTCCTTTCTGATTGTTTTCTACAGGCGGCCTGGAGGGTTTACGCCACAAATCTGACTCGAACCGACCTGACCTCAACCTGGGATTACTACGAAAGGACGGTGTCTGTCCCCATGTACAGGTGAGACGTCCATGTGAAGATCCCTGTCGTACCTTAAGCTGCAGGATGAAAAGAACATTTTAATGATTTACCTGTAGATGTTTCAGACCTGTAGGTCCAGCATCCTGTGTGCTTTAGGTGTTCTTTGGTTCCACACGCCTAACTAACTCAAACAAACAGATGACAATCAGGCTTTTGTAGACCCTGAGGACCTCCTGAACAGGTGATTTAACAGTGAATCAGGTGTGTCAAAACAAAGAAACAACAGAAAACCTGCAGGACTTTGATGGACATCAGGTGTGGAGATCAAAAGGTTCTGCTTCATGTTTGGGACAGAACCTTTTCTGTCTAAATAAATGAAGGTTCTTGTTATGGTTACAGAGGTTCTCGAGGCTCTGTGTTGTTCTCACTTTAAATGTTGTCTTTGCCTTCCATCCAACCACATTCAGATCCAGTTCAGTTACGGCCTGAGTTTATATTAGGATGCAGATCAATCTAAACTTTCCCAACACGGATCTTTTATCTGAGCGGTTCTGTTAAACCAAAAGCTTCTTTCTGCCGAGACGTTTTACCGAAGCAAAGCTGCTCTCGGTGCCCGACCGGGGGAGGAAGCACAAGCACGGCTCCACTGGATACATGAAGACGTTACCGAGAGGTTTGTGACGCTCCTGCTAATCAGGAGGAGCGTTTACGTCACCTTGCTGAGGCCGGGGTTCCTGTGCAGAGGCTGCTTCCTCTCTGTGGAACAACTTAAGCACTGATCGGACTATCTGTGTCCGGTTATTCCATTCTACTCACAAACTCCTGTAACTGGGATTTGATTCTAAAAGAGTAGTTTCTGTTTATCTTTAGTCACTTTTAGGTTGTTTTACTGATTTTTTTTATTGTTTTAACAGCTCGAGTTTTTGGTTTCGTCATACTTTAGTCAAACTTGCTTGGTTCCTTTTGTTTGTCTCCAGGTTGATTCCTCCTCTAAATCAGCTGGACCTGCTGAGGAACCTCAAGAACAAATCAGGACTTTCCTTTAGGTCAGTGAGATGTTCTACAAATCACTTTACTTGTACAAACTCAGCAACAATAACTGTTATCTCTGAAACCAAAACAAGCAAAATACCTACAATTACTGAGAACTGTTCGAGTGTAAGATCCAACAGAACCAGGACCAAAGCAGCCAGATCCAGGTCTTGGAGAACTTTTTAAGATTTGTTGGATCTAGCTGGACCTCCTAGAGTCCAGACCATAGATGGACCTGGATCTAGAGTCCAGAACCAAAAACCTTTTATCATTTTTTTGGTTCATTTATCTTCAAATGTTACTTAAATTCAGATCAATAAAAGGAATCAATAACTGTGTGTCCGTCCGCAGGAAAGATGTCCAGCCTGAACCGTCTCCGAGGTCAGTCTCCACTTCTACTGCACTCAGTCTGCAGCTAAAGCACTTGATGCTGACAGTTCTCATACTAATAGAGCAGGTCTGAGACTTTGAGCTGAAGTTTGCTGAAGAAGCAGCTGGTGTGAGCAGAAACTAGCGATCGTTTGTCTTAGTCTCAGGTGTTTAGGCTCAAATGAAACAAATAATCTTGTTAGTCAGTGAAGATCTGACAGAATCCATGCTTTGTCGTCTCTGCAGTCAGAAGGTCAGTCTGAAGGAGAGGGTCTTCTCATCTCCGCGGAGTTCAGGAACCAAAGGGAAAAGTTCTCCACAGCATGGTGGGCATCAAAGACACGCTAAAGGCATCTTTTGATGGCAGAAACGCAATCAGATCATTGCAGTGTAATCCACTCTGGATGATTTTGGATTAATCTCATTAAGAATATAAATAGTCTATGTTAACATCAGGAATATGTTTGGGTTTGAATCCTCAGACAGAACCAAAGTCTGGAACTCAATAAAAGTTTACAGAGTGAAAACAAAGAACCAGAAACTCAACTTGTTCTTTCTTTCATACCTTAGTGGTTCCTCCTGTTGGTGTCACCACTGGAGTTGGTGTTGGTCCCGGCGTTCCAGGTACTCCAGGAGGAGCCCAGGCTTTGCGGAGATCTCCCAGCATGGAACCCAATCTAGAAGAGAGTCCCAGCAAAGTTCCAAAAAGCTGGAGTTTTGGAGAACGCAGCAGGACCAGGCAGGCGTTCAGAATCCGAGGAGCAGCATCGCGGCAAAACTCTGAAGGTAAGACAAGCTAGGAGCTCCAATCGGATCGGTCCTGATAGGTCACAGATCCTTGTGTGTGATGTCAGCAGCAACAGAAATACCAAACAAGCAGGACAGCTGGGTGGAGCCTGTCTCTGGCAGCGTACACCTGCACAGGTCAGGAGTTCATCACAGGGCTAACAAACACACTCACTTAAACCCGCGTTTGGGTTAGAGTCAAGGGTTAAGAATGTGCCATTGGATCTCCAGAGGAACCCCACAGAAGAGAACAAGCCCGTGTGGCAACAAATCACAGCATCGACATAAAGGAGCACTTTTCTAGAGAGGTGAACGATCATTTCCTCAAGAATGGAGTTGGAGAAGCAGTGAGAGGAGATAAAGTGAGACGGGTCCAAAGAGGGGGCGAGTTAGCTGGAAAGAGGAGAAAGAAGTGAGGAAAGGATGAATGAAGGAGGAGAGGAAACAGGTTCGCTTGGTCAACTCATCATCTGAGCTTCAGTGGTGATGGTTGGAGATGTTTTAGGTGTTTGAAGTGGTCCTTGTGTTTCCGACTGGTCATGTTCAACACCACACAAACTGATGTAGGGTCAGCTGTTGGAGGTATCCTGATAGATCAGTGACTGAGTAGAAATCACAACAAGCCTTTAGATTTGACAGAATTTAAATAAGCAGCTCTTAAATATTTACATTTAGTCTTTGCGCTAAGCTATGCTAACTCTACCTTTAACTCTATGTTTTTATGTCAAACTAGGCTACTCACTATGCTAAGTCATTTAGCTTTATATGAGAAGTGAGGGCCCGGGCAGGATTCGATCCCCAGACTCCCAGGTGAGAGTCACGTGCGCTAACCAGTCAGCCAAAGGGACATCCCCTTGGCCAAGTAGCCAGGGCGCATGATCAATCGGGACATTGTGACAGGACGCTCACACTGCCACATTAACCTAGGCTAGCATTTGTTTTAAGTGTTCGTACTTTGCTAGATTAAGGTTTTTTCAGATTGTAGGCCAGGTTAGACTACCGGTTTTACATTTTATGCTAAGCTTAAGAGTTAATTTATACTTATGCTAAGCTAGGCTAACCCATGGGAATGAGGACATTTGGGATTGGCTGCCTGGCTTGGCCACAGAACCAGTGATGATGAGTCTGATCTTTGTCTGATGAAGGTGTTTCCTCTCTCCTCTTCCTCCTGTAGTGCTGATAGAGATGCAGGATGAAGAGTTCAGACAGAAGAACTCCCCAGGTCAGCACACACACACACACACACTCACATGGAAAGGAGCTGTCTTAGGGATCTGGACTTCCTGTCACATGACTCAATCTTCTAGGAACCCACAGCGTTCTTCAGGGGAGGGCGTGGTGCTGAAGGAAGCCTCACTCGTGTTTCCTTCTTGTTGTTTCAGAGGCCAGCTTACCAGGGGAAGACATGGTTGATGACAACAAGAGCTGTCACTGTGAGTTTGTCCCCCAGGATCTGACACCGGGGTTAAAGGTCACCATCAGAGCCATCTGGTATGCTCCGTCTGTTGAAGGCTCACCTGTTTTACCTGCCAGCCATTCGTCGCTTTATTCACTTTTTTTATTTGCTGTGTATTTTACAAAGATTCATAGTTTTTTATTCACATTATTTTCATTTATTTATTTTTTATTTATGCTCAACCCAGGGTCAAAGGTCACCATCAACTGTTGGGTAAGAACAGTCAATCTGACATCACTTAGCTTCATTATTTTTGTTGTCTCACTGTGTTCTGTCATATTTAACTGAAGCTCCTTCTTTATTATTATTTGTCTGCAGCAGTACTTCAGTCCTGTTTAGTTACTTTATGATCTCGCATCCTGGAGCTTAGATATGGATGTAAATGGCCTGTATGTGTATAGCACCTTCTTAGGGGTCGACAACCCCCCAAAGCGCTTCACAACACAGTCATGCACCCATACAAACGCTGGTGATGATGAACTACAGTGTAGCTACAGCTGCCCTGGGGCGTACCAACAGAACCCAGACTGCCGAACGCTTGTTGTCTTCCGCTGATTACCTGCAACACTCCTAGGAAACCCAAAACGTCCTTTCTCCATTGTCCCCAAGGTGATTCCAGGACACCCTGGAGATGTGGTCCTCCAGCATGTTGTGGTTTAGCCATAAGCATGTTGTCCCAGACAAACCTGAAACCCCTCCCCTCGGAGGAGCTTAGGTGATGACTAACCACATGCCTGAAAACCCACAGCTGGCTCCTCTTGATGTGGAGGAGCAGCTGTTGTCTCCCATGAGGTCCAAGTTCCTCAAGGCTGAGCCCTGTGGAGGAAACCGAACTTGGTCTCCCTTTCTCCAAAGCTCCTGACCATAGATGGCGGTTGGAACCAAGATTAACTTAATTCAGAGCTTCACTTTCTGGCTTAGCTCATCTCCAACACAACAGACCAGTTCAGCAGCTCCCTCACTAATCAACAACACCCTGAGATCCTTAAACTCCTCCACCTGAGGTAGGACCACTCCTGTAGAGCCATGGCCTCAGATCTGGAGATGCTGGCCCTCATCTCAGCTGCTTTCACACCTGGCTGTGAACCTCCCCAGCAGGAGCTGAAGGTTGTTGTTTGGTGTTTATTATCCACAAAAAGCAGAAACCCACCAAACCAAACCCCGACCCCCATGGGGGTGCCTACAAATTTTGCCCATACAGACCCATCAGAACTATTCAAACGGAGAAGGACCTTAGTCGTGGAGTACGACCAGTTCTTCCCTTCAGACACTAGACTCTGTCCATAAATGTGGTCCTCTGTGGCCAGCTCAGACTAGGACCTCCACGTCAGTACCTGAGTCCACCTGGGTCCTCAGGTGTTAACTGCTGGTTTCCCGTTTCTTTCCTCAGCATCATGCGCTTCATGGTGTCCAAGAGGAAGTTTAAGGAGAGTCTTCGTCCGTATGATGTCATGGATGTGATTGAACAGTATTCAGCTGGTCACCTGGACATGCTTGCTCGCATTAAGAACCTGCAGGCCAGGTGAGCTGCTTGACCCTTGATCTCGTTTCCTGATCTTTCATGTTTAACTTTGTTTCTCCTGACCGGCAGAGTGGATCAGATTGTTGGTAGAGGCACACCGATTGCAGACAAAGACCGTCCTAAAGCAGCAGGTGAGGAGATACCTGAGGACCCGAGCATGATGGGACGTCTAGGGAAGGTTGAGAAACAGGTGAGCTGTTAGCCACAGCAGAACGAAAAGGTTCTGAAACTACTCGAGCTCTAAATCAGGCTCTGCTGGTCTTCAGGTCCTGTCCATGGAGCGGAAGCTGGACTTTCTGGTAAACATCTACATCCAGCGAATGGGAATCCCTCAGGCTGAGACGGACGCCTACTTTGGATCTAAGGAACCAGACCCGGCGCCGCCCTATCACAGTCCAGTGGATCATCTGGAGAAGAGCCAGTCCATCTCCAAGATCCTGCAGTGAGTGTTCCTCAGAAACCAAAAATCATAAATGTACCAGAATCAGATGTTTGGCTCTTCTGAAATTCACCTGTAGCAATAGGCACTCCAGGTAACCATGGTGACAGAACAGGTAGCCGTGGTTCTGAATGCTATCATGTTTGCGTCTCATGTAGAGTGTTGCCTGGCGACCACCTGGACAGGACTCGGTTTGTGACCAAGATGGTCCGCTCCAGCAGCTCAACTGGACACAGGAACTACACTTCCCCCATTTGCCCCCCCTCCACCTCCTGGCAGCCTATCAGCTCCCAGTTCCACCAGCAGGCCCCTCCCCCACAGCGCAGCCATGGTAACACCCCCAGCCCAGTAGGGGATGCGTCACTGGTCCGACTGCCTCCTCCTCCTGCTGGTGAGAGACACGGGGGTAACCGCTCAAACCGACACAGCACCGGAGACCGAGGAGGTTCTGAGAGAGCAGAGAAGGGCGGAGACAGCAACGGGACCGGAGCCGGAGACGAGGTGAAGCCCGACAGCGACACCTCCATCTCCATCCCTTCAGTGGACCACGAGGAGCTGCAGCACTCCTTTAGCGGCTTTTCCATCTCCCAGTCCAGAGAGAACCTGGACTTCCTGAACAACGGATTCTACACATCAGCCAGTCTGGTGGAGCAGCAGGGAGGTCCCGGCTCTGCCCGTTGCACCACTGTCCGACCTTACATCGCAGAGGGCGAGTCTGACTCAGAATCTGAGCTCTGCGCTCCCTCACCGCACTCGGATCATGCTTGGACCAGTACCAAGTAGAACCAGGATTACCCAGAACTGAATCAGAACTTCTCCACATGTGAGGAACTCTGAAACCTCTTCAGACTTGAATCACCAGCTGGAGGTTGGAGCGAAGCATTGTGGGAGCTGATGATCAGCACGTTGTACATTTGTTCTGTCACTGACTCGCTTACACCTGATTGGTTCACCGCTCACTAACTTATCACACTCGTGTTTTAACACGTCAGCATGATGGTGACAAGAGCGTTTAACCAGCAGGAACTCCGTTCTGGGATGAGTCAGATCTCCAAAATGGAGTCGACACCAGCCAATGAGGGAGAGGCTTCCAGTACAAACACCCTGACCAGTTCAATCCAGATGTTTTTTGTCCAGTTTACAGAATTGTATTGTTTTGTGTTTAAACCCAGAATGAGTCGGGTTTCTGCAGCAAAAACAGCTGATTAACCACAACAACTTTATTTAAACTGTCACAGAATAAAGAGAACGAGACAACACGGAAAACCCCTGACACTCATTTCTTCTTTTTGGACCTACAAAACAAAACAGAACGTTTGACTCAGACACGTTTGACTCAGGTGAACGACTTAGACCGGGTGAGCCTTACCTGGAACCAGCCGAGTGTTTTTTGTTCAAACCCAGACGCTTTCTGTCTGCAAAGGATGGCCTGGGGAAAGAGAGACAGGTGGTAAGACAGAGAAAGTCAGGCAGACAGGCAGACAGACAGGTAACAAGTCTCACCCTGCTCTGAAGTGTTTCAGAGACTTCCTGCTAGTGTTGGTCAGCTCCTCATCAAATACGGACTTCTTTCGGCCTCCTGCTGCTTTCTGATTGGCTGCTGCACAGAACCAGTTTATTAAAGTCAGAGTTTTTATTCTGATTAAGATTAGACAGATGAACTTCTCTAAAAATGTACAGAAATTATTTAATCTGCAGCTAAAGATAAAATGGAACAGCAGAACAAATGAAATAATTTACCTCTAGTTAGAAAAGTACTTAACCACGCCAGTAGGGTTGGGTATCGAGCATCGATTGGAACTGGTTCCAACTGTTAGTTTTTCCCAGAATCGTTCAAAGTTTTTTAATTCGATTCCTAGTTTCGATTCCTAGAATGCCGACCAGAAGAATACGCGGCCGATCTTCATGAAAAATAAACGTGATCTGCAAATTGTGATCAAGCTTGTCAGAGCTGATCACACCAGCTGTCTGTGTGCAGCACCGAGTCCAGTCCCCCCTCCCCCCACCCAGGCACGCAGTTAGGGTGGGGGACGGGGGGCATCTGTCTCCCCCAGATTCAGATCGACCCCGATCCGTCCCCCGCACTAAGGCCAGAAAGAAAACAAAATCGGAGGTTAAGCGCTTGAAGCTCCTTTTTCCAATTACACTGAATGTAGCATGACGTAAACAAACACCAACTCCAAAGGCGCCAAAGTGGTTGCTGCTAGGATGCAGGATGAAGCAAAAAAGGCAAGAAAAATTACTGCGTAGACCAACAGTGTAGATCTGTCTTGTTTATGCATGTTGGTTATAGTGTCAGTAGGCTACATAGTGATCAGTGTTGGGACTTACTCGTTATAAGCTCCAAAGCCTCATTACTGACTTTAACAAGTCTCATCTACGCGCAACATGAAGAGCGCAAATGTTAGATAAAACGTATCATTGCCAGCAGGTCTGGTCTTTGCTGACTGACTCTGATTATGAAGCAGAATATTGACTCTGATAAAGAAATTCACTCATCCAGCCGGGAAGATTGACGCTGTTGCAGCATCAGACAGCTGGTGCTGCACGAGAGGTGTGTGGAGCTTACAAGCTCCAAACGTTGGGTTTGATGTTTAACCTTCTCTGGGATGTGATGAATGTAGAAATGATGGTAAAACACCGCTAATGTGACAGACGTAGCGACAAGGTAAAAAAAAAAAAAGCTGTAAAAAACAGGCAGATGCCGATGCGTTAGATATGGAAGTCAAGTGTGCCACATAATCATAAAAAGTAAAATATAAAATTTTAAAAGAGCTTTATATATTTATATATAAATTAAAACTTTGCAAATACAATGAAAATGTCTAAATAACGTAACAATACGAAGGAACATCTGTTGGTCAGGCTGAAAAGTGTGGGAACCACTGCTCTAAGTGATAAGTGAATAGGGTCAAGAATCGATTGGAACCGGTTCCAACTGTTAGTTTTTCCCAGAATTGTTCAAAGTTTAGTTCGATTCCTAGAATGCCGACCGGAAGAGGAATCTGCGGCAGATCTCCGTGAAAAATAAACGTGATCTGCAAATTGTGATCAACTCTTTTCAGAGCTGATCACACCAGCTGTCTGTGTGCAGCACCAAGTCCCCCCTCTCCCCACCCGGCATGCAGCGGCCAAACATAAACAAACGCGTCTGCAGAACTTTTACTCCATAATGTAAACTTTAACTCCTGCAGCATAGAGGACACTTGTTAAAATATGTCAACTCTGGATTTAATAGAAGCTTTAAAGAACAAACTCTGGACAGTGTGAGGTGAGTTTGTCTCACTGCAGAAATAAAAACACACACGGAGCGTCAGCAGTCAGGCGCAGCCACTCACCAACACTCGTGTGTGTGTGTGTGTGTGTGTGTGTGTGTGTGGGTCTGTGTGTGTGTGTGGGTCTGTGTGTGTGTGAGCATCAGAAGGCTGAACAATAATCTGTAGAAAAATTAAAGTTGTCATGCTAGAGCAACTTCTCTGTGGTGGACCACACCAGCTTCTGCCACAATAAATAATTATAATAATAATAATAATAATAAATCACACACAAAGTTGTGGACATTTTAATTTCCTTTCTGAACTATTTCTGTTGAGAGTTTTAATGTTTAAATCTGTTAGATTGTTACTGACAGCAGCTACATTTAAGTTTCACTTCCTGTTCTGACTGATCGCTGCTGCAGCATGGAGGTGTAGTTCTCAGTCATCCTGGACATGATCATCCTGAAAGTTTTAGCTGAAAACAGCTGGAAGTTTCTGGATATGTTGGAGACATTTAGTCTCTCATCCCAGAGGATTCTTCCAGACTTTGGTTGTGGTCAGAAACAAACACACCGGTTGTGCTGCAAGTCTTTTTCTTTTTTTCTCCAAAATATGTTTTGTCTAAATGAAGGTGATGTTGTTGTTCATAGAATTAAAATTCACGTTGAAGTTCAGGTTATTTCATCAAGTAGGACCTGTGGTTAGCTAGCTCATGTAAAACATGTCATGTCTTGAAAGAATCGGAATCGAAACGAGGAATTGGAATCGTTCAAAATCAAACAATGCCCAACCCTACTTGCCAGTGTGTTTTGTTATGTGTGTATTTTGTGTGTTTGGACCTTTCTGTGGCATCTCGTCCTCTGGCATTGCTCGCGCTCGTTTTGCTCGTCGATCCCTTTTGGCAGCTCGCTCCGCGAACATCTGTGCCTTCAGGATCTCAAACTGAGCGCGCTCATCAGACTGTGACATCACATAAAAAGGTGTGTGTCTGTGTTAGGGTTTCTCTGTGAGGGTGAGGATAATTGATCAGGGGTTGAATTTACCGTCAGCTCTTTCTTCTTCATGCCTTCCTTCAGGAACTTTTGTCTCTTCTTCTTTCCTCTGAGAGCCAAATCAAACTCCTGCAGCGCCTTCGACACTGGGACACACACAGAGTTAGTCACACACACAATCACAGGGTTACACACACACACACACGACAGGATCAAAACTCACTGCGACTCTGTTTTCGTTCCTGTTGCGTCTGAAACCAAACTCTCTGTGATTGACTGGAGGAGGCGGAACCATCTAGACGTTTCTGAGCCACACTCAGCTACACACACACACACACACACACACACACACTGTTATACGTTATTTTTGACACCAGATGTTCAGGTGAGCAGCGGGTCAGGTGTACCTTGGCCTCTGATGCAGCCAGTTCTCGTTCTTCTCTCTCTAGCTTCATCACTGCTTCAACGTCTTTCTCTAGCTTGGAAATCAGGTCTCTGAACTTCAAGATGACCTCTGGGTGGGACACAGGCACAGTTCAGTCACACCTCACCTGTAGAGAACATCAGGTAACCTCCTGGTCATGAGTCGATACCTGGTGGCAGGACACGGGCCTTCACACTGTTCTTGGCTGTCTTCACCACCTCCTTCAGCATCTTCCTCTCAGACTCTCCAACCAAAGACACAGAACGCCCTGAGCGTCCAGCTCTCGCTGTCCGACCCACTCTGTGGACGTAGTGTTTGACTGTGGAGGGCATGGTGAAGTTTATGACCTGAAGGACACATGGAAACAGGTCCAGGTCAGGAGAAATGTCCCACATTTATCGGTGCTTCATAAAACCATCTCAACACTGTTGCTTCACCACAATTCTGAAGCTCATTTGTGGATGGGAGGACCCGGAATCAGGTTCAGAATCTGAACTAGTGCCGAAAAACGTGCTTCGTTAGGAAAGGTCCTGATATTACGGCTCTAACGACCACTTTTCTAACCCGACTGGAGGAAATTTTACTCCTTTTATGAAACCGTCTAAGCCTGACCAACGCCAGATACAATAAAAACAAGCGCAACCAAAACGCTGGTTTTCTGAACATCTCACCGTTTTCACTCCGTCGATGTCCAGACCTCGAGCTGCCACATCTGTCGCCACCAAAACATCGATCTGTTCATCTTTGAACCGCCTGCAGAACACGGAGAACAAGGAAGCGTGAAACTATGGCGATACAACAGAACCACCGCAGCATGGAGGACGGCGGTCACGGCGCTCAGCTCCGGTGTACTTTCCTTTTTGGGCAGGCAGAAGTGTTAAATAAGACAACAAAAAAAAACCTCTGAACATCCATTACCAACAGGACTAACAACCCAAACTAAGATTGTACCTGAGGTTCTCCAGTCTCTGGTTCTGGCTCAGTTCGCCGTGCAGTTCTCCAACTCTCAGGCCCACCAGTCCCAACAGGATGTGCAGCCTGTGAGCCTGTTTTCTCGTCTGAGTGAACAGCATCACGTGGTCCTGGAAGGTCCGGGTCAGCAGAGCTGAGAAACCACAGTGTTCAGTACAAGGAAACGCGTTCCACAGACAACACAACCCCAGGAGGACTGGTTCCTACCTGCAACCACAGCCTCTCGGTCGCCTTCTCTGTGTGGTCGGATCCGGACGAACTCCTGTCGCAGGAACGGAGCGACGTCTGTGTTGCTGTTCACAAAGATCCGGATGGGCTGCTTCAGCGACACTGCTGCTAGATCCTTGACCTGCAGACACAGGTCACATGACCCGCAAAGGGCACAAGTCATATGACCCGAATAAAACACCAGGGGTGTGAACCACAAAAGCACGGGTCAGGTGACCTGGTGCGTACCTCTTCTGTCATGGTGGCGGAGAACAACATGGTCTGTCTGTTGTAAGAACACAACCTGATGACCTCCTTCATCTGTTCTTCGAAGTACTCGTCCAGCATCCTGACAGAACCAGACAGCATCAGAGCGGTGTTCTGTGACCCGTTCCTCAGATGTGAATCCTCACCTGTCCGCCTCATCCAGGATCAGGATCTCGATGTGGCTCAGCTCGAAGCTCGGCGTGTTATGAAGGTGATCGATCAGTCGGCCAGGTGTAGCTATCAGGACATCAGGTCCTGCCCTCAGCGCCGCCTCCTGAGACTTCAGGTCCAGACCGCCTGGACAGAACAACATGGTTCAGAAAACCACCAGAACCAGTTTGAACTGGGTTTGATCCATGCGCAGCCAGGAGGCGTTCGTACCGACAGCCAGGCAGGTGGTGATGGAGGTGAACTGGGCCAGCTGACGGGCCACAGAGTGAACCTGGATTCCCAGCTCTCTGGTAGGAACCAGAACCAGGACCCTGGTCACCTGGGATGTCCTGGGTTTATAAATCAAACGCTCCAACACAGGAAGCATGAAGGCTGCCGTCTTCCCTGAGGAGACCACACGTTTATAACATAACACCAGAACGCTCCAGGAGACCAAGCTACGGATGGTTCTGGATCACAGAACAGGTGAGTTGGGATTGTTCTGATCTAGCTAACATGCTACCACCTGGGTTAATGAATAGCTAACTGGTTCCAGTAGGTCAGCGGTACCTGTTCCAGTAGCAGCACAGGCACACAAATCCCTGCCCAGTAGGCCGACCGGAACACAGGCCTTCTGGATCGGTGTCGGTTCCTTAAAGCCCAACGCTGTGATGGCCTTCAGCAACAAAACAAACAGGAAAGGACAGATACTGGTGAGACTGGTCTGGATCTGGGCTACGGCCTGGTTTGGTACCATCGGTTCTGACTACACGGGTCTCTAGAATTCCCTTTGTTTGGGTTTTACCTTCAGGATGGGTCTGGAAAGGTTCATGTCTTCAAAGGTCAGTTGATCGTTGAACTGAGACGCATCTTCATAAAATGACTCTGCAGCCTGAACACAAACATGGTTGTTACTATGGTAACGCAGCACATTTAACCCATCAGAGCCACCTCTACTCCTCCTCACCTCATCCTTCCTCTTCTTCCCTCGACGTTCCTTCTCCCTCAAGGTGTCTGACAGGAAACAGGAAGTGAGAAACATAAAATCCAAAACTCGTGAGTCTGTTTCAACTGCAGGTCAGATGTGTGTGTGTGTGTGTGTGTGTGTGTGTGTGTGTGTGTGTGTGTGTGTGTGTGTGTGTGTGTGTGTGTGTGGTTTAAACTTGAACATTTATATTTAGCTTTCCTGTCACAAAATTACAAAAACCTTCAGCAAACAAACATTTCCCAGACCGATCCCAAACCCTAACTGAATGCCGTCTGCTTGATTGAATCACATCTTCACACAAACAGCTCAAAACAAAAAACTCTAGTAATTCCACCTGATTTGGTGAGAACCTCTTCATCAGCTGAGTCAAACTCCTCCTCGTCTTCTTCCTCCTCCTCCTCTTCCCCATCATCACCATCATCAGCAGCATCAGCAGCATCTCCTGCAGGAGGCTCATCCTCCTCCTTTGGCTCTACTGAACTTCCAGCTGTGGTACTGGAGGATTTCTCCTAAAAATAAACTGATATAATTAAGCATGAACAACAAATCAACGGTGAAGTGAAGCTGGACCAGAAACTGACCTCAGCTTTCCTCTGCTTCCTGATTTTCTCTATTTTCTGATCCAAAGTAGTCACCGTTCTCTGCAAACAGAAACAAACTCAGCTGGAGAACATTCTGCTGACATCCGAAGAACAGGGTTCCTGTCGGATTCTACCTTCTTCTTGAGCTGCTTTAGGACATCTGCCATTGGCCAGTCGTCATCGAGGTTCAGCCCATCTCTCTCTTCAAAGTCAAAGTCACAGTTAAAGTCTCTTGATGCTTGATTCCCAAACTTCTTCTTCCTGTTCAGGACAATCGGCTCCTCCTGCAAACAAAAGCGGTACACAAATCAATCATCTATCAAATATCTTATTTCCAGATGTTCCCAGCAGACTGCATGTTTCCTTGTGGTTTCATGAGGTTCTAACAGATGAACGGGAGGCAGAGCTTTCAGGTTCCAGGCTCCTCTCTGGTGGGGAAGACCCTCCTGTCTGCTTCAGACCGTCCTCTCTCTAAAGCTGCACGCTCGTGCTGGCTCATCCCTTTAGTTATGCTGCTATAGGCTCAGACTGCTGGAGGATATCCTGACATCACATCATGGAGTTACGAAGACACCAGACACCTGAAGGAACCCTGGTTTTGTTTTAGAACCTCCGTGAGAAAGGGTCACGTGACACCCAGCTAACCCTAACCCACCGGTTTGTTTGATCTGTTTGTGTTCTGATCGCGCCCCTGGGACTTAAACCGATTCCGTGGGAAGTTCTGGTTCTCCTCCGGTGTTACGGACCGACCTACCTCCTGCTCGGACTCTGTGTCGGGCTCATCCGGACTCTGGTCCTCGTCCCGGATGGTTCCGATCAGACCGAACTGTTCCAACATGACTCCAACTCTGTTTTTACGGGTTCTGAAGGATCTTTCCACACGTTCAGTTACACACGTGTGGACGGAAACCGGAAATGTTCATTGTTATTTCCGGTTAGTGCCGTCTCCTGGTGGCTTAGCGCCACCTGCTGGTGCGGAGCAGCAAACCGTTCATCCTATAAAAGCAGCTAACAGCAAAGATCTGTGCTCAGTGTAAATTTTCATCCCTCAGTGAAAAATATTATATTAATTGTAGGTATAAAGAATTGGAAAAGATATGTAAAGCGATCCCAGTAGCACTGATTCAGCTAATTAAAAACATTATAATAAATTCCGTTGTGATCATTACAATACCTACGTTAAGAGTGAATAATTGCAACTTACTTGAAAACAAATGTAATAACAAGAACATTAATGATGGTATGCGACAAAAGATTTATTATGATTACAACAGAAGTAATTTGAAGAAGTTTACAAACTGCGAAGTCACAATGGCTTTTGCATATTCAAAACTTGGCCTGTTTCTCAAAAGGTAAAAGAGACTCATTTTAAAATAATAAATGGAATATGTCCTGTATCTAAGTTTCTGGAAAGAAGGTTTAAACTTGATGTTGATTTGTGTGCTTTTTGTAAATCAGAAGATGAATCCCTGCAACATTTGTTTTATTATTGCCAACATTCATGAGTTTTTTGGAATGACATTAATGAATAGAATAATCTCAAACTAACTATTGATTTTTTTTAAGTTGGTGATATTCTGTTCTATGTGAAGGACTTGAATGCGACTTTTTCTGATGCTATCAATATGGTTGTATTGTTAGCCAAATATCACATCCATTGCAATAAATGGAGGGGTACCAAGCCCTCATTCCCATGCTTTTTGAGCAAATTTAAACTATTCTATTGTTCATTAAGTAAAATGAAAAAATGGAAAAAAATGCAAGAATCAATTCTCATCTAACTGAGAACTTTCTGTTTTGAGTTTCCTATGTAACTCATGCGCTGTTGTTTTTTATGTTATTTTTTTCTTTGATAAGCCCCTTAGCCTGTTTTAAGCTTACATCCTCCATGAGAGTGTGTACCTTAATGTGGTACCTTGTTCTGTTGTCTTTGTTCAGGAATAATAAAAAAATGTAAAAAAAATCTGTGCTCAGTGTTTCCCAGTTACTGACCCCTTGTCTGTTTGCTTAATTAAAAATAAATCAAATGTTTATGTTTATGTATTTAGCAGACGCTTTTGTCCAAAGCGACTTGTGATAATCGGCATGTTGCCCTTGAGGCTAACAACAACAATAACAACAACAACATTGACATCACTCATGGAGAGGAGGGAACAAGGAGTGGACGGTAGAGAGAGGGGACATGTGCAGGCAAGGTGCTAGTTAAGAAGATGCTCTCTGAAGAGCAGGGTCTTCAGGAGTTTCTTGAAAATTGAAAAGGAAGCCGCAGTTCTGGTAGTGCTTGGAAGGTCATTCCACATTTGTGGAACAATGCATGAGAAGAGTCTGGATTGCCTGAGCGTGGTGTAGGCACTGCTAGCCGACGATCCTGTGATGACCGGAGCGACCGGGCTGAGACGTAAGCCTTTGCAAGAGGATTCAGGTAGATGGGAGCCGTACCATCTCGGACTTTGTATGCTAGTGTTAGCAATTTGAATTTGATGCGTGCTGCTAGCGGTAGCCAGTGGAGCTCAATGAACAGAGGGGTGACGTGTGCTCTTTTTGGCTGATTGAAGACCAGACGCACCACTGTGTTCTGGACCATTTCAAGAGGTCTCACAGTACAGCCTGGAAGACCAGTTAGAAGGGCATTGCAGTAATCAAGGTGGGAGATGACAGTGGATTGCACCAGGAGCTGGGTGGCATGTTGTGTTAGGTATGGTCTGATCTTTCGTATGTTATACAGCGTAAAGTGGCATGAATGAGCAACAGAGGCAACATGATCTTTAAAGGTCAGGTGTTCATCAATCCCAACACCCAGATTTCGAACTGCCTTTGAAGGAGCCAGAGATGGGAAGTCATTTTGGATTGAGATATTGTGCTGTATGGATGGTTTTGCTGGGGTGACAAGTAGTTCAGTTTTAGATAGGTTGAGATGGAGATGGTGGGATTTCATCCATTTTGATATGTCAGAGAGACAGTTTGATATTCGTGCAGAGACAGTGTGGTCGTCCGGTGGAAATGACAGATAGAGCTGGGTGTCGTCTGCATAGTAGTGGTAGGAGAAGCCATGTGATCGAATGATCTCACCCAGTGAGGTGGTGTATATGGCAAAGAGAAGAGGTCCTAGTATAGAGCCCTGGGGGGCTCCTGTGGCAAGATGGTGCATGGTAGAGGATTGTCCAAGCCAAGATACACTGAATGATCGTCCTGTGAGGTACGACTCAAACCAGGCGTGTGCTTTCTCCGTGATGCCCATGCTAGAGAGTGTGGACAAAAGGAAGCCATGGTTGACCGTGTCAAATGCAGCCGATAAGTCGAGCAGGATAAGCACTGAGGATTTTCCTGTCGCTCTAGCTTCTTTTAAGGATTCAGTCACTGCTAACAGAGCAGTTTCAGTGGAGTGGCCCATTTTGAACCCAGACTGGTAAGGGTCAAGCAGACAGTTTTGTGAGAGGCATTCTGTGATCTGCTTGAAAGCCACCCTTTCAATGATTTTGGACAGAAAAGGGAGGAGAGAGATAGGTCGGTAGTTCTCCACATGATTTGGAGGAAGAGATGTTTTTTTTTTAGCAGCGGTTTAACCTGAGCATGCTTGAGAGAGGTGGGAAATGTACCAGATGTCAGTGATTCGTTGATCACATGTGTGACAGCTGCGGCTACTGTAGGAGCAATAGCTTGGAGCAGCTTAGTCGGAATGGGGTCAAGTGGGCATGTAGTAGGGCGGCTGCACGTGAGAAGCTTGGACACACAGTTCTCAGTGAGAGGGAAAAAGAGGAAAATGAAGCAGTAGGGCCTGAGATGGTTGGGCTTGAAGGAGTTTGTAGTAACGAATGTTCAGGAGTGGCCAGTTGAGTAGACTGTTTGCTTATAGCTGCCACTTTGTCAGTGAAGAATGAGGCAAAGGTGTCAGCTGATAGATTGTTGGTAGGAGGTGGAGAAGGAGGGGTGAGCAGAGTTTTGAATGTTGAAAATAGTTTCTGAGAGTCAGTAGAGCTGAGAATTTTGTCAGTGTAGAAAGCTTTATTTGCATCAGTGATGCTGGCTGAGAATGAGGACAGTAATTCATGAAATTTTAATTGATCACCACGATCTTTTGTTTTGCGCCATTTCCGTTCCGCAGCTCTAAGATTGGTGTGTAGAGACCGGAGGGTATCATTTAGCCAAGGGTGCGACTGAGAGGATTTAGCAGGTCTAGTGGCTAAAGGACATAAGTCGTTAAGACAAGAGCAGAGTGTGGAGCAGAGAGACTCGGTGGCTTCATTCACTTCATAAGCAGAGAATGTGCTGGGAGATGGAAGAGTGGAGGCAACAAGAGAGGAGAAGTAGTTGGGTACCAGACTGCGGAGGTTGCGGCGGAATGAGACCACTGGGGAGGAAGCAGTGGACCTCCCATGTAAAGTCGTGCTGAAATGGATGAAGTAATGATCCGAAAGATGCAGCGGTGTGACAGAGATTGTGTCTATGGCACAGTTTCTGGTGAAAATGAGGTCAAGTGCTTTTCCAGCTTTGTGAGTTGGAGGACTTTGTACTAGTTTTAAATCAAATTATGACATTAGTGATAGGAAGCCTGATGAGCTGGGATTGTCCAGGTGAATATTCATGTCTCCAAGGACCATTGTGGGACAGTCGTGCTCAGAAATGGAGGAGAGCAGGGTGTTGAGTTCATCAAGAAAGTCTCTGAGTTGACCTGGTTGTCGATATATGACAACCAAAAATATTTTTTTCGGTACAGTTACCTGGATGGCATGGGATTCAAAGGAGTTGTATTTAGTGATGGGTAGCAACTGACTGTATATCCATTTGTTGGAAATTAAAATGCCCGTTCCACCACCTCGGCCAGATGCACGTGAAGTGTGGGAGAAAGTGTGGTTAACTGAGAGAGCAGATGGGGTAGCATTGTCACATGGTTTTATCCAGGTCTCAGTGAGAGCCAGTGCATCAAGTGACAGGTGGTTTGCGTATGCGGTAATGAAGTCAGCTTTGTTTACAGCTGATTGGCAGTTCCACAGTCCCATAGACAGGTGGGTGTCTTCGGGGGGAGTTGGTTTTAGCGAGCGGAGGTTTTGAAGGTTGCAAAAGCGGTTTGCTGTGTGTGACCTTCCTCTGAAGCCAGTGATCACAGGTATAGGATAACGGCACATCTTGCAAAGTGTCGATGAAGCCGCGTCTGGGTTGAGTTTGTTTGCTCTGTGTACCTGCTGTCACGGTCCGTGGTGAGCCTCCTGCATTTCACCTGTATTTTCTGAGCATTGTTTTCAGGTGGGCGTGTCTGAGAGTCTCCAGCTGCAGCCAATCCAGTCATTACGGCCCAGGGGATTTAAGGAGCAGTGTGGCACTTCACTTCGCCGGATGATTACTCTATCTTGGGTAGCTCTAGCCTTAACCTGTCTTGATCCTGTGAAATTTCTAGTTCCTAGTCACTAACCTGTATTTGAAGCTCTGCTTGATTTCTGTCGTCAGAAGAAACCCTGATAATCCTCCCCTGCTCTGCTCCAGGTTTCTCTTTCACACTCCACCACCTCCATAACCAGCTTGGACTCCTGCACACCAGATCACGCCGTCTCCTCCCCTGGCCGCTCGCTCTCAGCCGCTCACCTGCCTCCACCAAACCGCTGCTCCTACCTACTCTCTGGACCAACAGTCCCATCACCTTCTGGAGCTTTCCTGCTCACCCGGACCTGACCAGTCCCTCCGGAGGTTCTCACCACTACTGCAATCAGTAAGCTCCACTCCCAATATCATTCTCCGTCATTCCTCCATATACTCATTTTATCTCCCTCCTCAGAGTTCCATCCTGAAATCTTGCTGCCAGCCTGCCCGTCGTCTGTTCCCCTCGTTGCCCTTCAGTACATAATAAAGTCGTTTTACTTACTTACTGGTTCCTGTGTGGTGATTCTGCATGTCGTGGGTCAAAAGATTGCCGCCCGCCATGACACCTGCTCTGTGGACACTAGACACGTATGTCTTTACCCCGGAGTGTCTTCACACCGGAGGGGCAGAGACACAAGGGCTGACGCTTCCGCTGACGCTTCACTTATGCCATCAAACTTATGCTGTGCTACTAGTTGGAAAATAACAACAATAATGTATTATTGTTGTTATTTTTGTGGGCTCATACATCCAACATGTAATTTTGTGAATCCAGAAACAACCTCAGAAGTTTGCTAACTGAAGCAGAGGAAGTTGAAAGCACGCAAACCGCCCTCTAGTGGCTGGCTGCAGTACACACACGCAGAGTATTTCTAAAAATTAACACACACACACACACACACAAAACTTTTACCGGCTGCTCACTTTTGTTACCTTGTGTGTTCCTAACTAACGTTTCTAATATGTTTTGCTTAAAATATTCTGATTGTGTGAGAGGTCGTTCGTATGACTAATCATCACATCATGATTATAACAGCTTTAAGCTGCTGACTAATGTGGATGAGAGGGTTCAATTTCAACTCTGGATGTTCAGAGCAGAAATAACTCATTCTGAGTTTGCTTCAGTATAAAACTTATATCTCTATTTACATGAAAGGTTTTCTCTAAATGATCTCAGAAACACAAACTCGAAGTCAGAACCAGTGAAGATAGAAACTTTTTAACATCAAGATGTTTCATAAAGTGTGAAATACCAGGAGAAACCCTCCCAGTCTGTACAGAGGAGCAGCGGGGGAGGAGGAGGAGTCAGTGCCTCAGGACAAAACTCTGCCCAGACTGTGAGACAGTCAGAGTGAACGGAGACAGGAGAGCAGACAGAACCAACCAGAGAACGACGAGTCAGAACTCCTCCTCCTGCTGCTGGTCAGTGAGTTTCATCTTCAGGGTTTCAGAGGAAAAGTTCATGAGCTGCTGAAAGAAAGAAAAACTTATAAACAGACATGTAAACAGGTAGACGTGGAAACGTCATGTCCAGGTGAGTTGCGTGTTTTGGAGATCATCATGAAACGTTAGTTAGGAACACGCAAGGTAACAAAAGTGAGCAGCTGGTAAAAGTTTTTTTGGTGTGTGTGTGTGTGTGTGTGTGTGTGTGTGTGTGTGTGTGTGTGTGTGAACCTGCTGCTGGCGGTGCTGCTAAATATGTCAGCTTTTTTCAGGCTTCGGCTGCAGCGTGGACCTCCAGCTTCTGATCTCCATCAGGGGTTGTCTACAGGAACATGAACATGTCTCCTGTCCTCGGGTGTCTTTGCTGACTCTGAATCAACTTTGTTCTGACTTCTTACCTGAACATGAAACGGGAAACCCAAATGACTTTAAGGCAGGTTGTTTCTGACTGAATCTTAGGAGCCTGAAACCTCGGGTTCATGATGTTTCCAGCTGAATGAAACTTATGAGCTCATGTTGGTTTAAAGGAGACTTCAGACCCTGGACAGGAGCTGACTTCAGGCTTTCTGAACATTTAATGAAAGCCTGGCTTTTGGCGGTCGGACACATGTGGCGGCAGCAGCTGGATTCTGATTAGTTCTTTAATCAAACACTGATTACAAGCTGAGTCTGCGTGTCTATATTTGTGAGGACGTTTTGCTTTGTAGAGGTTGTTTGAAGCTCTGCTGATTAAAGGATGTTTGTGGTTTTTACTCAGGTCCAACACTTGGACTGTACTGAGTTTTGTCTTCGAGGCAGGCGCTGATGGTTTGGACCCTGAGCTGAGACTCACAGGTCCTCTTTCTGCCTCCTTACTATTTGTTTCTGTGTGATCATTGATGGAGACTTTTAAACATAACACCCGGAGGCGTCTGTGGCCTTTGAACTAACGGAGCTTCAGCTCAGCTGTGTGATTGTGAGTCAGCTCGGCAACAGGAAGCTGCAGTCGAAAGCATCCATAACACAACAGTGACATCCACGCAACAAAGACCCCCCCCCCCCCCCCTGCAGTCCAGTGACCTGGTTTCTCTGTTTACCTCCTCACAACCGAATCAGACAGCAGCTTCATTTGTTCTCTTCTGGTGATGATCAGTCGCGTTTGCATCCATTTTAAGCTCCAGCTGAACGGTTTGGTTTGAAACTGATGGGGTGTGTGCGGTTTCATAACCTGAAGATCTTAAAAACTATTCATGGATATTTAAACATTTTTACAGTGAAGTCAAACATTTCTTATAGATTTAGGTCTGTTCTTAGAGAGCTGGAGGGAGCCAGGGACGGACTTTGACTAGGCCCGGTGTGGCAGCAAAAATATGTGGTCAACAGCGCTAATGTTGACTATATGTTGTATTAAAAGCTGTATTACTGATAACTTAATAATTTATGCAGTAATTAACCTTCTTACTGCTCAAATACCACATGTAAATGAAAATGCAACATTACAAATGTAACTTCTGTATTTAAGATTTTCAAAGTTTGTGAGCATTAACTGTAACACCACTACCGACCTTTTTACGTAAAACCACAACACTTATTACCCACTGCATGTGGCCTTTTACAGCTAAAATGTTGAAATTTAGCTTATTGCAACCTAAACATGAATTCCCAACATCACTCCTTGCAAATGTTTCTCCTCTTACATTCCATACATACTTACCCTGGATCTGCCTGTGGAGCCAGCGCATCTTTCTGTCCCTCATCACTGCTGGCATGTTGCTGTGTAGCTATCCTGCTGCTGGCTGTGCTGCTAAATATGTCGGTTAATTTGTGACATTTAGAGGCTTCAGCATCTAATGCCCACAATTTTTTTTCTCTTGCCTTCTCAGCCCCACGCTTTTCTTTTCTTTCCGTATTTTTTTTTTTTTACTAGCGGCCGGGTTTTGCGTTGCTTTTTTTTTTTCTTCTACTGCCTTTGCCTCCTCTCTGCTTCAGCTTCTTCTTCTCCTTGCCTGGTGGCCACAGCCAATGTAGCTGGCATCCAAGTGATGCCTCCATCTACAAACGCGGATTGTGTCTCTGATGGAGGAATGCCAGGCTGAAAGGGTCCTGCTGCTCCAAATGCAAGAACAAAAAATGAATCTCAATGCTTCTTGATAAACAGCATCCAACACCTCATATGGTAAACATCCTGTATGTACAGAACCTTCTAGAGTTCTAGAACCCCAAAGGGCCTTTACAACACAAGTCATTCACCCATTCACACAGTGGTGAACTTTAAGGGCTCCCAGACACACTAGGCACAGGTGTGTGTGTGTGTGTGCACGCACGCATGCACGCGCGCGTGTGAGTGAAGAGTCTTGCTCTTAGACAGACTGAGCGGGATGGAAACCTGCAACCCTCTGATTAGGGGGCGGGCACTTAACTTGTTGTTATAAACGACGTCATCACCTTCACCTGGATGAGGCGGAAGTAAATGTTGAATAAAAAGCAATCTCACATTTACAACCAGAAATACCAAACAGCTAGCCAGACCTGCAACCAAGAAGTGGGCGGAGCCACAGCCTGATTCACAGCAGAGAACGAACCTTTGTAACCTCTAGTATTTGTGTTTGTTCCAGCCTGACATCCTCTGGTTCAGGATGACTTCCTGTCTCTTGGGGATCTTCTTCCTGTCACTGGTGTCCATCATGGCTGCTGCTGAACCTGCTGGATGTAAAATCCGGATCACAGACAAAGCACTGGACATGTGTAAGTACGCAGAACCCAAAATCAAACTGTGATAAAAATCTGTAATAAAACACAACAGAATCGTTGTTTAGAGCTCTAAAGATGCTGCAGGTCCGACACGCCCAAGACGTCCCGAGGTGGTCCACCTCAAGTTTCAACCCTCAACGAAATCCACCTTTTAAGATCTTGAACGAGGATGGGCTCTCCTCCTTTGTTCCAGACTCCATTCCAAGCAGATAACCAGCTGCTAGGAACAGAATAGAACTCCAGTTGAACTTCATCAGAACAAAGTTCTCTCCTCAGGATGGACATCTGTTCCCTCGCAGCTCAGTCAGCAGTTTTCCTCCTAGATAAACTGACGTGTTTTGTTGTCCAGCAGCAAGTTCTCCATTGAGCTCCACCATGAGGAACCTTGTGACCGGGTTTGTGGCGTTTTGTGTTTATAGTGAAGTTGGAGACTCAGAAGTTTGTTGAAGAAGAGCTCAGTAACATCAGTATTCCGGAGATGCAGGGCCAAAACGGAAGCTTCCAGTACACCCTCACAGAGTAGGTCCTCCTTCTGACACTGATGATGTCACATTGATCACATGACTGGCTGACTGTGTGTACTAATCCTCTCCTGATCCTTCACCAGTGTGAAGATAAGAGAGTTGAATTTAACTCACGTTGACCTGAGGTTCATCCCTGATGTGGGTTTGTTGTTCGATGTTCAGAACTCCTCCATCTCCCTGAGTTTCTACCGGCGGATCCTCTACTGGTTCTTGTTAGTTCTCCAACAGAACGCAGCTCAAGCACCACACCTCAAAGCTCTGATACGTTCCATCATTGGCTTGAATTGTAGTGTTGTATCTTTCAGATGAAAATCAGATTTATGGGCTTCGTCCAAGAAAAGTAGGCCAGGTTAGCTCGTTGGAGCCCAGTTATCAATGTGCAGGAAGAAGCTAGAGAAGAACATGGCCACATCATCCAGGCCTGAAAAGCCTCACTAGTTACCTGTCAACAGAACGGTGACGTGTTTTGTAGGGATCTCATTCCGTGCTTTTATTTTGGTAGGCTAAATTCTTTAACGGCACTTAGAATGGGCAGCTACGTCACACATTTAGTCTCAAGTCGTAGCTGGCTAAGTCCAAAGGGTCTCTGTTACCTTCCAGCTATGACACAGGAAACGTCAACGCCTCGGCTGAAGGCGTGAACATCAACACGGCCGTAAACCTGATCAGAGACAACGAAGGACGACTGAAGATCAATAACATCACCTGTGATGCCAGAATCAAAAGAATGAGGGCAGAGTTCAGCGGGACGCTGGGGTAAGACGCAGATGGATGATCTGAACGACGCTTCACTCAGAATAACATCTTCCTGTTTTCTAGGAGAGTTTACGACTATCTGTCCAGATTACTAACAACAGGCATGCGCTTGTTTCTCAACCGACAGGTAAGTCACCTGTCTCTGTCTCTAGTTACGTTTTCCTCTCCATCTCTTCCCTTTAAGCTGTTATGGACCTTCATCCAGGCTCTGGTGAACCACTGGGTGATCGTGTAAGTTTCAGTCTGGATTTAAAGCCAAACAGAAAACTCCTGCAACTTTTTGTCAGATCTGTCCAGCTTTGAATCACGCTGCTCTGGTTCACGTCAACTCCATGCTGGAAACCATTCCTGTGAGGACTGAGATGGATTATTACGTCGGGATTGATTACTCCCTGATCGATGATCCCGTGGTGACCTCCAGGAGCCTCGACATGCACTTCAGGGTCAGATTCAGAACAAAGATCTGATGCATCCTGGTGAGACGGCACCGGTACCAACAGCTGGTTTGTGTTTCTGTAGGGAATGTTCTTTGACCTTTCGCATCCCAACCTAACTCTGGTAAACTACGCTGTGGAGCCGGTGATCAGGGAGTACGATCGGATGGTGTATCTGGCTCTGTCCGAGTTCTTCTTCGACAGCGGCTTGTTCTCCTATTACAGTGCTGGAATTTTCCAAATGCACATAGTCAACGAGAAGGTAAACAGCAGTAGACACGCATCCTAAAGTCCAAACCATCAAAGACCCTAGAACTTCTTAAGTGTGTGAATTATAATGATCAGGAGCACCTGTGCATCTTTCATTTTCGTTTGCCAGTTTTTTTTTTATTCCTGTGTGAAAACCAGTCTCAGACTCAGGGACTGACTGACTCTTCTCTCCTCATCGTCACTCAGATGCCCAAAGATCTGGAAATGTTGCTGAGGACCACCTACTTCGGAGCCATCATGATGCTGGTGGGCAGAAGTTTGGAAAGTAAACCAAATAAATGTGTTTAGTGTAGAGACAGAATTTCCCACGAGGGGACAGAAGGCAGAACAGGGACAGCGGAGACATGCGAAGACAAATAAAGTACCAGAATAAGAGAAGCAGTGGACATAGGGGAGACATAATAGAGACCTGAGACACATTACTGAACCTGACGTTCTTCCTGTTGTTCTGAGTAGAACCCAGCTCTGGTGGACGCTCCGCTGTCTCTGCAGCTCGCCGTCAACTCGCCTCCCAAAACATCTATTAAAACATCTGGAGCCACAATTGTCATGACAGCCCTCGTCAAGGTGATGGTGCTGCCTCCGGGTCAGGCGCCGGTCCAACTCAGCAGCATGACGATGGTAAAGAACTCCCAACAGTCTCTGATGGTTTAAGTAGAAACCAGTAAGACATGCCTGACAGAACCAGTGTGAAACAGCTCTGGACCTGTTCCCAGATGAACCAACACGACTAACAGTTCACTAACCCGGATTTACATTAAACACTTTAAACTCTTTCTTTTTTTCTCCTCATGCAGGAAACTAAGTTTAACGCGAAAGTTTCCATGAGAGGAAAACGTCTGGCTGTCCACGCTGATCTACGTAGGTACGTGTTCCAGCTGTTCCTCTGACACCTGGATCCCGGTTTTCAGCTAAAACCCCGTCTGGCCCTGGAAACTTGGCTCCTGGCTGAAGATGTCTTAAAGAGGCAGACACAGCCTCTCTGTTTGGCTCAGCTGGTAAAGTCACAGGATGAATCAGGACTGTCAAGAGAGATGGTGTCCTCCTTCATCTCATCCTGTTTTAGCAAACTTCTCTAAACCTCCAACATGATGATGTCATCTTCACTCTAAGCCTTTGTCTTCTTCTAGGTTTAAGATCTTCTCCAACCTGTCAGCGCTGGAGTCTCTGGCAGTAAGTGTCTCCTGCTCATTTGTTTCCTGACCGACTCAAAGAGCTCACTGACAGTTTCACCTTCGTCTGCAGCTGATTCCTCTGCAGCCTCCTCTGAAGACGATGCTGCAGATGTCTGTGGTTCCTCTGATCAACAGTGAGACTCTGGTTCTTCTCCCATCCTCGAGTCTCTTCTGTCTGAAGCTGATCCGACTCTTTCTGTTCTGGTTCCGATTCAGATTGGACCAAGAGAGGAGTCCGGCTTCCTCTGGCTGATGGGATGGACATCATAGAGGAAGTGGTGGAGTACCACAATGTGAGTTTGCAGCTGTGAAGGTCAGAGATGGTCAGCATTCCCGTGTGACTGACAGCAGCTGTTTGGTCTCTGCAGGGTTTCATCGTGATCGGAGCCAATCTGCAGTTCAGCAAAGGGCTGCGAGACATGATCGGGGGGAGTTCTGACTGAGACTCACGCCACAGAGATCTAAGGGTCACCATGCAGAATGTACACAACATTATGACCACCCGCTGCGTCTTTTATACTGGGTTATGATGGGGGAGGCTGGAGGGGGCAGGGACTGTATGGCTCCGCCCATCATCAGAGTAATTACAACCACATGAAGTTCTGCTGTCACTCCTGCATGCTGACATGTTTATTAACACAATCCACTAAGACTAGGATGAACCGTGGAAGGAAAACATCTCATCGTGTCAGTGGTCATAATGTTGTGGCTGATGTGTTTGCATAGAAATATGTAAACATGAAAACAGCGTTAACACAAATATTAGTTAAAGTATACACAACTAAATTAAAACTGAACACGATTATCACACACGCGCACGCACGCACGCACGCACACACACACACACACACACACGCACACGCACACACACACACACACACACACACACACACACACACAACAGCAGGATACACGTGCACTAATGCTCGTGGACCTAACACACTTGTGTCTGTAACAACAGCAACATGCTGCACCATGAGAAGGTCAGAGGTCAGGGGGCATTTTCAGTCGTAATTATGAGACACAGTCATGATTGTGTTTTTTAACGTTTCAGATTTGTTTGCTGCTGCTGAAATAAACAATGTTTTAGACAAACGTTAACGGAGTCGGGCAGCTTGCCAGAATAGACGAGTCTTTATTTCAAGTGCTGTAAACAGAAGCTGCAGGTCCATTCCTTCACTGGTTTTTCAGAAGAGTTGATCATTGTTCTGTTTCACCCAGGAAAACATCATCACAGCTTCTATAATAATAATATTATTATTAATCACAGCTTCTATAATAATTATAATAATTATTATTATTATTATTAATCACAGCTTCTATAATAATAATATTATTAATCACAGCTTCTATAATAATTATAATAATAATAATTATTATAATTCATCACCACTTCTATAATAATAATTATAATAATAATAAACTTGTGCAAAATGAATGAATGATATTTTACTGCTCCATTCAAACTAATTTCATAAAGTGACTTAATCCTCTGAAAGTGCAGCTGGCTCCGCCCACTTGCCACTTTATTAGGTACAACTGCTCTGTTTCCTTTTTAATTGATCTGGGGCAGCGGGAGCTACAAACAATGTAAATTATAAATAATGGAGTGTAATCTTCTTTAACATTTTATTCGAGTGTTTCCAGATGTTTTTAGATTATATTTGGTTTAGTAGCTCTTCTCATTAAAACATGAAAGATGTTCTACCAATCAGCTGATCTGCTAGTTAATAGATTAACACAAATATCTGATCAGCCAATCAGATGGCAGCATCTAGACGACCAGCTGAAGTTCAAACTGAGCATCAGAACAGAGATTTACACGTGTTTAGGTAGAATAAAGTGCTCTATAATAAAAATAAATCGTTATTGTTAGTGTTGGTACCATATGAGCTGCTTTCATGAAAAGAGCTGAGACTAAAACCACACCAGCTGCTCCAGATAAACCCAGGCAGCAGAAGGTGTTCCTAACGCTAGCTAAGAACTGGATCACCACAGCTGGACCAGGAGAGACTGGAAAAGTATTTCCTGGTCTGATGAGTCTGGATCCATCCTGCTCTGTATCAACGCTTCAGGCTGCTGCTGGTGTTATGGAGGTGATAGTAGATGTTGTGGTCCCACCTGAGCCTGGTTTAAACACCACAGCCTATCGGAGTATTGTTGCTGACCATGTCTACCACAAGGACCCACCTTCTGATGCTGCTTCCAGCAGAACCACCATGTCACAAAGCTCAGATCATCTCTACCTGGTTTTTGGGACATGACCGTGAGTTCACTGGACTCCAGTGACCTCCACCATCACCAGAATTCAGTCCAGTACAGAACCTTTGGGATGTGGAACGGGAGCTTCTCATCAGGGGACCAGAACCTCTGAGGAACATTTTCGATTTTATCCATGACACCAAGAATAAAAGATTATCAGGTACTAGGAGGTGTACCTAATAAAGTGACCGGTGGGTGTACAGCATTGCTTTTTGATCACACGCCACTAAACATCTGACTGATGCCATCGTAACCATGGAAACCACACTTTCTGCCAGCGACCCTGCAGCCAAGGGTCAGAGCATCTTGCAAACTTCCTCCTACAAACGGAGACAACATTTAACCGTTTCATTCTTAAACTGGTGACCAATTTTAACACACCATCTAAACGCCCCCAAACGAGGTCAAAGGTTTCTTACCGTTGGACAGAGAGTAGAGGACGCCGGCGTTGAATGTGTCTCCAGCTCCAAGAGTATCGACTAGAGTCTCAGGAGGGAATGCATCTGAATGAACGAGTAAACCATCAGGACCCAGAGCATCCGCTCCTTTTTCTGCCCAGGCACAGATGAGGACAGCCCTGAGACACAAAGGGGTCAGAACCAAACCTGGGTCCTCCAGATCCACCAAGGTGTTGAGGTTTTAGGTCACTCACCCCTTTTTGACTCTAGCGTAGAGTCCTCTCAGAGCAGCTTCAGCCGAATGGAAGCCAAAGTGACGAGCAACGTCCTTACTGATAAACACCTGAAGACAGGTAACGTCCACATTAATGAGGACAGGTGATAAACAAACAACACCACTACGGAAAGGACAAGGCTTCAGGTTCCACCGGTTCATAACCTTCACCTGAGACGCAACCGAAACTCTTCAGAGGGACAAACCCAAACATGCTTGCTTAGTATGAGGATTGCTGTAAAGACTCTGACACGAGTCAGTGACTCGGTGCAACCTGCTGGGTTCCTTATATAGGAAACTTTTTACTGGGAGGCTTAATGACCTGACCTGTTTACTGGTGAAGTGCCTTCAGTCGACTTGTCGTGATTTGGTGCTTTAGAAATACACTGAATGGAATTGAATTGAATTGAATTGAAGGACCGGTGGGTCTGAGAATCCACCTACTCAGCTGTGACTGATCTCAGACTCAGATTTGCACAACTAATGTGAGAAAACACGCAAAATTTTAGCTTTGGTCTGATTAAATTTGTATTTCCAATACACATGCACATCACAAGTTCTCCCAGAGTTCCCACCGTTGGTGGCCGTTGCTCATTTTTAAAACGTGTTTTCATTCAAATGAAAAACGATCAACTCTTAAGAAGACACAAGGACAAATGAAAGTTAAGTTAAACTCATGACACAGACATTTCTTTACCCCAGATCAGAGCATCCGGTATCTCAAGAAGTCGAGATGTCTGAGGTTTTCTTGGTAATCTCCCTTAACATGGCACGCTCCGATTAGCCAAGTAAATCATAACATGACAATATTAAAACAGAATCACTCTGGTGATCCAGCAGTCGCATTCCAGCTTTCCATCATTCAGCATTCAGTTCTAGAGAATGCTTCGGAACGGCCGTCTGGAGCGACACCTCTTTAACCCTGAGCATTTTTGGCAAGCTGCCAAAACCCTGCTAAAAGCTGCCTACCGCTGACACAGCAAACGGTTCCTGCAGAACAAACTTTATATCGTTCCAACTCCCTAAGAGTCCTTCTAGACGCAAACAGTTCCATCCATCTGTGGTGACCCGGGACATATCTGGACTGAAGAGTCGGTGCTGCGGTTATTCTACAGACCTCGGTGCCAGAGGTCATCCGACCTCCCTGACCTTCGGATCCACAAAGAGGGTCTTCCAAAGGGTGAGGTAGACACACAGATGGCATCCGATGCCTTTTGATAAGAATCAACTCCATAGCTTAACGCAAACCAAATTCTTTCCTTTTACACCCAGAACTCAGTTCTTCTAGATACGAATGTTCTGATAACCTCACATTAACACATAGTCACCATACATCACATCTCATCCACCTAGATCCATCCATCACAGTAAATATTAGTTAACTTGTCATGTTTTAATTGTTTGGAAAATAAATTCTTACCTTTATAAACCTGACTCTTTCCTTGAATCAAGACGAAGTGTTCTACAATCCCTGAATAAACAAAGAATCCTGGAATCTTCTAATTAAACATCCAAAGACCAAGCAGGTTGATATTCTATATTTATATAGAGTATCACAGCTTATTGGTCATAGGTAAAAGTAATATATTAAGCTTTTAAAGCACTAAATTTACCACTCTATAATTAGAAAATAAGGAGTTAAATGAGTCTAAAGAGACTCAAAAACACAGAAACGGCCCCGTCTCCTCACTAACTCATCTGGGATTTGAGTATGACCACAGCTTTTGAGATGTCATCCTAACCTGGCAGCAGCCACATCTGTGTAGCCCTGCCCCATGTCGGGTCTACACGTTTCAGGATTCTCCTGGATTTGTAAAACTCCAAATCTCGCGAGAACTCATCTTGCAGACTCGTCCATCTTCTAAACAAATCTTGCATTGCTATGGTTACGCAGTAACAGCAAAACTCCTCAGAGGACTACACATCTACACCAGAGTGAATAAAACTATTTAAAAAAAAAAGCTAAATTAGGATGCATGACAATGAGTAGCAACCTTGTGAAGCTCTACTTTTGTTTCATTCCCAGGTCAGAGATGATAAATTCATTCAGCAAGTTCTGGCTCTGTCTTTGAAATTCTTCAGAAGATCCTAATCCAATCCCAGAACCACCTCAGCAGATTTCTATGAGGAGCAGCAGCTCTACTCTCAGCTCCTCCCAGATGGTGGAGCTCCTCAGCTTGTTTCTAATCCAGGACCTTCTAGGGCCAACCTCTTGACTGCAGATCGGTCCATCTCTGCTCCATCCAACCATCACTCAGCAGAGAGACACAGAGAGTCCAAACCTCCTTCACTGTCAGGGACTCAGGGACGCACCGTTTTTCTGGTAGAGATTCATGACCTTAAACCTGGAGAAACTGCTTCACCTTCTGCTGTGAACTATCCTGGTGCATGAAGGTCAATCTCTCCTTAACAATGCCCTGAGATCCACGAACATCACAAACCGGATCAGAACCAATGAACACCATCCGGCAGAAAACCCTCATGATGTTTTCATGGAATGTGACCTGAAACCTGAAAGCACCACAGCTCCTGCTTAGACAGGAGCTCCGTACCACGTCACCGTGAGGAAACAGCTGATACAACGGCTCTTGAGTTTTCTCTATCTCCACGGAGATGGTGATCCTCTGGTGAGGAGGTAGTTTGCTGTTAAATGTCTCCACCTGCTGGATCATCTTGATCTGCTCGTCAGCATTTCGGCCCTGAACAAGGACAGAGAAAGGTTGTTAAAAAATAAAAAACAACTATTTATTCAAGAATGAAGCCAAAGGGGTTAATGTTCATTTGAAATACTATTTTGACGATTAGCCTGAGAAAGCAGACGCCCGGTGTTTTTACTCAGTAAAACCATAAAAATCAGACATTTTATAGATAACTTCCTTCACAATAGTCTCAAACATGCACACATAAGCCAAAACACCTGAAGATAATGAAATGTTTTTTTAAACAGACATTTGAATTAAATGGTGAGTAAAAGAAATGGTGGTACTTATCTTATAGATATAAATATATAAAATAGAGTTCAGGACTGAACACTGAACCCTGAGGGACTCCGCATTTAATCTCAAGTCCTATTTCTTCAGTTTGAAATGATACTAATAGTTTCCTGTTGGTCAAATAACAACCAAACAGTTAAATAATAAATGAATGAGCTATAGCTTGAGAATAACAATGATTTATGGTATCAAATCCAGATTACCATTCTTAAATTAGGTTTTTCAGCTTCAGTCTAGATTTATGGTCGAAACTCAGTGGATCACTAATTTCTGTCGTTTACGTTTATTTAAACAGGAAGTTCCCTTTGTGATGAAGCCTTTACAGGCCTGGGGGTATGTGGTGGGGCAGCTGGGATAAAAAAGCAACAAACTGGTTTCAGCCACTCACAACCCGTCTCACCTCCCAGTGGATCCACTTGAAATGACTGAGGGTGACTTTAGAGAAATCGTCCACTGTGACGTCTGGAAGGTCTCTGACAAAATAAAAGAAACATTTTCAGAGTCCAGAAACATCCCTGCATCACTCAGGTCAGGCCCAAAGAAGCATCACGTTCAGATTTTCCTGTTTGACCTGAGGAGGACGACGGGTTTGTCCTTCTGAACAAACTTCACAATACATCAGTTCAATCAAACCGTTTTTTTTTTTTTTACCTAAAGTAAGGATTTCCTTTTCTGTTTTTGAGAAATTTCATAAATAAATGTCATCCTAATAATAAAATATTGATAATTTTGTTTGGTTCTCCAGTCAGAGCAAACAGAAAAACACAAACATGAATACCGTAAAAACATCAAAAACAACAAACAAACCTTCATTTGCTGTGGAAGACAGGGAGGGACAAGAAGAGACATTGAATCGATTTTTTAATCCAGGAAGTGATCCTGAACCACCTGAGCAGGTAGTCTAGAGACATCCAATCAGATGAAATCAGCTCTCTGTTCCTTTATGCAGATTTTAATTTATTTCTCGAATTTGATGAGAAAAATCTCAAATCAATGACAGTTAATCACAAATGAACACGACACATAAATTAAGTAGATTTTAAGGATGAATTAAGCCCAAGCCACTGCAGAGGATCGAAATAACAAAAAAAAATCGGTCGCGTCTAAAGCTGCATTGCTGACGTTTTTCTGCTTCTGGTTTTATTATTTCAGTTTAAAGATTTAGCTTTAATGACTAAACAATGATTGGTTCCTGGGTAATTGTATTTTATTTTGGTAGAACTGTCACCTCACAGCAAGAAAGTTGCAGGTTTAAAACCCACATATTAGGCTAATTAATGGCCTCTTCTGTAAGTCTGTTACGTAAATAAACACATCTAAAACACAAACTGAGAAAATAAACTAGTTCTGGAAGCAGAACTTGATGGATTCTCTGAAAGCATCAAAATGGTGAAAAAGTGAATAAAAAACAACTAGAAAAACTCGCCTACATATCAAAGACCTGCTGGTTCTGTCTGAATGACTGGACCGTGGTCCAACCCAGGACCTGAACACACCTACACCTGCTGGACTCTGCAGTGGCGGTAAATAAATCGACACCAGATTCTGGATCCGATCAGATCTTTCATCAAACAGTGTTCACTAAATACCTCGTCACTAGGTCATAACCTGGTGGGCGGAGCTTCGGCTTTCTTCAGAGGGACCTAACATCTGTTACCATGGTGATTAAAACACCCCAACTTGAATCGCATGATTTTATTTAGACAAACCCCTGGAACCTGCAGCAGGCTGATTTAATGTCTTCTCTCTTCATCTGAAGGCAGTCTGACTGTTTTTATTCATAAAAACATAAACAGTGCTGCTTCCTGCTTTTGCTGATCAGATCAATGCAGTTTGTTTCTTTCAAACAAAAAATGTTTAAAGAAACTATTTGAAGATGTAGCGTCATGAAGGGACTGTTTTCCACCTAAAGGTCATCTCCCCTCTCTCCTCATGAAGAACTAATCTCCTCAAGGCCTTTGATGCGTCTGCATCTAAACTGTTTTAACGAGCTATTTGCCTCCCCTACAGCTCAAGAGAAGATCAGAAGAACTCTATTAAATAATAATTAAATAACGTCTTTTAGTCAAATAATCATGTGAAACCTAATGTTCAATCAATCTGTGAAATGAGAATATTAATTACTTGAATTATAATACTGTAATCAGTAGTTTTGTATAAGAATTAACTTGGTACAGAAGCCCTAGACACTCCTATCACAAGTAATGTTAAAATCACATGACACGTTCCTTTTGTCTCTCCAATCAGAGCTTTCCTTTCTGACGCGTGGCGTGGTCTGTGCGGTGTTTATTTTGTTGTCAAATTCTGATTCGACCATAAATCAAAACATCTGAATTATAAAACTAATTCCCACGTCACCCTTAACTCGGTTCAAACGTTCTAGAGTTTCGAGCCGGCCACTCGTAACTTTTAACCACAAAGAACCTTGACAAGCTGGATTATAAAACCTGTTGCAAGCTACACCTGAAGCAACGCTCCTTCAGAGTAAAGCTGAACTCACTGACCCTTCAGGGTCCCACTGACGCTGTCAAACACCTGTCGCTTACCTGGAGGCAATCCCAAGACTAGTCTGTCGTACCGTACGCTGTTTCACCGGCTCCGGTACCAAAGGGGGGTCTGAGGACCTGGCATTCTGGATCTACAATGGAGGTCTCCGTCAAGGGTATGTAACGCGGCAAGATAGCGTCTAAATGTGGTTTTTGAAACTCCGACTGTAGTTAAGAGCAAAACATTCGCTCCCAAACAGAACTAACGCTTCTCTGGAAACGAGAGTTCTGATAACAACATTCCACATTACACCATCTATCTTGCCTCATTCACACCTAGATCCATTCATCACACAGTGTTTAGAGTTAGAGTTAGCCTTATTTTAAATTGTTTAGAAATAAATCTTCTTAAACTTTAAAACCTCTCTCTCTCTCTCTTTTGACTCTGGGCGAATACGAAGTGTTACCTAATCCCTGCAATAAAAAGTTCCGATCTTCTGTTTAAAGTAATGTTCAAAGATCAATCAAATTGATTTCATATTTTCTATGGAATCTCCCCTTTGATGGTTTCTTACGTAAGATGTAACTAACGAATCATTACAAAGACAAATCTACGGAAGCCCGGGAAGACAAAACAAAAGCGAACAATTTGATCCCGTCACGTTTTGTCTTCCCTGACCAAATTTGTTTTTAATTCGACTTTGCATCTCTGGGCAGATAAAAAAGGGTTTGAATCATTTCTGAATGTTTTCCCAATGAAAGGATTTTATTGGGACAAACCTGTTTCTTTTCTCTGGTTCATTAAAGGTTGGAGTCCTGGCTGACAAAAAAAAAACAGGAAGTGGGTCAACAATCGAGATCAGGATCCTGTCCTGATACTCGGGATCAGCTCAGAACATTCCTGATTGACTAAAACAGCATCCTGATCCTGATTTCAGGGCTCTATGGTAAAATGAGAAAAGCATCCGATCTGCTGACCAACAGCAGGGCGGAGTCACCAGGAGGCTCTGCTCTAACACGTCTGACTGATGAAGAGGCATTTAATGAACGCGGCGCCGCGACAGCCATCATCTTACGTGTCGTAGAGATAGACGGTTCGAGATCCGCTGAGTGGACAAACCACACAACACGCACATGGCGTTTGACCTTTGACCTGCCAAACCACTGCTGAGACATCAATTTCACGGCGTAAGAAGTCTGCCACAATGAAACTGACAGAGACAAACAGGAAATGTTAATGTCCCTTTCAAAATAAAACCTCAGCCAAAAGGAAACAGAGAGGGGTGGAGCTTCTCTAGGATGCTGACGACACTATAAAAAACAGAGGCAGTTAGTCTCTCTTACACACACACACACACACACACACACACACACACACACACACACACACACACACACACCTGTTCATGTGCAGGATGGTTCTACTTCCTGTTCTGATGTTGCTGATGACCATGGAGGCTGGAGACATGCACTGAGCGTGCTCAGACATCAGCGACACGTCGATGGAGAACTTCTGAAAATCCTCCAAAATAAAACTAAAGACAGGAAACTGTTTACATTCCTTCTGAATTCCAAAGTAAAAGTCCAGACAAGTAGCAGTTAGCACCTCCTCTGTCCTCACCTGAGCAGTAAATAGTTCCTCCTGACTGAGGACATCCCAGATGCTGCTCAGGGGACAGAGGAGACACCTTTCCATCCAAACCAGAGGAGCTCAGATTCTGTAACAGCAGCTCTGCCTCTGTTCTTGCATTAGGATGGATCACAGCATCTGTTTACACCTGGATTACGCCTGATTCAACTTCTTCTGGTCTTTATGTGTATGAGCCACATCCTGGAGAAGATTTACCAGACACGCTTAGCTGGACAGCTGTGCTTCATCAGCTCAGGGCTGGTTTTAGCTGCTGCAGCTGACTCTGCTCTTAGATCTGGGAGATGTAAGATCTGATGTGTATTTCAGTCGGGATTGAGCCACAAAATGTGATCATTAAAATTATTGTTTCACATTCCCAGAGCGAGCTCTTATTCTGTCAAGCTCTCTGAACGCTGCGTGCAGGTGTGCAGTGGAAACCTGCCAACGTGAACACAGCTCAGAATAAACCATCTGGTGCTCTGGGCATAAGCTGTTGCAGAGACTGGCTCGGTCCACAATCGATCAGCCAGAGTTTAAGAATCTACCGAGTCGATTCTTAGAGGAATGAGACTCGGTGGATCTGAAACATGTTTCTGACTGATGATGCAGTTCTGAGTCGACCTGCTGATCAGTTGATAGGTTTAGAAATCCTCTGTGGTGTATTTGGGAATGCTTTGGGATCCACCAGGATAAACTGGAGAGAGGGAAGTCCGAGTGTTCATCCACAACCTGGTACTGGCTCAACCAAGCTCTGGATCAAACACATGGATGGCAGCTAACAGCTGATGACATCACAGGTGCAAACAGACTCAGATAAACACAACAAAAGAAATGTGGTTGTTGCCATGGATACGATCAGAGATGCTTAAATCAGAACACAGAAGCAGCTCTAACATTAAACACCCCAAACCATACGTGATAAGTTTCAAGTTTAACAGAAGAAGCATCAATCAGAACAACAGCTACCCAACCACAGATGAACAGATCGGAACTCACTCAGCCACAGGACCAGAAGCCAGAGAACCCATGAAGGCACACGGAGCTCCGAGCAGCGACAGCACCGTGCATGAGTTGGATGCATTTCCTCCTCGCTGCCATCGCTGAGACAAACACCTGCAGACACACACAGATGACATCACACAGCCGTCCACTGATGCCTGCAGGACCCAACAGCATCAGAGGTGAGAAATAAGAGATGGATCAGAGCAGAACCGGATGTTTAATGTTCTAATCAGTAATCTGAGTATTGGGTCAGACACAGTACTTTAGATGAACATCTGACCACAAAAAACTTCCTAAAGTCAACAGACCCAGACGTTCCAGTCTGAAGTCCAGTTCCTGTGGTGTGTTTACAGTCTGATCATCCCAAAGACCTGACTCTAGACTACCAAAATAAAAGCTGAACTTTCTACTCAGTCTTTTTATAAATCAAGTTTTAACAGGGCAGCTGTGGCTGAATGGAGAACGTGATCCTCCACTGATCAGAAGGTGAGTGGTTTGATCCCCGGCAGGCCACATCTCCAGGTGGCTTGGGCAAAAGGTTTGATTTGCAATTATTTAGTTTAGGTCCTGCAGTGTGTAACTCATCCATCCATTCAGACGTGAGGTTCTGTTGTTGCAACATGTTTATGAGCAGTTATTGATTTGCAGAGACAACCTTTGCCCCCACTCACCCCTTCACATTTACACTGAACTAGTTATTTGTTCATCAGTTATTTATAAGTGATTTAGCAGCTCAGCTACCAAATCTTCATTGTGATTTTTTTTAGCTCCACAGATTTGCTTGACAGATGTTAGATGCTTTGTAAATGAAATGTATTGTTATTATTATTATTATTGTTGTTGCTGTGTTCTCACTGTCATAAAACAGAGTGAAATAATAAATTCACATTTATTACTACAGCCCCACCACAGACACCCTTACAGTCTAATCCTTATTTATTTATTTTTTTTTGTTTGGGAAGCTGGATGAAATCATCAGGTGTTCGCCTAGCCTCCTGTCAGTGAAGTGACAGTGTTAGCATTAGCCTGTATGCTAAACCTGTTGTGGAGGTTAGCATTAGCCTGTACGCTAAACCTGTTGTGGTTGTTAGCATTAGCCTGTACGCTAACCTGCTGTCGGTGTCCTCCTCCGGATATTTATCAACCACATTAATGATGTCGAGACACACCAATCCCACACACAGAATCTTCTGCTGCTCCTCCATGTTGACCCAAACCCAGACAGGATCCTCAGCGCGTCGCGAACCAACAATTTGGACTTTGAAACAAACGTTCCCTCATGTAAAACTAGCACAACAATAAGATATTGAGTGGAGACTAAAAAAATAAAAGCTCGCGGTTACTGTCTGATAAAAACAAACTAAAACAACGTTCATTATTATGTTTTATATTATCATTTATTTTACATTATTCATGCAAATAAAAAATCAATTCATATTATGTACAGTATTGTTCAAGGATTCAAATTCAAAGCTTTATTTATAAAGCGCTTTCCGCGACCCTGTCAGGGAGCCCAAGGCGCTGCACAGTTCATAAGAAATGTAAATCACAATGAATAAGTAGATAATAAAAGCAATTAAAATAGTGCAAAGAGGGTAAAACATTGAAGTAGAAACAAATGGACAAAACAAGGGATAAAGTGACCAATAAAAACAGGAAATAAAAAATAAGAGGTTCTACACGTTCAGGGAACGCCAAGTGGAAGAAGTGGGTTTTCAGGCGACTCGAAAACCGGCAAAGATGGGGACAGCCCAACAGGATGAATAGACTGTTAAAAGCTATATATATTACAGTTTGGTGTTCAGGCTGACATAAGGAGTTAATGGTGACCATGTGTAGCATTTATCCACTGTGAACCACATTTCCCATAATCCAGAATCAATGTCTCCCATTTTTTCCACACATTTTACAGTGTAAGGTGTCCAACATCGGCGTCCCAACTGAGGTTCCCTGAGTTAAAACCTTGAGAATCCAGAACAGAGAATCACCACTTATTAGACCTTTCTGGATAATCAGGAGCTTCTGTTCACCTCTGCTCAGATCTTCAGACACGATGAGTCTTTGATGAGCTGTGTTTGGGTCCACAACGATGGGACTGTAGGATACTACATTCTTCATGTTGTTCCAGATGTTGAAGGCCAGGGTGCCCAGATGTTTGACCTGGTCCATCAGAGCTCCTGAGGGCAGCTGTGGACAAACCAGCAGGGGGCAGCGCTGGACTCTTTCCACTGCAGCCTTGTAGTGTTGCGAGTCCCCACATGCCAAAGACAGTGGCAAGCTGAAACACACTGGACTGGCTTGTGCGAGCAAAATCAGCCAGCCGACAGGAGCTGGGCTGCAGGTCAAAAAACTGTGGTCAGAAACAAGGGTCACACAAGGGTCACAGGGACAAGAGGACAGAACTGGGCGAAGGGTCAGGAGACTGACCCCACCTCTTTGCCCCACCCCTGGCTTGGAAAGATGGGATTGGAGGAGAACAGAGTGAAGACAAGCCCATCAGATCCAGAAGCCCTCTCGGGAACATTGGAGAGAAACTGAAGAATGCTGCAAAAGATGATGTAATGACCTGTGTTAAGAAGAATGCTGCATGTAGTGAAAATGACACCAAATGTTTTGTGTTGAGCTACAAAGTGTGTATCTGGTAAATGACCCTGTCATGAATCCACTGACTCATGGAAGTAGCTTCGGAACCTCTTTATTAATGCTCTCCGAACCGAGCTCCGCTTTACAACATGCTATCAGTCTCTCTTATTCTGCAACACCCCCCTGCCGTGCCCCCTGCAGGTCAGGAGTGGAACCGCAGATAGCTCACATCACATCTCATCACATCTCCCCCCCTTTTAGCTCTTTCCCAACTGTACTCACATATTTTACTTCTCAACAAATAACATGTTAATCAAACTTCAACAACCATAAGGCAAAGAAACATTAAACAATTCTTCCTCATTGTGCCATTAACATATCATTAACATAAACATTATTTTACATCCCTGTCACATCATTGTTACCATTTTTCCATCTGTCTTTTTTTTTTTTTTTTTTACTCACACAGGGGAAACTTTTCATATACCAACCAAAGAACTAAATTGTAACATAGTCTTTGAACCTGATAGGAGGCTTAACAACTCTCCCAGCCAAGGTCCGCTGAGTCATAAACCCTGGACACCCCGGTGGCGAGTCTGTAGCCACCGGCTGTGTGCTGCTCTGCACCGGGATAGCATCTGGATCACCTGCAGCATCAGGGGTAGCCATCACAGGCACTTCTGATGGGGCAGTCAATGTCTGTTCAGGAACCTGCTGAATGTGTCTCCTGTTTCTGCGAGCGATGAACCCGTCTTCTGTTTTGACGTAGTATGATCGAGGCTCAGGAGCATGAACAACAACCTTCCCCGACGTTTTCCATCCTTTTACCCCATCTAGCTTAACCCTCACCTTCTGACCTGACTGCAAAGGTGACAGCTGGCGAGCAGAATGGCGTCTGTTATAGAAGTAGGAATAGGAAGCTTTAGCTTTCCTATCTGCATTTCTAACAGCAGTGTAATCTTTCCGACTTGGAACCAGATGTTTGGATAAGACTGGAACTGTTGTTCTAACTTGTCTCCCCATCATAAGCTGAGCCGGGCTCGACCCAGTCGCCGTGTGTGGAGTAGCTCTGTAGCTTAAAAGTGCTAAATGTGGATCTGGCTGGCACAGGATGCGCTTGGCAATAGCAACGCTCCTCTCAGCCGCACCATTAGACTGTGGGAAATGTGGACTAGATGTCGTGTGCTTGAAATTATAAGCAACACTAAACTGCTTGAAATCCGCAGATGTAAACTGAGTCCCATTATCAGTAATCAGCTCAAAAGGAATCCCCCATCTGGCAAAGATCGTTTTCAGGTGTTCAATAACATGTAAACTGGTCATAGTGCGTAAATGAACAATCTCAATATCACGTGAAAAGTAATCAACTACCACTAAGTAGTGTTTCCCGTCGTGATCACAAATGTCCGCAGCAAGCTTCTGTCCTGGTCCATCTGGCAGAGGAGTTGGCATCAAAGGCTCCTTCCTTTGCGATGACTTGTTTTCTTGACAGAATCTACATGACTTGACCACCTCTGTGATGTGTCGTCCGATCCCAGGCCACCACACGGACAAGTTGGCCCTGAGTCTGCATTTTGTGAGACCCTGATGACCCTCGTGTATCTGGGACAGTACTTGTTTCCTTAACAGCTCAGGAACAACAATCCTGTCATCATACAGTAGAAGTCCATCCGCCGCTGACAGGTGAGCTCTGGCTGCATGAAAGCTCTGCAAAGTGTGCGACAGGTGTGACGATTCCTCCGGCCATCCATCAGCAACATACTTCGTGATCGTCTGTAAATCTCCATCCTGCATTGTAGTTTGTCGGAGGGCATCAAGTCGGTCTCGAGTTATTGGTCTTGATTCCACCACAGCTTGGACATATGCTGTGACAACTTCCTCCGTGCTGGATCCACCACCATCCGGCAGAGGTTTCCGTGACAACGTGTCAGCAACAATGAGTTGTTTCCCTGGGACGTGGCACGCTTCAGCGTTAAATCTCATCAGTCTCATTAAGAGTCTTTGGCACCTGACTGGAGCTTTGTCCAGGTCATATGAATTTATTAATGGAACAAGTGGCTTGTGATCTGTCTGAAGACGAAACTTCTCCATTCCTTGGAGGTATCTGGAGAACCTCTCACAGGCCCACACGCTGGCAAGGCATTCCTTTTCTATTTGCGAATACCGTCGCTCAGTTTCAGTCAGCGTCCTGGAGCAATAAGCCACTGGTCTGAGTCCTTCCTCATACTCCTGATACAGTGCGGCTCCCAGACCAAAACTGCTGGCGTCAGCGCTAACAACAGTCGGTTTGTTAGCATCGTAATATGCTAGCACAGGAGTTGATGTTAACATCACCTTTACTTCTTTGAACGCCACTTCTTGTGGAACTCCCCAGGTCCATGCAGTGTCTCTTTTCAGCAAGCTGTTGATCGGATACATGACAGATGAGAGATCTGGCAGAAACTTTCCTAGGTAGTTGATCATGCCAACTGCTTGACGCAGTTCTGCGATGTTCGAAGGCGGCAGCATCTCTGTGATGGCTCTGACCTTTTCAGGGTTAGGCTTGATGCCTTCTTTCCCTATAATGTGTCCAAAATACTTGATCTCTGATTTTCAAAACTGACACTTTGCTCTATTGAGCTTCAAGCCTGAAACTCTGATGGTCTGCATGACGGCTTCAAGGTTTCGGTCATGTTCCTCCTGGTCTCTTCCAAAGACTAGGATGTCATCCATCACTACTACCGTTCCATCCAAATCCTTTAACAATGAGCTCATCTTTTCTTGAAATATTTCAGGGGCTGAAGTGATGCCGAATGGCAGCCTCTTGAAACAGAATCGGCCCACTGGTGTTATGAATGTGGTCAGCTTTCTGCTGGCGCCCTCTAGTGGTATTTGCCAAAATCCACTTGAAGCATCCATTGTGGAAAACACTGTGGCTCCAGAGAGCTTGGGTGCAATGTCTTCCAGTGTCGGCAGCATAAACCTTTCGCGCTTCACTGCTTTGTTGAGCTTGGTCAAATCGACACATATTCTCACCCTTTTGTCCTTCTTTAGGACCGGCACCATAGGGGCACACCAGTCCGTCGCCTCCTGCACTTCCTCAATGATGCCTAACAGCTGCATCCGTTTTAGCTCCTCTTCCACCTGGGGCAGAAGTGGGAAGGGAATGCGCCGAGGAGTGGAAATACTGTAGGGTGTCGCATCTGGTCGAAGCTCTATTTTCACTGGAGGACAGTTTAACAGTCCAATGTCCCCAAAAACATCATGAAATGATTCAAGCCCATTCACTCTCCGAACGAGCCCCATTTTAACTGCTGTGTCTCGCCCGAGAAGGTTAGTCGAGAATGAACCCTTCATCACATAAATCCACAGTGAGCATGTAACTCCATTTTTCTCACATTCAGCCAGGAACTTGCCTTTGCATGTAAGCTGGCCTCCTGGACTCATGAAAACAGCTTCCGTCTCTCTCAGATCTGGACGGTCGGGCAGACCACAGTACAGGTGCTGGCCAGTAAATTAGAATATCATCAAAAGGTTGAAAATATTTCAGTAATTCCATTCAAAACGTGAAACTTGTACATTATATTCATGCAATGCACACAGACCAATGTATTTCCAATGTTCATTACATTTAAATTTGATATTCATAAGTGACAACTAATGAAAACTCCAAATTTGGTATCTCAAAAAATTAGAATATTCTGAAAAGGCTGAATATAGAAGACACCTGCTGCCACTCTAATCAGCTGATTTACTCAAAACACCTGCAAAGGCCTTTAAAAGGTCCCTCAGTCTTGTTTTGAAGGCACCACAATCATGGGGAAGACTTCTGACTTAACAGCTGTCCAAAAGACAATCATTGACACCTTGCACAAGGAGGGCAAGACACAAAAGGTGATTGCTAAAGAAGCTGGCTGTTCGCAGAGCTCTGTGTCCAAGCACATTAACAGACAGGCGAAGGGACGGAAAAAATGTGGTAGAAAAAAGTGTACAAGCTCTAGGGATAACCGCACCCTGCAGAGAATTGTGACGACAAACCCATTCAAAAATGTGGGGGAGATCCACAAAGAGTGGACTGCAGCTGGAGTCAGCGCTTCAAGAACCACCACGAGGAGACTCATGAAAGACATGGGATTCAGGTGTCGCATTCCGTGTGACAAGCCACTCTTGAACAAGAAACAGCGCAAGAAGCGTCTCGCCTGGGCCAAGGACAAAAAGGACTGGACTGATGCTGAGTGGTCCAAAGTTATGTTTTCTGATGAAAGCAAGTTCTGCATTTCCTTTGGAAATCAAGGACCCAGAGTCTGGAGGAAGAGCGGAGAAGCACAGAATCCACGTTGCATGAGGTCCAGTGTAAAGTTTCCACCGTCAGTGATGGTGTGGGGTGCCATGTCATCTGCCGGTGTTGGCCCACTCTGTTTCCTGAGGTCCAGGGTCAATGCAGCCGTCTACCAGGAAGTTTTAGAGCACTTCATGCTTCCTGCTGCTGACCAACTTTATGGGGATGCAGACTTCACCTTTCAACAGGACTTGGCACCTGCACACAGTGCCAAAACCACCAGCACCTGGTTCAAGGACCATGGTATCCCTGTCCTTGATTGGCCAGCAAACTCGCCTGACCTTAACCCCATAGAAAATCTATGGGGTATTGTGAAGCGGAGGATGCAATACGCTAGACCCAACAATGCAGAGGAGCTGAAGACGACTATCAGAGCAACCTGGGCTCTCATAACACCTGAGCAGTGCCACAGACTGATCGAGTCCATGCCACGCCGCATTACTGCAGTTATTGAGGCAAAAGGAGCCCCGACTAAGTATTGAGTGCTATACATGCACATTCTTTTCATGTTCATTCTTTTCAGTTGGCCAACATTAGAGAAACAAACATTTTTTCATTGGCCTTTAGAATATTCTAATTTTCTGAGATACCAGATTTGATGTTTTCATTGGTTGTCACCTATAAATATCAAAATTAAACGTAATAAACATCGGAAATACATTGGTCTGTGTGCATTGCATGAATATAATGTACAAGTTTCACGTTTTGAATGGAATTACTGAAATATTTTCAACCTTTTGATGATATTCTAATTTACTGGCCAGCACCTGTATGTGTTCTCAGATATAACGGTTATATCTGCTCCAGTATCAATCCTGAATGGTATGTTAGTTCCATTCACATCCAAATTGGTGAGCCACGGATCATCCATGGACGTATTGTGTCCTGTTATAGTCCCAAGGAACCACACGTCTCCCTCGTCCATTTTCTTATGTTCACATCACATCTCATCACAGACCCCATGACCTTAAGCTGGTCCAGGAAGGGTATATAAGAACAGCTCTGAACAGCAGATAGAGATTGAGAGATTCGACAGCAGTTGGGGCAGAGGACAGAGAGGAGAGCAGATGGGGAGGGGTCATCCCCCGTCCAAACCTGGATGGGGGATGACGGAGAGAGAGACTAGAAAAGAGTTCTTGGGGAGATTCTGAGAAGACAAGAGCTAGTGTAAACTAACTCTTATTTAATCATTTTGAACTAATTCCTCCGTGGGGGATAGCAGTTGTTTTTCACTTTACCCATTTTTTGTATTTTGATTTTGTAATAAACCTTTTTTGAAAAAGAAACATAATCCTGATTCTTTCAGGTTTTCTCTAAAGCTTCACGTTTGGGGCCCTGGCCATAATTGCACAGAGGTAAGCTTATCGATGATCGGTCTCTGAATTATCGGGACTTACTTTACAGTTTATAACAGAATAATATAAAGAAACCTTAAGATAAGGGAAGTTTTAACTTTCCCCTCCTTCCGAGTAACGAGTTGTCTTAAGGGCGATAAAAGCAAAATATTCGAGGTTATTTTGGCTCTGATTGCAGGTTGAAAAAGTCTCTAATCAGCTGGAAGGTTGGATTAATAAATAAATTGATAAAATTATGATAGCCTGATCAACTAGCATAAATCATTTTATAGTTACCAACCTCCCACATAAGCTGTTAGAGGCGCAATTAATTCTGGGTAATCCAAACAATTGCTGAGAGGCTTGGCTTGCCTCCAGACTTCTCTCTAGTATCTTAACCAAAAGGTAACGAGTTTAAAAGAAGTGTAGTACTCTGGGGCTGGCTATTCGTGCAAGTCATTTCACCTTTAAAATAAAAGACAAGATTCTAATTAGATGGTCCAATCCAGGATCTAGTACAATTATACTCGCCGACATCCCCCCGAACCCTGATGGATGCACCGTCTCATAAGTTCTAACGGAACTGGGTTTTAAAGGAACCGGTAAATGGGACGGGCACGCGACAGTAGTTGATCAGGAACAAGACGTCTTCAGCTCTCAGCTCCTCCTCTGAGGTTCTGATGGTGTCTGAAAGAGCTGCCATCTCTCTGCTCAGAGCTTCCATCTTCTCCTTTATCATCCCACTCTTCTGCTCCTCTTCCTCCCACAGTGCAGCCAGTCTGGCCTCCTCTTCATCTGCTGGTGAAGCTTCTTAAAGTGCTCCTTGATCTGCTTCTGTGTGAGTCGGGCCTGGACCTTCAGGTGTTCTGGTGTCTGATCAAGCTGAACTTCAACTTTCTTCTGGAGCTCCAGTTTCTCCTTTAAGGGCTTCAGAGATGTTTGGAGGTTCTCTCTGTGATCCTGAGCAGCTTCATCGATGTGTCTGAATCTGTGGCCGGAGTGTTAGTCTCTGCAGATGACACACACCGGTTCCTGATGGTCCAGACAGAAGAGTCAGAGTTTCTCAGAGTGCAGCCTGCAGAGACCCTCTGAAGCTTGCTGATGTTGCTCCTTCATGAGGGACTCACAGGTTCTTCAAAGCTAGGTTACAGGGTGGATCATCTGTTGCAGATATTTTCCTACAAACTGGACACCCGACCTGTGTGTTGGTTTCTGTCTCCACCAGCTCTTCAGACAGACGTTACAGAAGCTGTGGCTACATGACAGAATGACGGGATCTCATAAGACCTCCTGGCAGACCGGACAGAAGGAATCCTCTGATCTGGAAGCCAGTTAGACTCAAAGTGAAACTGAAAACACAACAGACAGTCCTGGTTCCTCTCTCCTAACTTCCCACTAACCAACTCACCTTCAGTTGTGGGGTTTGTCTCTCCTGCAGCTGAACGTCTGGTTTGATCTGCAGCTTAGGCCGGCTGAGTCGGGACAGAGGACATCATTTCATCTACTTTCAAACTGATTCCTCAACAAGTTTGATATTTTCTCAGAACTTAATGACTTTCATGAAAACTGCTATAGAAACTGACCTCTAACCTGCGTGAGCAGCATGTCGTTCGTCACTGAAGTACTTTTAATTCTGCTTTTTAAGATGTGTTTCAGTAACAGAACGTTACATAAGTTATCAGACCTGCCTTCAGTCAACACACAGGTCAGAGAAACCTCATGAGAACCTGTTGAGTTGCTGGTTTTATTATCAGGCTAAATATTCAGTTGGTTTAAAAACTTCTGAGGAAGAAAAGACAAGAAGTGGTTTTCAGAGAGAGAAAATCCTGTCATGTAATGATTTCATAAATATTACTGATCTTACAACCAAGTGATAAAAACTTCAAGGGTTTATTTGACTTTGAAATAGACAGAAAATCTTGTTTAGATCTTCAGAGGCAGGAAAGTCTTCAGGAACGTTTCTTTGCATTTCCCACGCCATTGCTCAGACAGGAGGTCAGTGATTAGCCAGTTTCTTCGGCCTCTCTGAAGCCACAGAGTGACCAAAGGTGTCCAACAGCTCCACCTGGGAACAAGGCAACACGGCCTGGACCACCGCAGCGCCCGAAACGTTCAACACCTGAGAGAAACAGGTGAGTCAGCAGCTGCTTCTCCAGTCTGCTGGAGGTTGTGAGGGTAGTGAGAGCAGCAGGAGTCACGAATAGGTCTAAAAAAAAAACACATCAGATTATATTTGCTCTTCTGCTGATGATTATTATTTTGTTGTATAAATGATATAATTTCATCTAGATGAATAATTTCACTGACCTGGTCCTGTTTCCCCCAGATGACCTGCAGGGGAGCTGTAATCAGATGACGGTGGTCCTGCAGCGAATGGCGAGATATCTCCCCCACTTTCTCCACAAACACACACACACACGCATGCACAAGCGTGCGTGCGCGCACACACACACCTGTCTTTCTATCATAGTGAGGACCCTCCATTGACTTCCATTAAGTTTTGTGACTCCACTATGCCTAACCATAATCATAACCAATGCTCATCTATTCCTAACCCTAACTAAAACTTAATTCACACCAGACCTCTAAAACCAAACCCTGAAAAAAGTGAGGAGCAAATAAATGTCCTCACATCGTAGGGAAAAGGGTCAAAATGTTCTTCAGTATGTAGTAGTACAAGAACACACACACACACACACACACACTAAAACTGACATGGATCAGGGAATGTTAAGAATAGGGGTTAAGATACACATGTACCTTTTTTAAGATTGTGCGGTTTGATGATTTATTTGAATGAATATTCAAATAAAAGTTGCATATCTCACTCCGTCATGTGGGAGTTTACAGTGAAACATGTAACACGAGATAACTTCCTTCTACCAGTTAAGCCTGTTGCCGTGGCAACCTGACCCATTTATCCCAGACCTAGCCTATATAAACATGAACACGATGGCTGAGACCTTTTCTACACAGTCGGCTCACAAAGCTCTTAACAGATACATTTAAATTTCTTTTTTCTGAAATGCTTCAAAGTTCCCATTCAGTCGATTTTAATCGGTACAACGAAGGTACTATGGGACATCACGCCCTCGTGTGGCCTGGCTGAAGACACATTTAATCACGCCTGTAAGGCAAATGAAAGTGATGCTGCGTGGAGACCCCGCCCTCCACTTACAAGCGACCGCGTCACTGTCATTCCTCAGTTCTTACGCTCTTCACCTCGCTGAGAACACATCCGACAACTAGCTGTGCTATTGAAAGATAGCTTAACTGCTCGCTGACTGGACTCTACTGCCTTCTGGCTCGCATTCCCGCCCACCGAGCGCTATCTTTTGTGGCTCTTCAGCTTCTCCACTTCGTTCTGTGTGTCTCACAAAAGAGGTCCCGCTTCTCTGGATATTACCTCCCCTCGGAACCAGCGGAGGTAAAGAACTTTCTGCCACTGTACCCGGATTTTGTGGCTGAGCTCACGGCATCCTGGACCAAGCCGCTATCCACCTGCACCACGGTCCCGGGTTACGGTCAGTTCTCGGACCTCGACTGTGCAGAAATGGAGGGATTGGTTAACCTCCCTCCGATGGAGCCCTCTCTCGCGGCTTACCTGGCTCTGATCTGCAATAACGGAGTTAGTGGACAAACTAATCTACCCTCCAAGCCATGCCGCTTCTCAGCTGCACAACTGGAGAAGATTTACCGTACGCAGGCCTCCACTGCCCGCGTTCTCAGCTCTTCCACCATGCTCCAGACCTACCAAGCACTTTGCCTGGCGGACCTTGGAGCAAGGGTCCCACCCGACAACCCACTGACACCCCTCATCAGTGAGATACGGGTCACGTCGGACTACATCCTGCAAGCGGCCCGAGGCGTTGCCCTGCTGTTGAGAAGAGGAATGGCCTCAACTGTAGTGGCTCAGAGGCACCTGTGGCTGACCCTTTCTAATGTCCCCGACAGGGACAGGGCTAACTACCTGGATGAGCCTGTTTCACCCAGTGGTCTGTTTGATCAGTCCCTCAACGCTATTCAGACGAAGTTCGAGGCCCAGCTGAAACAGACTGAGGCGCTACGCTCCATCATCCCCAGGCGGGAAGGGTGGCGCACGGCACCTGGGTCTGACAGGAAGAACCTGACCTCTGACAGCCTCTCCAGTGGCAGCGAAGGGCTCGGTCCCAGCTCGGACCCAGTCTTTCCCTCCTCGCCACTCCACTTGGAGTAAAAGCCCTTCTGGGGACTCACAGAAACGCTCTGTGAGCCGCAAGAAGAAACCTCAGTCGTCCTGATCCCGGGACCCACCTTGTTCGGGTTTTCAACCCTGTTGGGCTACAAAAACCAAGTTTTCCATGGTTGAAACGGACCGCTTGGATGTTTTGGCCCCTTCGGTGGCCCATGCGGTTCTCTCAGCTGGATCTGACTTGCCATCTTAGGTTGCAATCTCAGGCCAGGTTAGATAGCTGCTCATGGGGCGTTTCGATAAGTCCCATAGTACCTTCGTTGTACCGAGTGAATCGACTGAAAGGGAACGTTAGGTTATGCATATAACCACTGTTCCCTGAAGGAGAGGAACGAGGTACAATGCAGGGCTGCCCGATTCACAGCCCAGCTCGGTGAAGAGCGGCTATCGAACTGAGGAATGACAGTGACACAGTCGCTTATAAGTGGAGGGCGGGGCCTCCACGCAGTTTCACTTTCATTTGCCTTACAGGCATGATTAAATGCGTCTAGCCAGGCCACACGAGGGCGTGATGTCCTATAGTACCTTCGTTGTACCTCATTCCTCTCCAGGGAACAGTGGTTATATGCATAACCTAACGTTTTCAAATGTTTAAGTGGACCTTATTGTTTATTAATGTAAAAATATGCAAAACTGTAAGAAGCGCATCATACTTTACCTATGTTGCCATTTAAAAGACAAAAATTGACGTGTTTACTTCTGTGTACATTAGCAGCAAACATTAACGATAAAACTTACTTGTGAGATGAACCACAAACATTTAAGTCCAAAATAAAAGTTAGTGAAGCGAGTTCTTTCAAACCCCTCCTCTACGGGGTGTGAGGTTTGCTTTTCCTACGCTTTACCTTTCCATTGACAACGGGGGCATCCAGGGACTCCAGACGGTAAGGACGCGGTAGGACGGGGTCCAGCCTGACAGACGGATTTGTGGTGGGAGTGCTCACAGCGAGGTGGGCTGACACAACAACCCCTTGGACAAAAAGAAAAAGACTGACGTGAGGAGGCATTGCTCTAAATGAAGCTGCTAATATTTTATATTTGAGAAGTTAAACTGCATATTCAAATAAAACAAACACTTTGCACCTAAAACACCTTCTAAATAAATCATACATCCAAAGACATTAATAAGTGGCTTGAGCATCTGATTAGGATGCCTCCTGGACGCCTTTATGAGGTTTCTGGGCACGTCCAACAGGGGGGAGACCTAAGGAAGGCCCAGGACACGATGGAGAGACTATTGGTGGTTACACAGCATTGGCTCAGTCCGTTACAGGACCAGAATTTGGTTTCACATACAGGTCAGATTTGCATTTTCAGTTCCGAGGCATCTCTTTTTTTTTTTCCAGACCTCCGCCCCAGAGGTCAGACTGGGACCGAGGTGACACTACGGACTGATTGGCCGGCTGAAATTACGTCTACAGCCTCTGATCGGTGAGTAGAATGAGCCTGTCGGTGTTAGTTTGTCATCCACATATTTCTTGGTTGGCCTGGGAACGCCTTAAGATTCCCCCGGAAGAGCTCGCCCAAGTGGCTGGGAAGAGGGAGGTCTGGGCCTCTCTGCTTAGGCTGCTGCCCCCGTGACCCGACCCGACCCTGGATGGATGGATGGATGGATGGATAGACTTCAAACATCTTACTGTCATATTGAGATGTTGGTAACTGAAAATGCAGCTTGGGATATTTGTAGAGCTGACCATTTGTTTCCAACTCATCGTTAGCATTTGTAGCTCACCGTTAGCCTCTAGCCTGCTTTACCCAATATTAGAGTAAAACAAAAGGATGCTGTGGCTTCTTAGAGGTACAAGAAATACTTTGAGTCGCTCTTGTTTACTCGCTTTGGTTCTGTAAACAACTCTGGAGCTTTTTGCACTGCAGCATTAGCTCGGCGCAGACTCAGCAGCCTCAAGCGCTCACAGGGTGCCTTCCTCATCTTTTTTAAAATGGAAAAACTAACAACCCCCCAGCCGGCTGAAAATGAAATATGTTTAATGTTACCTTCCATCCATCATGATTGGGTCATTAAACTGTTTTGTGATTATTTCACAATAAAATTCTCACATATTGCTCCTTTAAAGACTAGAAAAGGTCATAACCGGCAGGTTTACTGACTAAAAGAGGATGAATCTGAGTCATGAATCTAACCACGTCCTTTAGCAACATCGCTTCCCAGCAGCTGACTGGCTCTCTTAGACTTGAAGTAGCTGCTAGCGATGCTCTCACTGTCACTTCGGCTAAGCATTTCCTTGAACCGGTCCTCTTCCACCTGCAACAAGATGCAAAAATAAAATGTCTGTCAAGGTTAAATCAAATCCATGTGTGTTCTAACTCAAACACTCTCTGAAACATTGATACCGTATATTGCTCTGCAGCATCTGGACCAGAATCTCGGCGAACTGCAGATTTTAAAGAAACAGCTGCAAGAAATAAAAGAGTGAAAAGATATTCTTCCAAAAATAAACAATATTGCCATTTTAAGGTGGGGTAGGGGGTGTTTTTGGAGCATTTTTTGCTATATTACATGAAATTCTCTTCACCTATGTAACTAATAATTTAAATGTTTTATCCAAAAAGGGATCATTTTATTTCGCCTCTGAAACGTACAATGCCGGAAAACCTTCATCTAATCATTGTGAATGTCCCATTCCTAACGACTGGTTCCTGATCCATCCATCAAACTGCCCTCTGACCTGACACCCCCCCCCCCCCCCCCCTCCCCCAATGGGTAAACTTCTATGTGCTGAAATTACGCATTCTCGGCTTGGAGCAGCCAAACAGGAAGCAAAGCCAGAGCCAGGCTAGCTACGTTAGCTAGCATACTACACTGTAGGTGTGTTACTTTAGGAGTTATGGCAGAAAACGTACCAACAGTAGGTCAAAAACATCTGTATCTGTTGCATCCAGCACTCTTGTAGGGTGTGGATTAGGGCAGGAGCTTGAGGAAAGGGGTTTGGACATTTGTATTGAGTTTCTTCCGGAACTACTGCCCTATATTTAACAAATATCTGTTTCCGTTACCTGAAGGTAATGTTGTTTTCTGCACCGTCACATCAGGGAGCTTCCAGGCAGCGCCGTCCTCGTCCCAAAAGGCTTCTTTCTTCAAGCGGTCCAGGTTGCTGTAGTTGCAGTCCCGGCGTACAAGAGGCACCATCCGCTCCAACAGGCTGTTCAGCAGCTGGCCCTCTCTCTCAAGCCGGCGGATGGTTGACAGATAGTCCTTCCTCTCATCCTCAAACTCCGCCTGCAGGTCCCGGATCTCCAGTTTGGCTGCTTTCAGCTGAGAGTTACAAGTGATCTTAGATGAGAACACTCACACACCCTCGTTTAGGATTTGGTGTCAGAACAAACAAAAAGTGCAAAACCCCAGGACACTTTGAGTGTAAATAATCAACAATCTTCTTTCTAGCCTGAAGTGTAAATAATCTTTATGTAAAATGTGCTGTCTCACTTTTTGTTGTTGTTTGTGATAAATTTAGATAAATGAAGCAGAAGATGATTTATAGATGTGTTTATCCACCAGGTACTGTCACGCACCTTTCCCTGGACTTTAACCAGCATCTGGTTTTTCACATAAACCTCTTCCTGGATTGAGTTGTAGACCTTTAACATGACGTGTTCGCTCTCCTCGCTGTCTTCCGACAGCGCGTGGATGAGCTGAGCTTTTCTTTGATCAGCGAGGTTCTGCCTTTGGCGGTGTTTCTGCTGGAACGCTGCGTTCCGGGCCTGCTCCCCGCCTATTATCTTCTGTTCCAGCTGTTGCAGTCTGGGAGGGAAGATGGTAGAATAAGGCTAGATCTCCATCTTCACATATGTGAACATTGTGGAAGCACACAAACCTTTCCAGGGCGTGTTTCTGGTCAAGGGGTTGGCCTGACTGAGTGAGATTCACGTCCTCTGGATCTTTTTGGACCACTGCAGCAGAAGGGTCTGCAGGCTGGCTCAGCAACACAACAGCACATCCTCCAATAAGCCAGATCCACAGGTGTTTTCACTCAATTCAGAACCATAAACTGCTTTGATCGTGTTGGGATCGAACCTCGGTCTGGGAAGCAGCTCCACTTGTGCAGAGGGGATCAGGGTCAGTGGAGCCTTCTTTCTCAGCATCTTTATCCATACAGCTGAGGCTCAGTGGCGCTAGGACAAAAACATCAAAATAACGTAGACATCAGGAGCGACGACGCTCCTTACCTGGGCAGATGAATGCCTCTTGATTTTACCATTCTGAGGGACAGAGCTCCCCCTGCTGGCTTGGTTCTTCTCTAGATCCAACAGGGCTGATTCATATGAGGATTGCAGAGCTGAAATAACCTTCTGCAGCTTCACTTTGGACTCCTGCTCTGCGTTGTACTCAGCCTGCAGCTTTGCCAGCTTCTCTTCGTACTCCTGTGGAGAGAAAGTGGAACCACAAATCACCTAGTTCTTATAAAAACCCACGTAGACGCCACGTGATATTAGCTTGGGAAAGGTTTGCCTCTGTAAATTTCTCTTTCTTCGTTTCAGGAGAGCTGGACTGTAGCTTTGCAGGAACAGCTGAGGACCGATCAGCCAGCTGAGCTGCATGATAAGTTAAGAAAAAACACAAAATCATCAAATGCTAATTAAATTCCTCTCAGGATCTGCGCTTAGAAGTCACGACTAACACGAAAGGTCACAGGAGCCCAACTGGCCAGAGATGAGGGCCCGCAGTTTCTTGATCTCCTCCCTGTACTCTCTGATTTGTGCATCTTTGGGGTCTTCGTTGATCCTTGGTTTGTTCTGGATGCTCTTGGCCCGGTTTGCATAACGCAGCGTGCTCAAGCTCTCCTCATAGTTATTGTCTGCAGGTGAGATGCAGGCAATCATCAAGGTGCGGGTGCTTCCTCCCAGAGAGTCCTGCAGCAGCCTGGTCAGCTTAGAATCCCGGTAGGGGACGTATTTGGAGCGGCCGTCCACCAGGGCAGAGATGACGTTGCCCAGAGCCGAGAGGGAGAGATTGATCTTGGTGGCTTCACGGAGTCGTTCACCAGTGGCGCCGGTTTTAGACTGGCGCTCACTTCCTGCAAGGTCCACCAGGTTTAGTTTTCCTGCTCTGAGGTGGTCCTGGCCAGCTGCATCTAGGAGCAGAAGAAGACGAGTGTGAAATATTTATAAAGGTTTTCTACTGACTTCAATAGAATGGAGGTAAATCAGTCGTGGTTTTATTCAACACAAAGCAAAAAAAAAGTTACTTTCAAATAAAAAATAACTCGAATAAAAGCTATCTATGCATTATCACACATTTTCAAATCTGATCAATGAGTGGAAGCTTTTGTGTTATTGTCGGTTCTCACCGGTGTGGCAGATCTCCAGGTGGACGGTGAAGATGGAGTGGGAGCGGGAGGAATCCTTGTTCATCAGAGTGTATCCCACCGCCCGGTTCCTCCAGCCTTGCTCTACGATCCGCTCACACTCCCCCACACTGTGAACCGTGTGCATGGAGAGGTCCCGCACGTACACCCCGCGCTCTGGGTGCTCCTTCAGCTGCACGAACACACAAAAACCACTAATACATCAAATGTTTTCCTCTGAACACCTTTAAGGAATCATTAAACAGCTCTGGTTTTACGTCACCGTGGTAACGTGCACAAAACATGCAGTATCTGAGTTTCATTATGCATGAACAATAGCAGCAACTCATCCACTTCCAACTTCTTCTCGACTAACCTCCAGTCTCTGCTTCGTATCACTTCCCAAGAGGTCCCTTACTTCTTCGTTGTAAATCTCCAAGTAAGAGGCCCTCACAAGGAATTTAGTGTTTTCAGCACACTGGGTTGTGCACAGAAAGACAGCACAGTTACCTACTAGCAGTCTACAGATCTGCCTGAGAACAGTTCACATACCTGGATGCTCTCAAAGATGTGTTCAAAAGCCCGCGGTATGACCCCTCTTTGAGCTGCGGGGTCAGACACCCCTTGCATGGTGAAAGATTTGCCACTTCCAGTTTGCCCATAGGCAAAAATAGTGCCGTTGTACCCTTCAGTGACTCCCTGTAAGAATGCAGCTTTGTTTGAGGATCAACAGAGGAAGGAGAAGTAAATCTTGAGAAGTCTGAGACCGAGGGTGTCAAGTGACCAGTATAGAAACGCTACGACTCACCTCAACCAAAGGGTACGCAATCTCGTTGTACAGCTGCTCAGTGGTTTGCTCGATGTGATAGGTCCCATCAAAAGTGAACGGCTTGGGCGGCTCGTCTACTGCCCCAGGCTTTTCTATAAAACACTGACAGTGTTGGAGATCCATGGACAGCACCATCTTGGAGCTGAGGGCCTTTTCCCTGTCGTTCAGGGGCCTGCACCTGACCACCACCTTCACCGACTCCGACCCCATAACTCAGCAGTCATGCAAACAGAAAAGTCCTTTTAGAAGAGACAACTAAAAGTCATTTAGAGGTTTTACAGAGACACTGAGCTGGAGCAATGAGACTTCTTATTAAACAATCATCACAAAGGCAGAAACGCCAGCCTGATCTCAGGTCTTCTGTCTCCGCTTCCCTGTGACTTCTCTCTTTGTGGCATTGTGAGGTTGCCTAGCAACCTTAAAGCTACAGCTCTTTAAGTGGGTGAAAGGGGTAGGAACTGTTATTACCTGTTGCAGACTTAATCTTCAGTCGGGCAAAACAGAAAATATTATATGACTTTTTACACGTGGTGAGAATTCAGAATATCTACAAAACTTTACATTCAAGGCATCGTAACGATTGGGAAGTAGCATCTGCACGAACCTCTTAAGGTTTTTGCAATTAGACACTTTGTAATTGCACCAGTTTATTCTTTATATGATTGAGTTTCAAAACAGGTCAGCCTTTGGAAAGCAGGGATAGAAGGAAACTATGTGAGAACTGTAGAGTGAAATAATCACAAGCCAGTGCGTCTCAACCCGTCTAAACAAAAAATACATGAGTGAATAAATAATACACAAATAGTCTAAGGAGCTTTGAAAGAAAAGCGTCTGGACTTCTTTGAGTTGCTTGAAGATGTTTCACCTCTCATCTGAGAGGCTTCTTCAGTTCTAAGGTCAAATGGTGGAGAGTCCCAGATTCAAACCCAGTGGGAGTCGTCCCCCCCGAAGAGAGAACAAAAGACCCCGATGATCTTTTACATAAACACATGAGCCAAGGTGTGAGGGTGGGTGTGGGTCCTATTCAGCCAGAGTTTCGGGTGAGCTCAAGCCTGGCCCCACCCTATCATGTGAATTCTTGAGGTCAGATGGCCCAGGATATGCGTGGGCGTTGAGGCATCTGGGAAGGGATCTCAAAACTGGATTATAGATGGCAGACAGTTGGTGTCGTAAACCACCGCCTCTGTTCTGAATAGGACCCACACCCAACCTCACACCTTGGCTCATGTGTTTATGTAGAAGATCATCAGGGGGTCTTCTTCGGGGCAAAACTCCCACTGGGTTTGAATCTGGGACTCTCCACCATTTAACCTTAGAACTGAAGAAGCCTCTCGGATGAGAGGTGAAACGTCTTCAAGCAACTCAAAGAAGTCCAGACGCTTTTCTTTCAAAGCTCCTTAGACTACAATGACCTGGATGACTGAGAACCTTCACAGACAATACGCAAATAAACAAAAATGTAAATGCTCTGTATTTTAGTGCCTTCTTAGGGTTCTACAGCCCAAGGCGCTTCACAACATAATCAGTCATTCACCCATTCACACGCTGGTGACGATGTGGGCGCGGCTACCGAGCACCGACGCCACCGGGCAAGGCGGATTATTGTCTTCTCCAAGGACACAACAGCAACATTGTCTGGCGGGAGCCAGAATAGAACCCACAACCTTCCGATTACAAGACAACCCGCTCAACCTGCTGAGCTACTGCTGCCCATTTATATGATACTAAAAATATAAACACATACATAAAAATAAATACAAGAAGAAAAACATACCAACCTGTCCTTGAGAGACATTTAACCCACCCGGTGCTTCGGTGGTGGTCGGAGGGACCGGAGGCGCCTGTGCCTGGAACATCGGTCAGCTGTGGCTACAACGTAGCTCATCACCACCAGGGTGTGAATGGTTGAATGATTTACTGTAGTGGAAAGTGCTTTGGAGTCCTCTGACACTGAATCAGAACCAGAATTAGACCTGAAAACTGAGCATGAATGTGAACGCGTGCACGCTTTGCTTGGTGGAACTGACTGATTTATTGTAAACCAGAGAACGGAATCAGAAAGATGGCGACGAGACACCACAAGAGCAGACAACCATCTCCCACCACCTTAAAGACTCGTCTGCTGACAGAATGTCTGAACTTCTAACAGTAAACTTTTGACAAACTATCAGAAAAATAACAAAGCAAAACAGAAAACAGACATTTTTGTACAAGTCATCTATAAACAGGATTAAAATCCAGCAGAGGCGTAAAAGCTGCTTAAATAATGAACATTTAGGTAAAGTTAAAAAAGAAAAGCTTGGGCTTCACCATCTTTTCCACCCCACAGATGTTGAAGTGGTTGCACATCTAAGAACAAACCTTTGGCCTAAAGGCAGGTAAAAAAATACTTTTAAAATTATTCTTTGGAAAACACACAAGCAGTGTTTGTTCAGTCACAGATAAGTGCCCTCAGTTAATCACGTGCAAACAGTGATAAGTGCATGGAAGGTTGCAGTTCATTATTGTCACCATAGACATCCTGATTTTAATGTACGATACGATGAATGTGCAGAAATGAGTGCAGCTTTTGCGTCTTTACACCCATTCCCTTCTGCGGCTACTTTTAGATTTGCTTCTGTAAGAGCTCGTGTGCATTTTGGGAGCACGCTGGATGTTGGTATTTTCCTCCCACTCATAGCAGTGGTTCACCCGGGCGCAGCTCAGAGGGCACGGCAGCTCATCCTGGGACTGGGAGTAGTGTTCGATCAGCTCAGCAACGGAGGTGAATTCTGTCTTGGACTTCTACAACAAAAGAGGCACGAAAAGCTCCAATTTTAAATATCAAAACAATAGCTGACAGTAAACGGTTATTGTGAGGTATTTTTGGTAAATTTTTGGGCACGTTTATTTAGAAACCATCATTACCTCCAGCATGAGCGTTCCTTTGCGAGTATTCAGGATCAAGTGGGTAGCCAGGCCAGAGGCGAAGCGAATGATCAGAGAACCACATTTGGGTTTTTTGGGATGTGGACACAGAAGGTACGATCCCAGAACATCGTCAGCAAGGAGGGAGCAGCCGTTGTCGCTGTAACAGCAGTGAGAGAGAAAAAGAACAAGATGATGAAAACTGTGGAGGAAAAGAACATTCAGGTGTGTAACACACTGACGCTGCAATCCCAGCCCAACACCACACCGCTTGGGCTAGGGCTTCCTCTGTCTCGGCGAGGCTCGGAGTCCGGGTTCCCTTCACTGGGACGTTGTCTTGAGAGTTTTCTGCTTCACAAAGAGTGAATGTTCATGAATTTGGAGCAACAAAAATAAACAAGTCGGATTTGTGTTTGAAGACAGTGAATGTAATCCCAACCCAGTGTACAAGCTTCACATAAACTTCTGTGAAAGAAAACCAAACGGTGTGAAGCTTTAAAGGTCTGGTTCACCAAAAAACGTGAATCGCTTTTTCTGTGTTTTTTAACACATTCGGTTACCCTGAGCTGTACGCATGTTGAATGCGAACCTGTATTTCCTGCATTAGCCTCTGGAATATGTTGGCGGGGAAACAGTTGGGTAAAAAAAAACCTCTTTGCTACGTCACAGGGAAAATTAGCATGCATGGCCACGCCCACTTTGGCTTGAGACGGCAGAAGACTATTGATCTGGTGGCCAGGAGAGATGAGAGCGCACCTTGGCTAGTAGAAGCAAACCATTAGCATTAGCAACTCCACAACATGGTGAAAAATGTTCAGGCTTGTGTTATGTGTAGAGATGAAACATCCATGTTGCAAACAGAGCATGCCGGAAGCAGCGCCACAAACACCAGCGAGCTCTGAGGATGGCTAGTCGCTAGCCGAAACATGCGAGTTTCAAGGTAAACAACCATTTTATCGCTGCACAGTGTTAAAAAAGGAAGTAATGGATCATTGTTGCATTCCTTTTAACTATAAGACGAGTGAATGAAGGCAGCGGAAGAGTCGTGTAGCTGTTAGCCAATGAGAGGCATTTGCATATCATATCCACCCTCCTTAGACTCACTTCCACCTGAAACCGGAGCACCAGAGATTTTTCCAAGGACAACACATTTCCAGTTAATCATCCATACTCAATACCGTAATTTCCGGACTATAGAGCGCATCTCAATATAAGCCGCACCGGGCTAAAAGCCACAGATATCTACTGAATCGAAAACGTGGTTTAACTGAACGTAACTGAACTGATCAGTATCAAACAAAACAGAAAAGTTATTGATTAGTTTATTCATCCTCCTCCTGCTCACTGAAACCACTGAAGTCATCATCTTCTTCAGTGCCGGGAGTTTAACAGCCTCAGAAGATCTTAGGTGTTTTCTTGCTGTGTCGTGGTTCTAATTCCATGCTTTTTAAAACACAGAAACAGTTTTGTTTACCTGTTTTGTTGCTACGTTTCACCGGCGGCTGCAGGCTTCCTCAGGCTGTCGCTGACGGTGGCGTCACTTCCTTCTCCGTTTATCTGCGGGCAGCAGAGGACGTTGTCGCCCTCTACTGCCCGCTCTCCCCTCTCCGACGATGCAGTCCCATGCGCGGTCTAACGTGTACACTGGGTCGTCCCTGTTCATGGTCCCACATCCACGTCTCCTTATCTCGATTGCTTCTTTAATCCATCTTTTGTATTTCTGTTGTTCAATGTTTATGATCCTTGTGTTGTCCCAGTCCATTACATGGTTTTCTCTTATGCAGTGATCTGTTACGGCTGACTTCTTTGTGCTTTCTGCTTCTTGTTTTGCTGCTCTTGTGTGTTTTCGATTTGCCTCTTTCTCGCACTCCTTTCTATGTTCTATTGTTCGTGTGTTGAGTTGGCGTCCGGTTTCTCCTATGTATGTTTTATTGCAGAGTTTGCATGGGATTTCATAAATGACTCCACATTTAAGTCCAGCTGATATTTTGTCTTTTGGGTGTACTAGTCTGTTTCTAACTTTTGTGTATGGTTTTGTTGGTGTGTTTATGTTGTGTTTTTTCATTGTTGCTCTTATTTTTTCTGTTACGCCTCTGACATGGGCAATAAACAAAGGAAAACGGCAAACAAAAACAGAAAGAAAAGAACAACCTAAGCAAAGAATCAGAAACCCAGAAAGACAAGAACCAAAACCAGTGATAACCCTACCATACATCAGTTGCTGTCATTCCCGGGGTGAAGCTAGGAAAACAAGCAGCGCCGTTTTACTGTGAAAAAAAATCCTCCTGGGTGCTTTCCGTAGCACTCCTTTAACCATTCCTTCATTAGACTTTCTAGCATCCGTCCTTTCTGGTTGACTAAAGCTGCACCTCATTTTAAGCCGCATGGTTCAAAGCGTGGGGAAAAAAGTAGCGGCTTATAGTCCGGAAAATACGGTAATACAACAAACTGGACTAAATAAGGGAACAAGACCCTTAAGAGCATTCATCACAACCCATGTGAGATGGCTTCGTTCACCCCCCACCACGATGGTGACTGATGACCCTAGACATGAAACTGAGGAGGGTTTGCTTTACCTAATCAGCTTTTTGAATCTTGACAGCACTCTGGAAACTCTCGGCCCACCTTGTGACTCACTCAGACGCTCCTGAAGGCGTTGCTGTTTGAGCGGGGTGAAGGTGAAGGAGCGGTAAGCGCCAGAGCGCAGCCCTTTGGTGCGGATGACTTTCTTGCGCATCAGCGAGGGCGAAAAGGCTGAAAAGACTTCCTCTTGGTTGTTGTGAAGGTCATCAACTTTCTTCGTAGATTTCTGGGAAACGTTTTTAGCAAATTATTTAAGGACTAAATGCTTAATAAGTCTTAATTACCAAATAAATCAAAACCCAAGCCAGAAATTTATTAGAAGCTAGTAAAACAAGTGTCACACGTTTAGAAATACCTTTGAGCCAAACAACAACCCTCGAAAAGGGGCTCTTCTGAAGGAAACCAAGGCACTGACGCTGAGAGGGAAGCCATGGTTGAGCAGTGAGGGGTTACGTTGAGGCGCTGAGCCAACAGATTCTTCATCTGCTTCTTCTGGGTGCTTCTGTAAGTAGGACAGCTGGAAACAGCGGCACAGCAACAGGTTCAGGAACTGGGCCTGAAACAGGAAAAGGTGCAACGAATCAGTCCATCCCAAAATGTCCCTCTGCAGAAACATCTGATGTGTGGAGGCAGCACACTCCGACAGGAAGACACTTCTGTGAATGATTGTAAACGTCTATAGTGCTTTCATTTAGAAAGGTCATGCCCCATCTGTCATTTAGCATAGGAGGATCACTAGTAAGTGTGATAACAAAACGGTGCACATGTCCCTCTGAGAGCCCTGTGGGGGGTGCTCTAGGAGATGGGGCCCGTTGATTCGGGCTGTTGGGTCCCTGAACGATCAGTGCCAGAGCTGGGGCCACATTGCCAGTAGTAAGTCAGGCTCGTTCCTGGTGAGAGCTGAAAATTTCTAGGTGTAGCCAATGAGTGGCTGTCTGACGTGGTCATGTTGGCTTCATCAGACCGTGATTTCCTGGAGTGGTTTGCAACCGAGTGTAAGGCAGCCAGAATGAGAATCAGCTACTCCGATACCAAGAATATAGTCTCGAGTCGGAGAAGTGTGGAATGCCTTCTCTGGGTGGGGGGACGAGGTCCTGCCCCAAGGGGAGGAGTTTAGGTATCCCGGGGTCTTGAGCACACATTAAAGGTGTGGATTACTCTTTTGACTTGCAGTGGTCTCTAGTAGGAATAAAATGATGGAGTCTTGACGGCTTCAGCCGTGTGTTTGAGATGCTAATGCTAGCGGTTAGCTTCTGTTGAAAGAGACGCTCTGTAATTATTCAGGAAGCTACAACAGCAGCAGCGTTTTCCCCACATAGGCTCAGGCGTGACGCTGCACCAAGGCTCAAATCCCAGGATCACGGCTACACCCCCCAGCCCCACCCACATGGGAGACACTTGTATGCGAAATGGTCTGTGCACAAAATCCTAGATTTTCACCGTCTATTTTTTTATCAGAAGCTAAGAAATAAGTGCAAACCTCAAAAGAACCAATGTGTGCTCAGTGCTGACACAGAAATGCCCGTGGATCTATGTTGATGCTGTGTGAACAGCTCGGGTACATATGAGAGTAATGTCTTTGGAAGCGAAGCGGAGAGAAAACCAGAGTGAACATTGACATGTTCTTACAGTAGTTTGAGGAAGCTGAAGGAGGCTACATAATCACAGACTGATGGTGACCTGTCTTTGTTGCTACTGGACTTGTAAGAAATAATACCTTTTGTCCAACAGTGTGGATGTTATTACTTTATGGTTTAATTAGCTCACTGTTAGCACAAGTTACAGCAGGGTTGTTCCAGAACTGCACTGCTCTGGGTGGCTGCATGTTGGAGTAGCTCTGTAGACTATATGTAAGTTTTGCCTTTTTTGGACATTTTTTCTTCTAGTTTGTCAAGAAAAACTGTGTTTTGTTGGACATTTTACTTTTCTGTTTCTGGTGCTGAGAAGCTTAGAGGATTTTTAGTGCCATTTTGTCACTTTTTGAGCATTTGTTATGATGTGTAACCATGGAAACAAGCTGTTTACAATCAGGAGCAGCTGATTAACACTGGAAAAGCTGAAATAAAACCTCAACTGAAGCCACAAATCCCAAATGAGCTAAAACTCAACCCTACTAAAGCCGGGCGGACACTGTGCGACTTTTTCACTTTTTTGAGCCGATTTTCCACTCGTGCGAGAATCCACAAGATCGGGGCGAGTTTTGCGCTGAGGGTGGTGTAGTGTACAGGGGGTTACGAGAGGCGATTAACACCACGTGACCAGCTACCGATCAGCAATTGTGAGCTCGCACAGACTTCTGGAGTGTTTGATATTTTGCTCGTTCCTCGTGAGGGTTGAAGCGGCGCAGCGAGCAGCTGCAACCCAAAAAGTACCAGAACCGCTCACGATGCATGCGCAATCCTGCATCAACACTGCTCACCCGCTATTTCCCTAATAACACGTGTTGTTCGTTTTTATTTCTAAACGTTTTTTTTACACACAGTGACAAGGATAGGCAAGAAAGTGTGTTTGTCGTGTTCATGTCAAATTAAATTGGTCACAAAACACAGATTTAGTTTCTTTATTTCGTTTTCCTCATCCAACCCCCATAAATCCCAGTGTGTCCTCCTGCAGCACTCCCGAAGTACAACAGGCAAAACAACACAAAAAAGTCTGACGTGTTGTGTAAAAACTGCTATTTTTAGCATATTTTTAGGTCCGACGTGTTGCTACTAGACGTACAGTGTGAGCAGTCAGGTCAAATCCAAGAACTGTGTGAGCACGACTCGTGGGATATGCCCTGCGAGGAAGTCGTACAGTTTGAGCTGAAGCAGAGTGCTACGAGTGAAAAAGTCGCACAGTGTCCACCCAGCTTTTTTTAGTTTATCAGCACAAAAAAAAAAGGTTGATTTGGGAGTGAGTTGCTCTTTAAGCTAGATCATTAACAATGACCTCAGAGATTGTTGGGCTAGAAAGTCGACAAGTTTTATATTTGACATCATTCTGCACTCTGTAGATCAAACGAAGCAGGGAGGTGGCTTATAGAGGAAGCTCTTTACCTGCATTATTATTGTTAGCTGTAATGCTAGCGATTAGCATTTTCAGTTTGCATATCATCAATAAAAAGCACAAGAAGAAGAAAAAGACGAAGTTTGCATTTTCTGTTTGCACCGTAGCAGAGCCCGGAAGTAAAAGTAAGAGTAATGTCTTTGGAAGCAAAACAGAGATAAAACCAGAGTGAACATTGACATGTTTGAGGAAGCTGAAGGAGGCTACAAAATCACAGACTGATGGTGACCTGTCTTTGTTGCTACTGGACTTGTAAGAAATATTTTGTCCAACAGTGTGGATGTTATTAATTTATGGTTTAATTAGCTCGTTGTTAGCACAAGTTACAGCAGGGTCGTTCCAGAACTGCGCTGCTCTGGGTGGCTGCATGTTGGAGTAGCTCTGTTGACTATATGTAAGTTTTGCCTTTTTTTGGACATTTTTTCTTCTAGTTTCTCAAGAAAAACTGTGGTTTTTTGGACATTTTACTTTTCTGTTTCTGGTGCTGTGAAGCTTAGAGGATTTTTAGTGCTATTTTTTCACTTTTTGAGCATTTGTTATGATGCATAACCATGGCAACAAGCTGGTTTACAATCGGGAGCAGCTGATTAACATTGGAAAGGCTGAAATAATACCTCAACTCAAGACACAAATCCCAAATGAGCTAAAACGCAATCTGGGCCGAAGCCGAAGCACTGCTTCAACCGTGTGATACCCTCACGAGCGACGAGCACGATGGGCAGCTGGCTGTGAAGCGTTTATCGCCCTTCATTACCCCCTGAGTCCCACACAACGTAAACCCTGCCCCAACCGAAAAGATTCTTGTTCATTGAAACAATCAGGTTGAATAAAACTAGAGTTTCATAAGTACAATAAATGTTTGGGGTTTTAGTTTTGAAAGTATACAACATCAAAAATCAATGAATAAAATGAATTTGGAGATTTGGACGTTTCACTGCTGAAAGAATGCAGCAGGAAACAAGCTTTTATATCGGATCAGATTAGGGGAATTGTTATTTGGAAATATTCCACCATCCCGAAGACACTGGGATCATTTTAATAATGTTCGATATTTTAATACACATTACTCCAGAATGATTTCTGTCCTGCTTGATCCAGATTTGTTCAGACTTCATGATGATGCAAACAATCATCCCAAGTCTGGGTGTTTCTGGAGCCCATTGTCAGCTGCAGATGTCCTTCAGGACTGATGATAAACACCCAGTTCTGGGTTTGAAGAACACTCTGCAGCAGTTTACTGCTGGACAATACATGTTTAAGATTCTTATCTTTTTCTTGCCAAATAAAAGATTTCAGTTACTAAAGAGTCCATGAACAGCTCATCCTCTTGCCAATCAAGACCTAGTTTTAAATGATAAAACATCAAAGAACATAAATTTGAAGATTTCTTACTGCTCTGGCGTGCATCGCTTTAAAAACGTGGCAATAAAGTTGGGCATCTGTGCTTCCTGGATTATGGGAGACAAAAGCAAACTGGGCATTGATGGGATAGGCGGTAGACAGAGAGACTCTTCGCAGAGCGTGGGCCATCAGCAGTGTCTGCAGAAAGAATACGTGTCACATTAGGTCGGAAAAAAATGACAAAATTATCCAGTTTTACAGAAAAACTGTCTAAAAACATCAAGCACACTTACCACTTCATCCTCGTCATACATTTTCACACCTTTTAAGGAGAACTTTAGAGCCACCGGCCTTCTCTGTCTGCATGCCTGACATGCAGAGACATCACACAACAGCGTCAGACATCCTTTAAACAACCGGCATCGTGGCTCAGTCTGAACTACAGGCTCACCTTCAGGGCGCTCAGCTGAGCATGCAGCTGCTTTATCTGCTCATCCAAACAGCAGTCATCCACAGGGAACGAGCCTACGTACTTCACCCACAATGGTGCAGAGGTTCAATGGACCAACAAACACATTACAGACACATAAATCCACCCACTACTTTATATTACATACACCCATTAAACTGCTGGTCAACACATAGATAAATTATTATTATTTTTTTTAGCTCTGGGGCCACGCGTGGCTCTTTGGCTAGAAATGATGAAATACTAACTGATGTTTTTAAATATAGATTTAATAAAAATTCAGGTTTAAGCCACTTTTCGTTTTTTCATGGAGAAATGAATATTAAGTGATTTTTAGTTCTATTTGATTATTTTAGATAATTTACAAATAGCAACATCTCCTTGACAAAATACACAGAGTCAACTCTTAACCGTATTTCATTTAAAAACAAAATATTGGTTTTTCAAAAATCTCTAATAAATATTTATGGAAAAGGAGAAAATGTTTCACTTTAAAGCTGCTATAGCAAACCAACAAAACAAGCTAGGTTTTGAACGCAAAACCTTGGGTATCTTCCCAGAGACGCTTCTGTTGGAACCGGAAACTAGTGATGTTAGTGGAAACAAGATAGCTCTAAACACCAGTCGCCATTTTCGAGGTCCAAACCTCTTGTTGTCCGTGACTTCAAATGGTGATTTTCTTTTTAGGACGCTGGTAGTTTGTCCTAAAGCTGAAGTGGTAGCAGCTGGCCGTTTCCTCCGATATTATTGAGAGGAGGACCTCTCACACCATTGGTGTTCTGCTGCCGAGTACGTGAGCGAGTGATGAATGGAGGACCCAGTGAAGTACAGCGGTTTGGTCAAGACGTGTTATAGGCAGATTTTTAGACAAATGAAAGAGGTCCACTTTATGTTTATTTATCTCCACAATATTTTTATAGCTATACTATGTCAGAACATTAAGAGGCCTTAAAAAATGTTTTAAGCTAATTAATTTTCCAAATTTGCTATTGCAGCTTTAATCTGAGTTTTTAGTTTCGTCCTCAGATTCTCAGAATTCTCCAGTGGCCCATCTGCGACATGTACCCCGTTAATAAATCATATTCATGTTCACATAAATAACATTCATCTTCTTTAATAAAAAAATCAATGTAAACATCAATAAATACTATTTTTTGTGGAGACAGCAGCGTTAGTTAAAAATTGCTAAAGTTATACATTCTGAATCAACAATTGAAATAAATGTTTAAAACATATTTTCTGAAATGTCTGTCTCTCAAATTTGAGGTAAATGTGTTTGATGCTTTTAAACGAAAATAGCACCAGGCTAACCACTCCCACAGAGATGGTGTCACCCTTAAACATTTACTGCCCCCCCCCCATACAATGTTTCTGGGACCGCATCTGCCTGTGACAAGTTTACTGTACCTCTGCTGACCGGGTCACTGTCCCGTCCTCTTTACCTTGAGCTTCACCCATAATCGTTTATTCCAGCATCCAGGTCCGAAACAAAACGTCCTGAAGAAACATACGTTTGAGAAACTTCCAGCGGCCCCTTTCGGGCTTGTTTTTTTACCGGACAAAAACACCGTTTTCGCAACACGACGCCCTGAAAGTGTTTTTAACGAATAGAACGTTTTAAAGACGGAAACTCACGGTTCAGAGTCGCGAGGCTCACACACCGGGGTCTTCCTCGGTTGTCACCTTCACCTGCGGCTCCTGCCCAGGTGTGCAGTCAGCCTGAGACGGGGCGGGGCGAATGAAGACTTCGCCTGAGGAATGAAAGCTTTGATCTCTTCCCCCCCCCCCCCCCCGGACCCTCTTTCCCAACTCAACACATTCCTCCATGTTGCGCAACGACAGGAAAACACACACTCCCATCAGCTCAACACGTTTCCCACAACCTAACAGGCCAAATGATTAACAATCATTAGCTTAATTTCCTTTTTTAAACTACATATTAATCCCACATTAAAAACTTTTAGTTTCTGCTAAACTAGAACAAGGTGTCAAATTAATATGAGACAATATGAGTATCATCTCAGCCAGCTAGGCCATGACCCCTGACCTGCTTCATGCAGCCCAGGGCTTCACAGGGTCCTCCTCTGATTGGCCAGCAGCCACTAACATTAAAATGTTGGTGGTAAAGGTTCACCTGACAGATGCCCAAACTGAATGTCTTTGGGTTTCCCTTAAAAACGCTGATGCTGCACGAACATCCTGCCTCCAGCTCAACACGGAGCCACAACAATAAAAAACACAGAGTTTACAAATAGTCGTTTTATTAATGACCTGGGGAAAAAAACTAAACACAAGGAATACATGCACGCACATTATGTCTGAGCTTTTACACTCCTGGTTTCTATTCACAACACACGTTGCTTACAGTTTGGTACTAACAGTTGTGAAGCTATAAAATCCATGTTTGTTTATGCTTTTACACACACACAAACCGTTGTTAACAGGACTGGAACACGAACAGTGTTTTTTTCCTTCAGGTAAATCATCAGCACAAATCATGGCATGGCTCTGGCTCCAGTACGGTGGGTTCCATTACCCTCTCAACACTGAGCTCTTCTACACATCACAGTAAAAAAAAAATTCATCATGAACCCTGAAGGTACCGCTAACAGAACGTTAGAATAACAGTTATTCTGCAAAAGGAAATAAAAATGAACTTTACTAAAACTACGGCTCTTTAAAAAGAGAAAAGCATGGATAAAAATAGAGAAAATATAAAACACATGTAGCACAGGCCAGGTGCCAGCAGGAGCCCGTGGGTTCAGTTCTTCCCTCTCTTGGACTTCCGGGTAGACTGTTTTTTGGTCTTCATCTCTTTTTTGACAACAGGTTTCGACTCCGGCTCAGAACGCTTGGACCCACCTTTGGTTGCCTGCTTTTTGACCGGAGGCTCCTCTGGAGATGGCTCTTCAGCTTTAGATTTCTTGGAGCCACCTTTGGTTGCCGGTTTCTTGACTGCAGGCTCTTCCGGCAGCGACTCCTGGGGTTTAGATCTCTTTGACCCACTTCTTGTTGTCTCCTTTTCCACTGGCTTAGCTGGTGAGGACTCAGGTTTAGACCGTCTGGACCCACCCTTCGTCGTCTCCACCTCATCATCAGACTCCTCGGGGGTGGACTCCCTGGACACGGGTCTTCTGGCTCCCCTTTTGTTCAGCTTTTTTACGGCGGGTTTTTTAGGCTTTCTGGAGGCAGCACCTTTCTTGACGGGAGTTTCTGCCGATTCCTTCTTGGAGGTGGTCTGTCTTCCTCCAGATTTCTTGGCTGGAACTGCTGCTTTCTTGGGAGGAGTCTTCTTTGCAGGTGGGTGGGCTCTGCCTCGCGCTCTCGACTGGCTGGCACGTCTGGAAGTTTTGGCTGGTGGAGGACGCCGATCCTTGCGTGATAGCACCTTGGTTTTCCTGAGTAAATGGAAGTTAACCGAGTTAGGAGCGCACGAGTACAATCACCAACATAAAAGCAGGAGATCGTTAACGATGAAACACCTCTTAGGAGGAGCTTCATCTTCGGACTCTTCCTCTTCTGACTCCTCCTCTTCCTCCTCATCTGAAGTTTCCACCGTCTGCCGTCGTTTGGCGGGTTTCTTTGAAAGCTCATTAAACTTGTCGGGGTACAGGATGATGGGACTAAAGACAAAAGAATAAAAGCTTCAGAACCAACAGGCCAGCTTTCTAGCCCATTACTTTATTTATTTTATACTTGCTGAACCAGAAACGAAGAGACAAACGGAATAAAAAGTATTGCTGCTTTAACAAATGACGCCCAAAAAGGAGTCGGGGTACCTTGGGTAAAACGGGAACGAGAGCCCGTAGGTGCCAGTTAGGCCATGGCCTGTGATCTGCTTAATCCAGCCCAGAACTTTGCACTTGGTCAGGGTCCTCCTCAGATTGGCCACTAAAGAAAATAAACCTGCTTTTAGTTTGTTTTCAGTGTTTATGTATTACAATAATAAAAGTATATTAGTACACACATTAGTAAAACACTTTACTTCTAACGAGGCCACAAAGTCTGCCCCAGTCTTAAAAGAGAACAGATTTTACGCTTTAACTCCAGATTAGACACAGTATCATGGTTCAGGCTTGTTTTCAACAACTCCCTGCTCTCCACTGTTAGAATTTTAAAAATCTTTAAAAAACCAAGTTAAAAACACCCAAAGCTTTACTCTAAAAGGTTGTTTACTGCTGCCTGAAAGAGAAGAAGCAAACAAACACGAGTGAAGCCTTTAAAAATGCACTTTTCCCAAACAAAAAACAGTTTTACCCAGCTGGTTCTCCCTCACGTCCTTGTTGGAGTCTATTAGATATTTTCGAAGAGATGTTGCGCTGCAGGTTTTGGGCTCGTTCATGGCTGTGATGGCCACCGTGATGGCATCTTCCAAGATGGTGCCCTTCAGTGAGGCCTCTTTGCTCGCACGCTTCAGCTGAGACAGAAACATTTGATACATGTAGAGCACACAAACGTAAACAGTGAAATGCACAATAAATAAAAGCAGATGGCCGACTGCCGTCCTGCTCAGGAAAGTGAGTCCTGTTTAAATCTGACAAACAGCTTGAGTGTTGTTAGAGCGGTACCTGAAACGTTCCACAAGCTCCTTTCCCAGTCACTTGCTCCAGATGTCCCTTCTCTACAGCCTTCACCAGGGCAGTCTTCAGAACATCAGGCCTTTAGATCAAAGCAGTTTTTCACAGGTTAAACCAAGTCACCCTCGGTTTCCCTTTAGATGGGTCACAGGGAGGTACCTGTTCTCGATGTTGAGGCTGGGGAAGTGTTTCTCCAGGTATTTCTTGATCAGACCGTAGGAAGCCTCTTTGGGCTCACAGAGCCGAGTGATGATGAGAGGAAGAGCGTCTCCCAGAGGCTCCTGTTTTTGAACACTTTTCTAAACATAAAAATCACAAAAAAACATATTTATATTGAGAAAGCTGAGAGGGGAACTGGTTCCTTTAGTGTAATTTATTACAGTATCTTTCAACAAAGTTACACATCTCAGTATGTGCTTAATTTAGACCAGAGAAACTTTAACATGGAAGCTCCAACAACATTTGTGTCTAAGTGAATTTGCTTTGCATGTTTATGCATGGCTGACCTGTAACCTTGGCCTTCTCCTACTTTATATTTTCTCCTGGAACGTACCTTTGACTGAGGAGGCTGCTTCCCAATAGCAAAAGTTCCTGACAGGCCTTTCCCCTTCAGCTATGAGACGGGACAACAGGAGAGTAACGACTTTAGTTAATGGTTCTCTCAGCAGTTATGAATAGAAGACGTTCAGACCAAACTCATTTTAACCAATTGGGGAGAAACCTAAGCACCAGGAGTAAAAAATAAACAATAGAAACAACACGGACATAGATATGCTGCTGAAGGGTCTCAGTCATCCAGGTCATGGTAATCCAGAGAGGTAAAACCTACCTTAAATAGGAGGGATCTATAATGCAGCTACAGTTTTAGTCCAGGTCACACCCTCCTGCCCCTGATTCCCACACAAAAGAGGCCAACGACGTATCAGGAGATAGGGAGGGGTATTCATGGGGAGTCTCTGCTCGTTAAGCTACAATAGACAGCTACATTTTATAAGCTTGGCCCTTTCATATTCCAGTCAGAACTGACAAAGCTCCTCCGATGAGAAGCAAAATGTCTTCAAGAAGCCAGAGAGGTCCAGCTGCCTTCATTAGTGTCTACAGGAGTGATTCGTCACTAAATTAAACAAATCAGCAGTGTTCACAACCTTAAACATGCAGGAAATGTGCTGGAAGCTGACTGCAGCACCAGGTATGTCAGCTCTGTTGTTTTCTAAAGTCCCAACAGAGCAGCCCGCCAGTCGGAAGTTGCAAGTGGAATATTCTGGCCACAGGAGACAATAGGAGGCTTTCATCAACCCTGTGAAGAGTCATCTTGGCACATCCTGGCTCAAGAAAATTATTTAAAAATATGAAAACGTTGCAAAGTATCCCTTGTAAACCCGGATGACAGAGATTTGCGGACGTCTTAGCCAAATCCCACTTCGGGAGCATAACAGTGTAAACAAAAAACAGTGAAGGTGATTTGTAAATCTGTGGCCGTCCAATCGGACCGGCTCTGCGACAGTCTACACGCTTAAAAACTAATGACCCCTGTCTGCAACCGACCAATGAAAACACACCTTTGGGACCCTGCAGCAGCAAGACTCCGCCTCTTTAAGTTTCAATTTAATCTACCATCTACCTAATCTGCTTCTAAAATTACAAAAGTCAGTCCAATAGGTTATTGAGTGTAGCGCAGATGTTTACTAATAAGCCTATTTTGGGCCTTTCCTAATATAAAACACAAAAAGATGACTATGAATTTATTTTACATAGCTTACATACGGTCTTGAGCCTCGTCTTGAGTTAGAAAACCTCGGATGTAATCAGTTTCAATAAAACGTTGCTTTGGGGTTTTCCTAAAATTTCACTCCCAACCATTAAATAAATACTGGACACAAAATCAAAGAAAAAAACTTGTTTCTGCAGGTGAAAACCTTTAAGACTTCACAGAAGTTTTTCAGAAACTTGATGAAAATATGAAGTTAATCGTTTTAATAGCTTAATAAAACAAACCAAACACCGATAAATGACCCGTGCATCTGTGTAGAATAGAGTGCACAGATGAAACCCGATTACCTGTTTGATGGTGCCCTTCTCCAGGTGTTTCTTCATCGCTTTCTTGATGAGGAACTTCTTCTTGTTAAGCTCCAGGCTCGGATATTTTTTCAACATAAATTTCATGACAGACTGGAATGAAATCCCTGACCGGTCATTAGAAGACTAAAAAAACAAACAAACAAAAGAAAATCACACAGACATCTTCACATAAAACGTAAATGAGGGACTGGCTTTGGGGTCACAGTTCGTACACACCGCTACAGCCTCTATAAGGATGTTATCCACTTTGTTCTGCGTGCCTGCATAGTTGGTAACAGGAATTTTTTTGCTTGCAGTGATGCTAGCCCACGCAGGAATAGTCCGTTTCACCTTCTTGGTTTTGGATTTCTCATACTTGTAGCCATCCTTCATCCTGCCGCCAGAAGGAGCAACACAGGTTCAGTGAAGTGAGTTGGTATTTTACAAGCGATATTTCACTGTGATTGTTACCACCTTTATCTTTTTCCACATCCTCACCTCAGTAGGAGAACATAGCAGTGTGTTGCACACTGTCCAGCCGCGCAGTCCTGGCATTTCATTCTTTGTCCATTTGTCACCGATGGGAGAAACAAAATGAAGTTTCAGAACATCTGTCTCAATGACCATCAGAGGAATTTGATCCTAAATTAATTGAAATGCCGTTTATCTTCAGAACTAAAGGGGTGAGGAGGTCAGGGAGAAGGAGGACATTTTTACCTAAAGAGATAAAAAAAAGTCTCCTTTAAAGCCTCTTTACCTGCAGCTAAACGTAAGGCTTCTAGTGTCCTAGTCCTACCTGGGTTGTTGTGATCGGTTAGTCCCATTAAGGGGACACATTAAGCAAATGTGACCAAGTGCTGTCACATGGGTCTCTGCGTCTGTAAACACGCCAATATCAAGTCCAGCAGTTTACAGTCAGTGTTTGGTTTAGAAATTACACGCCTAAAAAGTTGTTTCAAAAAGTCCCTGATTGTGATGTCACAACCAGGACATTTACAAAGACCCAGTGCTGGAGGGATGGTTTTTCCACTGGCCTGGGAATGCCTTAGGATTCCCCCTTAGGAAGTGGCCGGCTGGGAAGAGTGAAGTTTGCCTTACTTCTTAAAATGCTGCCCCCGCGAAATCAAATCTACGGACTATGCAGAAGACAAGTTGTGTGGAGAGATGTGCCACCTCCCCCCACATGACCAAACACCGAGTCTAGCCATGTTTCCCTTCACACCTGTACTAACTCCAGTCTGCTGGACCCGCGGATGTGCTGACATCTAATCAGAATATTACGTTATTTTCACCGGGCATGAACGATAAAGTAATCAGTGTGGTGCATTTAAACGTGTGTGGCTGTACGCAGGGCACAACCTACGTGACTTTAATCATTTGGAAGAGATGCACTGATTTAACTAGAATGCTGTTAATGGAGGAAGAAGCATTTTCCTATTTTTACTGTAATAAATGCCCAACCTATCAGGGGATTGGTGGGCGTGGTCAACAGCTTGTTTACCTAAAGTGACAGAGACCTGAAACGACTCATTCTGGAAGGTACTGAAAATCAAAAGAATAAAGCTGCCGAAACTGGTTTATGAGGAAATTTGTGTAAAAAGTTTCATGAACATGTTTTGTATCGAACACAGAACTAATTATGACGTTCAAAAAGTCATAATATGTCCCTTTTAATGTAATAAAACAAGCACCTTGCTAACCTAGGAAACACAGGCTCTGCCTGAGTGTTTATTCCACGTTCATCTTCTGACACGGCCAACAGAGAGAAAAGCCCGTTGGAGCAGATCTCCTGGACACAGAACATCACTAGTGAGTAGGGATGTAACGGTCCACGGGGAGTGTTGAACCGTTTCAGTTTATTTTCTCTGTTAAATAATGAATTTTTATTTGCGTGATTTCAGTGCAGCAGATAAAAGTTCCTAGGCGAGTTTCTGTACGGATGCTGTATTGAGTGATGCGCGATGGCTGCACGCGCCTGATTGTAGTTTAAAAAATGTGCTCTACAAATTCTGATGAAACGCCTTTTAGAGCGAATGAAACCAGCTGGCTGTAGCTACTGCTGGAGCCCATAGAGACGTTGAACGGAGCTGCTGCTGGAGCCCGTAGAGATGCTGATTGGAGTGAATGAATCGAACCGAACTCTTAAAAACACCGAACCAAACCGTTACACCTCTACTAGCGAGTGCTGAAGTTTGGTAGTTGACGGGGAGGAAATATTTTTACGTGAAACAACTGCCAGGACTCTACCAGTGATTTTCCACCGCATGCACACACACAAGCTTGATGGACACACACATTTTAAAATATGGTGTCAAAGATAACGTCTTCTCCTCCTGGACTCCTCCAAATTGGAAACATCTGTCTAAACTAAACGTGGCTGTGACAGGACACCACATCACTGCAACCATAATCGGAGTGGACTTTTGTCATCCAGCACAGGTAAGAATATAAAATCGATAAAAGTGCTATCAAAGTGAAATATCGCAGCCTGCATAGTAGGTCTCTATTGTGACTCACTCTTTCTCATCCTCTTTTTTATCCTTCTCTTCAGAGGCATCCTCTTCAGCCTTCTCTTCATTAGTGTCTGACCGGGTATCGCCTGACGTCTCTTCCTCGCCCTCAGCTGTTGCAGCTGAAGATGCAGCCTGCTCATCCTCAGCAGAAGGCGACTCCTCAGAGGCGTCTGCTTCTTAGGAAATTAAAAAAAAAAAAAAACAATTAAAAAGTAAATAAAGCAGCAACAAAGGGGCCTCATTCATCATATGATTGTAGAATAATTACTAAAACATGCGGTGGCCTCTCATACACAAGTTCCTCCGCACTTGTTGGATGTTAAATCCCACCTGTACCCAGATGCTCGTGTTTGTTCTCAGTCATTTACATACAGAAACGCCCTCAATTAACCATATTTGGTTATTGAGACACTTGCTGCTGGAGGGAAAATGAAACAAACAAGTTGCAGAGGTTATAAACGCAGTCGGGACAGAGGAGAGGTTCCTGTCAGGAATAAATAAATAAACTTTACCTGATAAGTCATAGAGTAACGAGTTGTCTTTTACATTTAAGGGGTTGTTGTGGTTGGTGTTACTTTTAACTGAAAATGTTGAGCGTGCAGCCTCTTCTAAGCCGTCGGCCTGGTTACCTTGGCAACGCGTGTGTGATCGCGGAACAGAGGATGTTCTGGGGTTTCTCGTAGTTGTAAAATTGAATATGGACTGGAATCGGATTTGTGCGGTTGATGTCGCTCCACGAAGGTCTCAAATCTCAGTCAGCACAGCTCTAGAAGGATCTCCTGTCAGTGCGCTCATGGAGGACGAGTTTCCTCCAGAGAACATGCCCTGACAAATCCTTAATAACAAGAAACTATCTTATCTGGTGCAGACAAAATTTACTTATTAGGTAAAAACACACACACACGGTTTCAGTAAAATTGCATGCAAGTATCAAAATAAAAGTACCGCAGCGACGCAATTTCACATATATGAAGCTCATGTGTGACCCAACAGCTTATTTACTCACAGCATCGTTCCAGAAGTACAGCGGTGTGTTTTTCATGGCTTTATTCTTCGCAGTGGAGAGGAACAACATCATACATGACATCAAAATTGATTTCTTTCTTTTTGATTTAATGGCGGATTGCATAAACAAACCATGACCTGAAGTCTCGAGGGATTGTCTGACCCTGTGAGTCCAGCGACAAGCACAGTGAGGAAGCTGTGCCGCTGCTAAGACTCTCCTGGTGTGAAAAGGACCGCTTTGAAGTTTGCGAGTAAACCGTTCCGCTGCCGTTTCATGCCGCTGATGCTTCCAGTGTGAAACTGGGTTTAGACTGCCCACAGTAAAAGGCCACCCTGACATGTGCACAGTTATGCTTTATTGGAGTGGGCAGAAAACCAGTCAGTATCTGGTGTGGCTACCATTTGCCTCATGCAGGGCAACACATCTGTCACTGTGTTGATCAGGTTGTTGATTGTGGCCTGTGGAACGTTGGTCCACTACTCTTCAATAGTTGCGTTAAGTTGCTGAATATTGGCAGGAAGTGGAACATGCTGTAGTATACACCAATCCAGAGCATCCCAAACATGCTCAATGGGCGACACGTCTGATGAGTATGCAGACCATGCAAGAACTGGGATGTTTTCAGCTTCCAGAAATTGTGTCCAGGTCCTTGCAATATGGGGCTGTGCGTTATCATGCTGCAACATGAGGTGATGGTTGTGGATGAATGGCAATGGGCCTCAGGATCTCGTCACGGTATCTCTGCGCATTCAAGATGCCATGAATAAAATGCACCCGTGTTTGTTGTCCATAACATCATCCTGCCCATACCAGTACCTAGGGCTGGGCGATTTATCAATATTTTTAAAATATCGGTATAATTTTTAAATAAGATAAGATGACTTTATATCTTTACATCAATATAAATGGTCAAACTGCTATGCTAGCGATTAGCCGCTATGCTAGCGACATGTTGCTTCATCTCTAGTTGGTTATTACGTGTATTCTCACAAGTTTGCTCAATCTGAGAGCCTCTGGGTAAATGTGCTGCTCTAAACTTTGCATTTGGCGTCCTGGTTGGGGATGTTCAACGCCAACGGAGTTCTGTTTTTCCATCCTGCTTGTGCGGAGAGACGAGTCAAACCCCTCCCTTCCCTGTGTAATCAAGAAACATCTACAGATAGCCGGAGAGGCCAAATTACAAAATAATTTTGCCACCCGCATTTCAATGGCTCCCCTCTGGGCGACGCCTACGCTGCATTTCCTGCAAGACTGAGAGGAGGAGAGCCACCTTTGTCCCCAAAGCCATTCTGCTCTTTAACTCCAGCAGATAAGACCATCCCCCGATAAACCCTCTCCTTGGGCTCTCCATATATTTAACTTTTATACAGATGACACTTTAGTCACTTACTCAGTGATTTTTGCATACTTAACTGTTTTATCCATCTCAGTGTTTTGCATATTTTTCTGTTTTATCCATCTTCTTGCTGCTTTACTTCCTTATTGCCTATTTATTCAATGTTCGTATATCCAACATCATGCTGCTCTGCTGTTATTTTTTTTAATTGCCCCTCGGGGATAAATAAAGTTTTTCTGATTCTGATTACCTCAAACATATTGTAAGGGCTTGAATGGTAAACTATAGGGTTACCATTTTATTTTGAAGGCAATCTCACGGGAGAGAAATGTTGTTCTGTTTTGTTCCGCTCTTGATTTGCTATGCTAAATACTCCGTTATGAGCGATTCTGTTGAAAAAGTTAAGAGTTTGTAAGGCGTGGGTTACAGCGACAGTAGCCCGAAAATAATACTCATAAAAGAGCACCTAGAGACTCCGAGTCATTACAGTATAATCGCTGATATGAGCCAATACTGTTAGACTCCACCCATGTTTGCCCTGGTAACTAATAACTCCACGGCGCAAGACCCATGTGACCTTCAGTAGATGCAAATACATCATCACACATTTAGCTTGATATTTATTTTTCTCTGGACAAGAAATAACCAATATGGGCCACCTCTAGATGAAAGTTATAGAATTTTACATTAATTATAATTATATAATTAAAAAGTGCCTGTGGGACATTTGATACACCTCTAGCTCTCAACTGTGTGTGTGTGTGTGTTAACAGACAGCTGTACCAGTGTCTCTAAAGCTCAGACTGGTAGAGAATAGGCACTAAGGTTAAATTTTGACAAGAACCAATATATTTTTATGCACTTAATCTACTGATTCATTTGTATAATTTCTCAAGACAGCTTGAAGTGAGTTAACTAGTAAATAATTTACAGGAGGAAAAATACTGAGATATATATATCGTATATTTCGGAATTCAGCTGAAAGATAGATATAAGTTTTGGTCCATATCGCCCAGCCCTACCAGTACCCCACCGCCACCATGGGCCACTCGCTCCACAACGATGACATCAGCAAACCGCTAACCCACACAACACCACACATGCAGTCTGCTATCTGCCCTAAACAGCGAACACCGGGACTCATCTGTGAACTGAACACCTTTCCAACATGTCAAACGCCATCGAATGTGAGTGTTTGCCCACTCAAGTTGGATACGATGACGGACTGCTGTCAGGTCCAGACCCCGTTGTGGACAACGAGCATGCAGATGAGATTTCTTGAGATGGTTTCTGAGAGTTTGTGCAGAAATTCTCTGGTTGTGCAAACCGATTGTTGCTGCAGCTGGTCTCAAGAGATCCTGGAGAAGAACATGCTGGATGTGAAGGTCCTGGTGCTGGATTGGTCACACGTGGTCTGCGGTTTTGGGCCGGTTGGATGTACTGCCAAATTCTCTGAAACACCTTTAGAGCACAGCGGAGCGCAGCGCCGCGGTGAAAGCGGATAACGGAACAGGGAAGCTAATTAGCATAAAAAGCCGGCATAAAATTATGGAAATGCCTCAAAGAAAATCAACACGATCTATTAGGTGTCCCAGAAGGCTTATATTTGAAGACAGTGACCACGAAGAAGGACAGATCTCCAGTGAACCAGGGTATGAATGTTTGTTCAGTCTTTTTTAATTTGAAAAATCCTTAACTATTTGCTAATTGTAAGATTCAGCTTCCTTCCAGCATTATTTATCTATTTACAATAAATAATTTTGCTAAAACAAAAGTTTTTGGTATAGCAGTGCACAGTGTGCAAGAGAAGCACCCCATGGCAGTGTGAGATGTTTACGACTCGGCCTGCAGCTGGAGAGAAACAGCTTCAAGGCCTGCCACATCAAATAAAAACATCTGAAAGTTTACAAAAATAAATAGTCTTAAAAACTGCTAGAAAAGACACCAAGGTTCAAACTTTAAGAATAGATGCAATACAGTTCAAAGTTTAAATTGCCCATTCCAAATTGTTTGCCCAGTAATTTTGAAGTTCCTGTTCAGTAATAAATGTAAAAAATTCAAATCTGTTTTTTTGCTTTTTTCACTTTTAGGCAGATTTTTTTAAAGGCTTTAATAGAAATAAATTCTAAATACAAACCATACACTGAAAGCTGACGTTGTTCTGAAAAAAGGAGGAGTTACACACACTTTGCACTTTTGATTACAATTTTACAGCCATAAAATTAAAAAAATACCAGGCGGCCCTGTTATAATTATGGTCATAAGAGGGTTATTAAGACAGCGATGCACAAACAGGAAGTGATTGGTAGTCATTCCACTCCAATCCAGTTGGTGGCGGTAATGCACCAAATTGTTGTTTGCCAAGTGTCATAAGACCACAAATAAGAAGAAGAGAGGCGGAAGCATTCATAACAAACTCAAAGCGATAGTCAAAACATTAAGCATGAAATGGAGTTATCCTAATGCAGGGGTCAGCAACCTGTTCCCATCAAAGAGCCATTATTACCCGTTTCCCACAGTAAAGAAAACACTGGGAGCCACAGCAGCCGCGGCGTTGTGGGCGGGGCCTAACCTCAGACAGCAGAGCTGCTTTAACCAATCACAACAGGTGACAGCAGCCAGTACCGGTCCCTCGTGTACGTCAAAGTTATCTTTCATAAGACGATAATCAATAAAACGATTTATATAAAATGGATCCAGAAGTTGTAGCCCGTCTCTGCCTACAATATTTAGATATTTTTCACCCTGTTGGTGGTTTTACTGAGCAGGTGCCACTTTTGTCATACGTTTCTTTTTAAAACATGTTTAGACTGTTCAGAATACAAATCCAGGCTCTGTCACGTTTGATTGTTGTAATTAAACTTTGTAGGTGGGGAAGGTCAGAAAAGGATCCGATCATTTTGTTTTTCCCTCATTTACAGTGACGGAGATAACGGCGCAGTGCGCCTGGCTCTGGTGTTAATCATGTTAAATTATATCTCTTTGCAACAATTATCACAAGGAAACAGAACAGTTAAAAGCAGGGCTTGTGTTGACTGGACAGTTCCCGTATTTGACTGTTTCTTTCTATTCATTCTCTGTCAAAATAATTACCCCGACGCATGCAGACGAACTGACATTTTATTTGTTTCGCACATTGCAGATGTAGCTAAATCACTAAAAAGATTCCCATCTGAACATCTGAGCTGGACACTGCTTAGCGCAGCTTACTGTCAGCGCGTACGTACGGTGCACAGCGAGCTGAAGATGTGGAGAGGGGCTTGGAGCGCGTCGCAGAACCAGAGCGCATGCAGGAAGATTCCTCCGACTAAAGCGAGACTTGTCACTTAGGAAATGTTCCCTGATTATGAAACTTTGGCTGAATAGTGCTTGTCCCAATGTGGCGACACACCCAGGAGCCATCTGAGGAGAATCCCAGAATCTCACATCCTCTTCAGCTCAGAAGCGCCTATGATTACGCACAAGCGTGACCCGTCAACCCGGTCTCACAGTAAGACTGGGTTGGAACTGTTCAGGTTTACGCAGACAATCTTTACATTTAGAATTGGCATACAGATGTAAAATTAATGCAGTAAAATATAAAGAATTTTATGTAAATATCCATTCATTATTTTACAAGCACAGAGAGCCACGTCAGATGGATGGAAGAGCCGCATGCGGCTCCAGAGCCGCGGGTTGCCGACCACCGTCCTAGTGGATCCAAAAAGAGAAAGAAGCAGCATGCTTCATTTTAACTTTTATTTTCACTTCTGAAAGTGACGTCGTTTTTTGATGTAAACATCAAAAGAAAGCAGAAGGGAAAGACAATGGAAAATGGTTAAAGGGAGGAAAACATGGACCAAAATGAAAAAAAAAAAACAAAAAAAAACAAAGGCAAAAGCACAGGAGCACTGACAGGAAAAAGAAAGCAGAGCAAATATTGAAAGCACTCAAAGGGAGGGAAATACAGGAAAAAAGAGGACTAATAAAAAGGGAAAATAACTCATGTCAGAAAAGGGGAGTTTTGCAAATCCAGTTAAAGGTAAGATTGTCGAAAATTTTGTGTAAAGTGCCCCATGACTGTGCTCGCCTTGGGCCCTCAAATTGCTAAATCCGCCACTGTTCATATACCACACCTGTGAGGTGGGATGGATTATCTTGGTAAAGGAAAAGTGCTCACTAACACACGTAGACAGATTTCAGAACAACTTCTGACAGTCATGGGTCTTTTGTAGCCTGGCAAGCCAGACTAAGTAAATGTATTATTTAGTCTGGCCACGCTCCATTGACGGGTCTCCGTTGTGGGGCGGGTTCTACCGTTGTCTTTCAAATGATCTCTGCATTCCACTGGACAATGAATGTGACATACTCTTGTTTCACTCTGTTGCATCATCCCACCCACCAGGCATATAGAGTGCCCTGATTGGCCCACAAAGTGGATAAAGCTTTGTGATTTGTTCACTAAGCAGATAGAGCACTATGATTGGCTCACCATTATGGACCAATCACAGCTCCTAATGTGTTTGAAACCCCTCTAGAGAGTTGTGATTGGCTAGCCAGAGTCCTGGTAGGAGCTGCAGAGGTTCCAATGGAGCATGCCTAGACCAAACTTTGCAAAGCAAGAATTTGGTCTAGTTCACTAGGCTAGGTCTTTTGTGTATGTAGACAAAGTTTCAGATGTTTGAGTTCAGCTCATGAAAAATGGAAGCAAAAACAAAAGTGTTGCGTTTATATTTTTGTTCAGTGTAGGAAGGCATGCCAGGCTAGGAAAAAAACGATTAAAAACGTTTGTTGTGGTTATTTTAAAAGAAATCTGCAACTCGGTAAAATCAACTAAATTTAGCATTGACTCACAAAACGTGAGTGTAAAAATCTAAATATACGTTTTCATTTTTTTTTTAAAATAAATACTAGTATCGTAATGAAGACATTAAATTTCTGTAGGCACCGACACACATGTAGGAAAACTCCGGTGTGATTACTAACACGTCTTCAGTGTAAAAGATGAAACAGAAAATCCCAAAATGTCGATCTGGGTTCATGGATGTGGTTCAGGGGACCGACGACCCCAGCCTCACCTTTCTCTGCAGCTGAGGAGGGGGCCTTCTCCTGGGTTGGAGTCGCTGCTGCTCGGCGAATCGGCATGATGGGGGATTTACCTGAACACAGGAAAAATGTTGGCCGCACAGCGGTACGTGGCCATTTCTGTTTATGTGCGTGCCGTGGTTGAGGCAGGCGGCCACTACTACGGCCGAACACACTTAATTCAATCACCAGGCCCATTTTCATTAACCTCGATTTATTTTGTTTTTACAAAACACTGACTGCCTTTAAGTCAGCACACCGTAATCTCATTTATCCTACAGCCTGGAACAAAGGGACCAATCCATGAAACTCACACAATTAGCTGAAAGACTTTTTCGGCAATTTCGCCATTTTGTCCATTGGTTTAGAAACACAGTAATGGCGTCGTGCAAGGTAGATGGGATTCTTTCAGTACCATGGTCAAATACAACAGCGGTGTCGTTGTTAAGCGTGGGAATCGTGCAAGTTTAAGTTAACCAAAACATGAACCGTGGCGCCCTTTTCACTTACCTTACCTTCTGCTTTTCGGGAAAAAGAACGATACTTAAAAATTTCTGCACGTTCCTTTATTTCGATATCTTGGTTAACGAGCCCCGCCCCGTTTGGACCGTTGGTGACGTAGAACGTCACACATTACGTCGAAGGTGCGTGACCAAGAGACCGTCAGAAAACAAACACAAAGGGAACAAAAACAAAAGGAAACGCTGGAGAACTTTTTTGTAACGAGGTGAATTTACAGTCCCGCACCAACGTGGCAATCATTCACAATTTTTTGCTTCAAACGAGCAATTATTTTGTTAAATATATTTTTGTGAAGTTTCTAATTTTTACTCCCATTTAATAAAAACGGATGCAATGCCACCGTCCTGACCCAACGGAACAAAATAAAAGTGAACAACAAATTGTTATATCTGGAGGGAATATCCTCAGGAAATAGAAATGGTATATTCTACAAACATATTCAAATAAATTCTCTCAAAGACCTAAAGCAGAACCGAAGATGGATTTCTATTTAGTTTATCTTTTGGCTGGAAAAAGGAAAATATTCTAACTTGCAAGTTTATTGATTCAATTAACTGCAGTTATAGATATAACATGAGTGTGTGTATTGCATGTCAATTGGGACAGAACTTAAAAATTCTGACAGAATTAATTGTAATTGACATGAGTGGATCAGCAGATGGGCTTGGAGTCTTCCAGCTATTCTCCAGGTGCACCCTGGCATATTTATGTCTACAGGTACACCTCTTGTTCTTGTCAGGCTCTTATATCCAAAATGAAGAAAAACAAATGATAGAAGGCTCCAAATGATTTTCAGGCAGGAAATGTTTCCTTGAAACACCAACACAAAAATAAGAAATCACAAGAATCAGCACCTTTTTAAATACATTTTTTGTCTTTAATTTATTTACAAGCTTTAAACTGCTCTGTAGGGCTTAAGAATTACAAGCATCTTGGGTCAGCGGCCCCGGCCTTTTGCTTTGTGAAATTTAACTTTAGTTAAGTTTCGCCTTGTTCTGCGTAGTTTGAGTTATGATTTGCACACTTCTACCTCTCTCGAGGCATGTGTTCATATTAACACAGCAAGTTGAGGCTCAGGGAACACCTCTTGGTTATTCCAAGACAACCTCTGACCTTTAACAGCGTTAATAGTTCATGTTTATTCCCTCCTTTGTTGCTCCCCATTCTTCTCAGACTAATGCTGTTGAACCCCGTTTTCAAAACCAAACGGTGTGAAATCCAGGGAAGATGCCCATCTCGCAACTACTGTGTTATTATAATTAACTGTAATGTTATTTATATTGTTGTGTCCTTGTTGTGAGCATCTGCAAAGGTTAAATAACTTTCATATTTGCAGTCCTTAAAAAAATAATAAATTAAGGAGTCCAGAACCTATGTATTTTTAAGTCTCTTCTTAAAAAGTAACAAAAAAAGTAAGTTAAAATTTAAAACAAAAATATTTTCTATGTATGATACAGATATTTAGTGCTTCCACCGTCGGAATCCAAACTCAAGATGGCGGCATGTTTCAGAACCGTGTCGCAGAAGAAGAAAAAAAAAAGACACAAAAACAAATTAAATTCCAGCCGTAAACACGTCGTCCTGTCTGCACAGCCTTTTAAAAGTCCGTTCTGCTGTTAGGGATGTAGTTCTACGCCGTTTTCCGGACGTCTCCCTTATCAATTATCCTCCGACTCCTCCTCTGCCTCCCGCAGCCAGGTGAAGAAGGCTGTGACGGATTTGAGGGCAACGCCTTTGCCCTCCAGCTCGGCAGGGTCTTTACTCGTCTCCCACTTGTAGAAGGCGTCCTCTGAGATGACGTCCTCATCATACAGACAGTCGAAGAACATCCGAAGAAGGTCTGTGGGACAACAAAGACATCATTATGCATTTGTTGTTTAGCAACATTTCATCACTAAAAATTAGATACAGAAAGGTGAGGAGGTGCAGATATGTGTAGAAACATCTTCTGACTTTACAGAAACATGGAGAGTCAATAAATCAGACGCTCTATGAAAACATAAGTGGAATGATCCAAAAGCACGAGTAAAGTGCAAAAAGACAGAATACAACTGATTATTACAGCCTAGATTACTTTAATATTTATTTCCATCCTCATCGATGCCATTTCTCTACAGTCAGTAGCTACATTTACATGGGCACAAGTAACCGGAATGAATGCTTTATCAAATCAAAAATTCTTCATGGAAACATGAATACGATATGATGCGGCCCCATGACGTCCATGTACATGGATTGTTGGAGTAAAATAATGCCTGTGCACGTGTGCAACTTCAGCGTGACGTCCTTCTGCCTTTGCAGATGCTAAGGACAAGCCAAAAACATGGCGGGAGGTAAACCGAAGCGGTCCATAATGGGGGGAAAAAACGTAAGTCAACAGACAAAGAGACTCAGGAAATAAAATGCAAAGTGTGTTTATGGTCCCTGAACATGTAAAAGTAACTAGAATCTTCTGATTAAACATTCAAAGATCAATCAGGTTGATTTATTTATATGGAATTATCACATCTTATTGATCATTGTTACATATGTAGCCACTCCTTAATGCTACACTGTTAACGGTCCAAAGACACGTCTTTATAAAGAGAGGGAAAGTGAACACCTGAAGTTTTATAAACAGCAAAAAATCCGCTACTAGATATGTGACTATTATGCAATTATCTAAATTCAGCTAAAACTAGCAGAAAAACACAAAACAGCTTCTAACCTGTGTTTACTTTGTTGCAGCACTTACTTGGAGGCTGATCGAGGGAAACGATCAGTGCCTGAAGTGCATAAAGTGCTTGCAGCTGTCGCTCAGTGTCTGAGTTAAGGTACTTGAGTAACACAGGCAACCTTTTCTGGATGATGGCCGTGTCCACGCGACAGCTGGCATTTTCATCTATGGAGTCAAGCAGGTGGTGGTTAGGGCACACTGAGCTGTTCCACATCAGGTTTTCAGGGCTGTAAATATCACAATCAGCTATGAGAACAGAGAAGTGTCTCCACCAGGTGGTGGAGAGCTTACCTATCACTGCTGCCTTACACACAGCTGTCATCAAAGCCCTCAGGAAGGGGGACGAGCTCGTCTGAGCTTCATCGAGGTTTGCCTGAGAGAATACGTCACAATTAATGTAGCTCTGATGCCACCGAGGACAGAAAAACTATTAAAACAAAAACATGTAATCCTGAATGAAGCAGAGACGTGGAGCAGTAGAAACATCATCTATCCTCATACTACTGTCAACAAGGTCTTCTGTCCAAACACAGCAGTCTTACATCACCTAGTTTTACGACCGGCTGTTGGGCACAACTGCTCTAATGTTTGGGTCCACTTCACTAAATGCGATGGGTGATGACAACATCGACAACGATGTCTTAATCTCCTCCAACAGGTAAGATAATTTAACGTTAGCTTGATATTTTAGCTCCCGCTAACATTGCTATCAGCTAATTGTGCGTTCATTTTTTCCTCGGAACTCAGAAATTCAGATTTCTGAGAAGGAAAAATCATCTGTTTTAAAAAGAACCACAAAAGGAATGAAGAAACAAAGTACACGTGGTTTATAAAACTACAAGGACCCACCCATCACACGATTCGTCCAGAGGGGAGACTGGGTTTTACTTTGTTACACACCCAATGTAAAACTACAAACATTTGTATGGTATTGAAGTTTGTTTTAGTTTCATTTGTAGGTTATGATAATACACCATCTCCTCATCATAGCTGTTCCAGATGGTGTAGAAGAGAAATAGAACATGGAGCTGGGTTTTAGTTTTTGCATCATTTAGAAAGAGTTGTGGTTAAAAGTTTTCATATAGAAGAATTTTGTACAACACTACTATGATAAAATACAAACAGTTGTATGTTATTTATTATGATATTTATAAAATATATATAGAGAAAAAATATTTAATTAAAAATGTATTCCATTAATTATTAAACACTCTAAATCTAAAAGGCTAGGTTATCCAGAGTTATCTCTGTAGTTATGCTGCTATAGGCTTAGACTGCTGTCGTGGTGGATGGCTGCTTACACTGAGCCAGGATCCTCTGGCGGTTTCTTCCTGTTAAAAGGGAGTTTTCCTCTCCACTGTCGCTGCATGCTTGCTTAGTATGAGGACCGCTGTAAAGACTCTGACACCAGTCAGTGACTCGATGCAACCTGCTGGGTTCCTTATATAGGAAACTTTTTACTGATTGGCTTAATGACCTGACCTGTATTGGAATGTTCACTGTGTGAAGGTCCTTGAGACGACTCTGGTCCTGATTTGGCGCTTTAGAAATAAACTGAACTGAATTGAACTTTAACTGAATTAAACTCTCAAAAGTATCGAAAATTGGTGTTAAGTTCTGGTATTGATTCCTTGGTACTGAGAACTTACGAAGAGGGGGGGTGAGGGACTCTAGAAAAATGCATCAATAATCGAACCCTCTGAATCACGAGGAGCCTAAAGATTCCTACCCAGAGTTCTCTGTATGACTACGTTTACACCGTGTTGGGAGTCCGTGTGACGTGACTGGTAACGAATGGGTTTGACACGTAGATGCTAGACAGCATTTGGTGCCTTGTAATCTTTGTCTCACACACAGCCTTGTTGATGATACCGAGCACCTATGTGAGATGCTGGCCTGATCATCAAGTCTACAAACAGCTGGAATAAGTCCACCAGCTCTGGTGTTAGTGGACATCTGTCTGTGTTAAAGGGGACATATGATTTTTGTCAGAAGTTATAGTAGTTCTATAGTCAATGAAAAAGTTGACTAAATCCCTCTCACATAAAGCAATTCTAGCAATTTTATTCTTGACATTTTCAGTACCTTCCAGAACGAACCATTTCAGGACTCTGTCACTGTAATGGGCCATTCCCATCTGTACCGGGTCGGCCCGGGCCGGGTAGCGTAGGTTGTGTACATATCTGGGTGGCCTGGTATTTTTCCGGGCCAACCAAGGCTCATTCTCAGCCCTCTTCTCGAGGGGGTCTGCTTCAGGCCGACCAGGGCCAACACACCCACTGCTGACAGCAAATTCACACCTTCCATTAGAGCAAGCCTCTGATTGGTGGGTAGAATCAGCCCACATGGGCTTAAGACAAGGATGTGTGGAATCAACCGGGCCAGGCTGGGGCCGACTGGGGCTACCCGGCCCGGGCCGACCCGGTACAGATGGGAATGGCCCATAAGAGAACAAGCTGGAGATGGCTCCTCCAGCAGCAGCTTCCTCTTGCATGTGAGAAGTGGTTCTATTGTACTTTCGCTGTTTGGGACCTTTTCAAACGGTTTGTTTTAGGCACATAATTCCTGAAACTAAACACTGATGATTCCTAAACGATAAAAGCCACAGCTGTGTGATGCATGCTGGTCATCATACCTCTACCCAGTCAAAGATCTGCTCATCACTGGCCATGTCCTCCAGGAGGAGTTTCTCTAGCTGCTGGCTCAGCTCCTCGGGAGACAAGATTCTTTTAGTCTGAACCTCATCAGACATTGAGTTGTCCAACTGAAGGAACTGAAGTTTCTGTTTTGTGTGAACAGGAGAAGAGAGTGGACCAGTGAGAATGTGGAAAGGGAGACAGTGGCAAGAACAAAATCAATGAAGTACAATAATCCTCCCAGACTTCTCTAACCTGCTGTGAGATGAAGGCCTGGACATCCTCTCCCTCTGGCAGAACGTTGGCCCACTTGAGGCCAGATTCCCTCCATAAAGAACTCACAGCCCTATGGCTCTGTGGAAACGAGAAACATCACACTCATCTCTTCATGTGTGTCGTAGTTTATCAAGGGTGGCCGATCTAATGTAACAATTAAACATAATTAAATAGCTCACGCTACAGTAGCTAAAACTAAACTGTGACATAATGGTGCAATGCATTGATGGATGTAGCCCTAGACAAGCAAGTGTGTATGTTGCATAGGTCTGAGGTGCTCCCTGCCCAGCTGAGAGACATAGTCCCTCCAGCGTGTTCTGGGTCTTCCTTTAGGTCTTCTCCCGGTTGGACGTGCCAGGAAAACCTCACCAGAGAGGTGTCCAGAGGACATCCTTACTAGATGCCCGAGCCACCTCAACTGGATCCTCTCAATGTGGAGGAGCAGCTGGTCTACTCCAAACCCCTCCCGGATGACAGAGCTTCTCACCCTATCTCTAAGGGAGAGCCCAGAGATCCTGCAGAGAAAACTCCTTTTGGCCGCTTGTATCAACAATCCTTATTTGGGCCACTACTACCCAAAGCTCGTGACCATAGGGGAGGGAAGGAATGTAGATCAAACAATAAAACTTCACCACGACAGATCGGTGCAACGCCCGCAGTGCTGTAGACGCAGCACAGAATACGCTTATATGTTAGAAAGGTGCTCGGATAATTTGTAGAATTGCAAGAAATAAAATCCTTTGTAAAAACGAGCAGCTACCGCTCTACTGATGTGATTGATGAAAATCAAAGTGATGAGGCTGACATCCTGAATGAGAGGGAACGTGTCATGTTCAAACTAGGGGCTGTATGACTTCATTTTTTTTAAAGTCGACCATCAAGTAATGAATATCAAGTTGACTTCGAGTAGTCGTTGATGACGTCATACACGTCGGGGAGGGGTTCGTTGGACTTTTTGACAGTTAAAATTGCGCCCACATTTTCAAAGTTAAACACATTTCTTTTAACAACGGTAGTTTCTGCTTCAGCCCCCCCCCCCCCCCCCCCCCACACACACACACACACAGCGGCCGCAAACTCACTGATGCGCCTGCAGCCTCTCAGAGTTCCTGCTGCTCTAAACATTAAAATAGTTACGTATTTCATTTTCTGTTCCTCACTTCTGATTACCTTCAATGGTGTCTGTTTGCTGCAACCAGCAGGTACAAAAACTAACTTGTTTTTATTTGACTATTTTTCTGTCCTGTCTGTTTATTATCTTCCTGCATCTCCTCTCAGTCCAAAAGAAAAACTGATACCTGGCTTCATATATATATATTCACCTTATGAGTTACCTTTGAACTGCAGTTCTAAAAGATCTACCGACTGCAAAAACAGCGGAGTGTGCGCTGCGCGCCGCGCACCGGTAAGGTGAAATCACCAGAGGACAAAACAGGTGATGTGCTCCGCTCCACAGCAGCGAAACGCATCAGGCACAAATAAAAGACAGAAAACATAAAAGGAAATGAGCCGACATGAACGATCGCGTGTTAAATTTGTTTTTGAGGTGGCGACACCTGATTTGATAACGTTACTGTGGCCGTGCTCAGGACGCAGATGTCTGGAGCGCGTCAACAATCAGAGCTTTGCATGTGCATGCTGGCTAAGGTTAGGATGGGGTGAGGGGAATGTTAAATTGCAAGAGGGTAAAGGTCACAATTTGGTCAAATGTCCGTTTTACGGCGGGCGTCAGATACCGCGCAGGAGCTCGTCACATGCTGTCTTTTCCGAGGACTGCATCTTGTCATTATCACGTGACAGCGACTAGTCGATGACAGGCATTAAAAGTCACCACAGAGCAGTGAGGTCGACTAGTCGATACAACCCCTAGTTCAAAGTGAATAAGGCCGTCAGAAAAAGCATCGCTACAACACAAACAGCTGGGAGGGACTGTGTGCATCTTTACTCTGCACATATATAGAAATGGCTTTAAACAGTAAGTGACTGTGTTTTGGATTTAGATTACAATTTATTGGGTTAATAATTATAAACTAAAACTTGTCATTTCTCTAAACAGGGGTAAAGACAATTTTCAGAATACAAACTTGAAGTGACAAAATGTAGTTTCCAGACCTCCAATGTCTACAATACCTTACTGAGTATTTACGCTTAAACATATTAAATTATATCTGAAAACAAAATCAAAAGATTTACAACAAAAAAACATTTTGCCGGGGGAAAAACACATCAAAGGGATGCTTACCATATGTTTGCATAGTATGTGCAATATTTCAGAGAATAAGATCCCAGCTCTTCCAACAGGAAGCAAAGGTTTGCTTAATTCACTGTGAACAAACACAAGAAAGTAAACATTTAAGCAGGTGACAGTTTAAAAATGGTGGAACATAAAGATGTGGAGATAGTTTATCCTCCAAGGTGGCGAACCCACAAACCAGACGTTACAATCAGCCACGGGACACCAAACACACCTAAAGAGCTCTCTCATAGAGAAGCCCCCCTCCTTGAGCACGGGGCTCAGCAGCTCAGCCAGGTACAGCCAGATGTGGGGAATGTCGATGGCCATGTCGTCCGCCATCTCCAACGTGTCTGCAAACCTGAGGAAACACCAAGATCAGATGACGCTCAAGATGCAGGTCGTTTTACTGAGAAATGTGCTTCACATAGAAAATTTACATTTTTATTCTCAAACGATATAAAAAGGGTTTTAAACTGTAACATAGCTGTCAGGCGCGACAAAAACGCTTACCCTTTGTAGAACTGGGGTTTGGGCAGGAATCTCTGCTGCACCAGCTGGAAGAGGAGCTGGCCCATGTGGTCCCGTGTGATCTGACTGCGCTCCAGGGTGGACTCCACCCCGACGCACACAAAGATGTGCAGCTGAGGGCCCAGGTCCAGCTCATCCACACACTGGATCGCCTCCTGCAGAAAACAGAGCTGTACGCTCAGATCACTAGAAACACAACGTTCTCCTGAGGTCTCAGCTGTAAAGTCAACAAAAAGGACAACTAAGTTTCCTTCAGTTACAAAACAGTGGAATAAATCACTCGTGGACTGTTTCAAAAGTAAAAACTGATTTGTTGGAGGAATCGCTGATGATGGCCTTTCCTTAATAAAATGACAGAACTCTGTTTTACCTTGTAATCATTTATGTGAAGAAACTCATCAATAATGGACCTGCACTTCCTCTCAATCTCCTCGTCAGACAGGGCAGGTCTATCCTGGTTCTGAACCACTGGCTCCAGTTTCACTGCAACGACAAGAACCGGATCCATGCTTGGTCTGCTCTGATTAAACCACCAAATAAAACACATAAAGTCCAATAAATGGAAAGTGGTTTGGACGAGTTGTTTTTCCTTCTTCCCTCTGTAGGAACCAACCAAACGTGGGGTTTTTGCAGGCTGTGCTGTGGCGTGTTCTCACCGGGTTCCCTGGCTCGGCTGCGCTCTGGCTCGGTTTTGTCTTCGGTAACACTCGGCCTCCGAGGTTCTGCTACGTCTCGCTCCTCTGTGTTTTGAACCTCCGGCAGCTCTTTGGAACTGCCCCCCCTGATGAACAGGCCGGGTCGGGCCGATGGCGGGGCAGAGACCAGTGGCTTCTCACTACCTCCTCTGACCGTGCTGCTACGACTGCTGACAAGCGAGAGAAGCAGCCAAGTTAACCCGGATGAGGAGGTATTTAGGGACTTCTGAGATGAAATGAAACAGAGAAGGACCAGGATTAGTGATTTACCTTCCCAGAGTTCTCCTGGAGTCACAGTCTGGGTTCTGTGGAGACGTGGTAGAGGGCTGAGGTAGAGGTGTGGACTGCAGCGCAGAGAAACGGTTCAGACCAGCAGTCCGAGACAGCTCTGTTAAAAGAAAAATAAACGGTTGAACCAACAGGCCTCTGAGATCCGAGATGAGCACCTGACCGAATCGATCGGGTAAGACGCCAACAGAAGTTATGATGAAAACTATGTAAGAAAGACCCATGAAGGAAATTTCAAAGGTTCTTCAACAGCATACTATGTTACGTATGTTTTATTCATTTATTTTATTGATATCATAATAATGCAGGGTTATAAAAAACCTGCAAAATGATGTTTTATTGCAGTATGCTACAGCCCTGGTGAAAATCACCCTGCACTATTACTGAGGTTTGTTACCAGAGTCACTGGCTTTGGCTCCTCCACTGCTGCCCTTCACCCACGTGACTTGAGCCCGCGGGCCCAGCTGGATCTTCTCATCCATCTGAGGCTGAAGAATTGTTTTACACACAGACAAAAAAAACCTTAATACCACACATATAAACAAACAAACATTTACACGACAAAGATCCACCCTCTGATGCGTTGGTAAGTTAAAGAGCTGTAGCTGAAAAAGGAACTTTGTTTTAAAGAAAACCGTTTTGAACACATCCAGCAGGGGGACACGTTTGTAGACGAGGATAAATCCCAACAACATGGGTTGATGAGAACCTGGTGCACTGAAAGCACCCCTTCTAGGCAGTTTGAACATGTTTTTATTCATTTGTTGTAATTAGCTTAAATGAGCTGACTGGGAAAAACCACATAATACACTCCCCTTGGTTTTCTGTTCTGACTAATAACACATAATAAATGAAAAAGCTGCAACATTAAGATTAAATTTGAACTAGTTGATGTAAATTACTGAGCAGCCCCACCTGCCCTGATTTTGAAGCTCACCTTAGAGATCTTTGGGATCTTATTGGGATCGATGGTCCGGCTGTTTTTTGTCATGGGCACAGTGTTCCAGGTTTCCTCTCTCTGCATCCGCTGATCCCTCTGTTCCCGGGGATCTGTGAGGCCAAAGGGAAGCAGCACATAGACATCTGAATGAAAAAGAGCCGCTTTTAAAATCATTTCTCTTCTGACTAATATTGAGCCGTTTTTCTCCGTTTGATTAAGCATCATAGGTCAGCTGACAGATGGGAGGGAGCAGGGGGCTTCCTGTCTGCTGCTGGCACAATAGCATCTCTGCATGCTATACAGACAGGAAGTCTGCCTGTCTGCTAGCAGGGTCCTGAGTCACTGTAGCTGCGCCGGTGTGACTCTAAGCTTTAAAGAGGATTTAAGCAACAGGACTGACCTGGCCGTCTCTTGCTGTCCTTGGAGAGCAGCTGCTGGTGCACCTTCCTCTGCTCTTCCTGCTCTTCAATCTTGGCCTCTTTATGAATCTGCTCAATGGTTTTTGGGCCCTGGTCAACTCTTCTGGACACCCAGTTGTGCTGGAAATATGAAGAAAAACGGATTAAATAATAACTCATAAAAAAATCAATTCAAGGTTTATCTTCTATTTAAATCTTAGAACAAAATAAACAGCTCCAAAGTCGTTCGGCTTAAAAAAGAAGCTGCAGCGTTGTTAAGATGGATTACAGAGCAGTGCAGTTAAACATCTTGTGTGAGAGCCATGATAATCTCAGAGTATACAGCTGCAAAATTATATATATATATATATATATATATATATATATATATATATATATATATATATATATATATATATATATATATATATATATATATATGTATGTATATGTATATATATATACACATATAATTATGTATATTTTTATTTATTATTTATTTATAAATAAATAAAACATCACCAGTGCCATTAAATAAAGAGAAGACCAGTTGTTTATCTGCAGAATTCTGACTGATGCAGGGGCCTGACCTAAATAAGGTCTTTTTGTTTTGGGGTAATCTGGTTCACTTACACGAAGGGTGCACACACATCAGCACAACAACGAGCCGCTGAAGCACCATGAAACATGCAGAAACGTGCATGAGAACTCAGGTCTGTGAGCCTAAAGACAAACATCAAAACCACAAACTCACCAGTCTCAAGTCTATCACATCTTGCAGCATAAACCGGATCCTAGATGACGTTTTCCTCTCCTTGACTATTTTTTCCATTTGATTGAAGTACTGATCCATTCGAGGCTGTAGAGAAAAGAAGTTTTAGGGTTCAGCGGGTTTCAGACACGCTCATGTTGCACAACAACTCCTTTTCTGTGAATTAGTGGAAAAACGGCTCTCCTAAAATGTTTTAAATACAACAGAAATGAAAAAGGAATATAAAGATTTATGACCACGTTTCTGATGACTTGTACACGAGTATTGATGTGGGTAAATTCACATATTTTTCAGAAGGGCAGATGGAGCAGATTTGTTTCCTGGCTGGTCAGAAGCTTCTATTTGTCAGATGATTGATGAAAATCTACCGGACATAAGCAGGTAAAGAGGAATGGTGTTTGGCTCGGTCCGAGCACCAGAGGACTCCGGCTACAGGAGCGTCAGACAGAGCGAAGCAGGCCCCGACTAGCCTACTTTCTCCTGTCAGAGGAAAGTCATTCACCCAAAGCTGTCGCTTTTCTGCCTGAACTCATGAAGGGTTCGACCAGGTTTCACTGTAACCAGAAATAAGAAGCAAGGCTTTGTCGTGGTTCATCAAAGCAGCTATAAATCTGAACAACCCAAGTGGACACAAACAGCAGCTCCAGCCTCAAATCATACCAATTCAGAACCGGGAGAAAACAAAAACACTTCATTTGCTGAGAGTTGGATATAAAAACCACCACCAGCACCTGTGTGTGAGCAGCAATAACAGGCAGCTGCTGCGAGGACATTTCCACACTAGATCCTTTAGTTTGTGCCAGGAAACCAAACACCTGTCGTAGCTCACTCCCATAACAAACGTGTGCCTTCCTACAACAGAAGCTCTGCCTGCTCATGCTTTCTTGCCTCACTGATAACAAACGTCCTCCTGCAGCTCACCTTTGCCTTCTCGAAGTCCAGGTCCTTCCCGATGGTGGTGAGCAGCCTGCACAGGCACTCCAATGACTCTTCGTCGTGATTTTTCAGCAGCTTGACCACACAGTCATGCATTATGGCCTCAGTCAACATCTTCAGCTTAAAGAGCTCGCCGATGAACCTGATGTTGCCGATGGAACGCCGCCTGGCCTTGTCTTTGGCCTCCTCCAGCTCCTCCTGAAGCCTTTCACGCTCTGTCGCCTGAAATCCACAGTTTTACCAAAACCAAAGCATGGTTAGGCTGGTTCTTTTTTGTGTGTGAAAAAAGATGCAGCAGCACGAAAACCGGATCGAACGGTGAGGAGACTACACACCGATGCAGCCGAGTCCAGCTCTTTCTGCTTCCTCTCAAACACCACGTCGTCCACCTTGTCCTTCTCAAACTCCTTTTGGCAGCGATTTAGCAGCAATTTGCGAAAATTAACTGTGGAATTGGGCTTGTCCGTCATCTGCACTTTGAGCTGAACACAAACAGATACAGTTGAATAAAAAGAAAAGGCCTCAAGCTGGGAACAGAAGCATGTGAAAAGACTCTGCTATCTTGGTTATAACTCATTTTGAAAGTTGAACTGCAGCTGTGAAGGAACAGTTTAAATCCATCTTCATACTGAGACTAGTGACTTTTCTAATGGCTGGCTTTACCGCGGCGAGGCAGCGACACATGTTTCCATAAGCCACAGAAAAGCTGGGCTCGTCGATGGCCTTCTCAAACACTAGATCGATGACACCTTTAAGCCGTTCCTCTGTGTCGATGGTCAGATCCGTCACTTGCTTCATCAGCTGGTTGAACTTCTGAGGAGTCAGTTTGTTCAGGATGCTCCGAACCTTCCTGAAGAGCTCCTGGGAATCAGAACAGCCCCATGTAAAGCAGAACTCAGTCCCGCAGAGACCGATCTGGACATGGAGAATAACCGTAAACCATGTAAATGTTTCATTTTTGCCCCTGCCTGCGTTTGCTGCATCTCCGGATCCTCTGCTGGACCCTCCCTCTTCAAGCCGGGTTTCCAGGCGTTCTCCGCTTTATTCAGAAAAACATCTTCAACGGACACGTTCATGATGATCTTTCTGGGTGTGATCCGTCGAGCCGCAATGTTCATGAGCTGCTAATGGAGGGAAAAACAGAAAGTCACTTCTCTTATTGCTGTCAATAAAATACAGAACTCTGCTTTTACGGAGACAACAGGTTGTACAGAAAAACTATCAAGCACGAGTACACACTTTTTCACGATTCTAAAACATGTACGTTCTAAGAAAGCTCGTTTGTGTGTGTGTGTGTTTGTGATTTGTCGACTGTTTCAGCTTTTGCAGAGTCAGTGACTCACCGCAGCGCCTCGTCCTCCCGTCTGCCTCCCAAAATCTGCAAAAGCAGGTGTGAAATCAGGTCCTCTGGAGATCACCCTGGAGTCCACCGCTCGAGGCTGAAGCTTGTTTTGGTTCATCTGTGTGACACACACACGCACGCACACACGCACGCACGCACGCACGCACGCGCACACACACACACACACACACACACACACACACACACACACACACACACACACACCAGATGAGCTGAACAGCAGGGGGAGCAGTAATCCTCCAACAACAGCAGACCAGGCAAAAGGAGCTAGAGAGGATGTGTAAATTTCACAACCAGCAGCTCTAAAGGTGACCCGCTGGAAACAACAGCCACACGACATCATCAGCTCTCGCGTTATAAATCTTCACTGAATGGTTAAAATCATACGTGCCTTGCTCAGAAGGCCGGTTGGGGAGGGGTCAGTACCAGATTTGGGGGGGGGGGGGGGGCAGCTCTTTTCCCAGAGGAGTTTCACTTTCTCCCAGCGAGAAAACAAAACTTAAGAGTGTGTGCTAACCAACTGCTCACCAGTCTGGCTGCCCTGTTTGAAGAAACGGGGGAGGGGCATGTCGTCCCGGCACAGCCAAGGATGACATAACAACAATGTGATTTTAATCAAAACAGCATTTCGACAGGCCCTATGCTCCACCCCGTGTGAATGTGGATCTGTAGAACAAACCAAAGCGGCGTAACTTTGATCCAGTCCCTCAGACTCGCTAAAATCCTGTCTGTCATCGTTTCCGAGCATGTAAAAACATCACGTTTCACTCTGAAAACTGATGAATTCATTCCAACGAGTGTTTCATCTAATAAATGATCCCAGCATGAGATTTAGTTTATTTTCCCCAACCAGAGAGCAGAAATCCAAGATGCACAATTAAATCAGCTGATACACCAACAATAACTAGGTGTGGATGCTCCTATTCTAATTGAATGATCTGACACGTGCATTTCTTCACTCAATAGCTCAAAAATCACATTTTGCCAAATGAAGTAATCAGTGGCATTCGCAACCCTGAAACCAAGGAAATACGAGTTTAATGTTGGGAAATGACTGAAGGAAGTTATATGAAGATTTTTGTTGTGAGAATATTTCTATGAAGGCGTCGACTGTTGGAGGTTTTAAACAAATACAAACATTTTATTTCACAGTTGACACAGAAGGGTGTACCTTGTCCAATACCACTTCGCTGATTGGTGGGAGCCCATCTGGTTTCTGTATGCATGCAGGCATGAACTGGAAGCCTAACAGGAAGTCTCTGTTGTACTGCCGCTTCCCACTGGATTCAGCCAGGTCTGGAAGGTCGTGAGAGGAAAAACAAAAGGTGTCACTCACACATAAAACAAAGACACCCCCTGAAAACGTGATACTACACACCTCCAACAAAACTTTTATGTTTCATAACAATCCGTCTAACCTTCTAGGTCCTGTGGAGCTCCCGTCGAGTTCTCCTTGTCTCCAGGGGTGACGCCGCTGTCGCTGCTCTCCGTCTCTGAGGTGTGACCCGCTCCATTCCTCATGGGCTCCAGCTCCGCATCACTGCTTTCCTCCGGAGTGGCCGGCTTCCCATCGGCCTGGGGGCTGCTGGCAAAAGCAGGAATGGGACCAGCAACGGAGGGGAAGACTGGTGTCAGCAGAAGGGGGCTGCAGCTCAGAGGAGCCGAGTAACGGACCTGGTCTCCAGCAGGCTGATCGACATCCTTGTGCTCGTCCTGTGTGGACATAAGATTTAGTTGCATCCTGCTACTCAACCTGAACTCATTTGAAAGTTTTAGGTTATAAAAGTGGGGAAAGACCATGAAGCTTTTCAGGATGGTGCAAAACCTTTTTACTCCTTCAATTTTTAATCACATGAAGCCATATTCATAACCCACATGATATGGTCATTACAGCTCAGGTTAACCTAAACCTCCTGTCCTGTTCTGGTCGCCGGTCTTCTGGTTCGTATGCAGACATGTTCGGTCACCTGGTGATCACGTGGTTTGAGGCTGTGCTCCAGAGGAAAAGCATCAGCGAGAATGTTCAGGTTTTTTAGGTGTTGCTGTAAATGGTTGGGAAAACTTAAAGATCGGCTGTACTCATATATTTACTACATTTGGAGTGGTCTCTGGTAGGAATGAGAGCCTTGTAAGTCATACTCTGGGAAAAACAAGCTCAGATGCTCCCGTTTGAGGACGCAGAATTCAGTCAGAGGAGAAAGTAGCGTCAGACCGCAAAATTTGGAGTCTTATTTTCTGACATTCAATCGTCTTACCCCTCCTTTCCACCGGAGCTGTGACGGAGCCGTCAGCAGCACGTCATAGCTGCTGATAGGAACCGCTGTGGTCAACAGAACCTTTTCCACCGGAGCCGTCAGCAGCGCAAGTCGGCCGCGTCTCAGGAGCAGCATAACGCGGCCCTTACGCGCCGGTTCTATTTTCTACGCGCTACGCCTCAGAAACGGGTCAAGTTCGACATTTTTGGGGAAGGAAAGACAGAAAATCGGACGTGGAAACGGAGCGAAGCTTCCCGAGATTTCCAGAATAAAGAAACGTACTGCCTTCCGGTTGCTTTACTTAAAAAAAAAAGTTATCACCTAGCTAGCGGTCTCCTTTGTTTTTCCATAATGGAAGACGAAAGGTTGATTACTGAAGTGGAGAAGCACCCAATCCTGTTTGATCCCAGTCACAGTTTTTATAAAGACAACGTCAAGAAGGATAACGCATGGAATGACGCATCTACAGTTTTGGGGCAAGATGGTGAGTTTATGCTAATTATTATGTTGTAGTTTTCTCCTGCTTGTTGTTGTGTTTACTGACGAAGTCACACGCGATTTTGCTAATGTCGCGTGACTTCGTGCTCTGTCGGTGACAGCTGCTCCCCTGCTGCTTCGCGTCTCATGGGAAGGGCCAAGCAGCAGCATACGCGAACAAGACGTGCTGCTGCAGTAACGTGCTGCTGACGGCTCCGGTGGAAAGGAGGGCTTAGAGTGACAGATTATAATCAGAAATAAAAATTAAAAAATGTTTTTTTTTAGTAAGGTTGACCTTTAACATTTATGGACTCACCCATATTATCTCGCGATGGGGAAGGTTGTTGTTGATTTAGCATCCGGGAGAGAGCAGAGCACGTCTCTGCCAGTACAAGCTAACCATTAGCATTAGCAACTCCACCACACAGCAGAACCCCTTCAGGCTTGTGATATTTGTGGAGATAACACATCAACGTTGCAGAAAAAATATAGAACGGAGTCAGTGGTAGAGTGGCATTGCTGTTAGCCAATCAGAGATGAGATGTTCAAATACCAGGAAATAAAACTCTGTTTGCAGCTCTCCTCTAATTCAGCTCACAGGCGCACCAGAGAGTCCCCCCAGAGTATGACTAGGCATCCTTTCTATTAAGACACCACTACAAATGTATAAAAAACGCGAGTCAGGCTGACCTTGTGATGTAGATCTGTCAGGCTTCTCTGAACCGAGTGTTTTTCCATCTATTTTCTACCAGAACCTAATGCAGGAAATAGGGGTAGACTATTCTCACATTCCTGCCTGTTGAACTCAGACCGAACATTTTCAAATACAGTAAGTGAACCAGCTCTTTGAGGACGGGAGAACAAGTGTGCCACACACCAGTGTGTGAGACAACTAGTGGGACGGTAACTTTAATGTAAAACTGTCCTTTGTCTGAACACTTAATTAGGATTTCAAATGGAACATCTTGAGTCACAATCAAAGCTCAACTAAACTTTGCTTGATTTGTTTTTTCAGTTTTGAAGTTTAAAAGTTTGAAAAGAGCCAATGACAGTCATTAGTGATAAACTAACTACAGCAACAGAAACAGAGGCTGTGGGCTGGCGAGCGCTGGAGGATGATGGGTAACTTCTCACCATTTTTATTAAACGATAACAGCAACCCGAAATCATTTTAGCCTCCCTCTCCATACACGTGTACGCACTTTCCCCTTGAACTATTTCCCACATCATTCTTTTCTTTTTCTCTCCAACTCACCGTCCAGCTCTCGGACACTTTGTAGTTTCTCTCCAGTAAGCTGCTTTGGGCTTTTCACACCAACGAAACACACATTAGTCTGTACCAGGGAACTTTAGTACTTCTTTTCTTACCTCAGCTTCCTTTTGAGGTATGTCTCCAGCATAAATCACCTCGTTTGGTTTTCTCCAGGTCTTTGGTATGGTGGAAGGAGCCTGATCAACTGCATAAAACCCCCAAAAGGTCACAAAATCGATTTAAGAGCAGCAGATGATGTGAAAAGTGTGACAAATATAGAAGTCAGAAGCATTACCTGTAGTGAGACTCTTCCTGCTAAGTGCTTGTAGCTGGAACTCTGCATTGCTGTCCCCTTGGGTCTCAGGCCCTCCGCTGGGGAGAAGCTCTTTAGTGTCTAATGTTTTGCTCAGCTCATCGGCCTCTGTTGTGGCCTGCACTAGAGGCGGAAGGCCAGGAGGGAGCATAACTGGCACAGCTGGTAATGGGCTAGAAATGAGGGTGACTGGCACCACAGCCACAGGTGACAGAGGGGAGAGCGCGGCGACGACCGGCACCTCTGGTCTCGTGTCAGAGGGCAGGGCTTCGACGGGGGAGGTCTCCCTGTAAACAGGAGCAGAAACCTGGGAAAGTAGCACAGCTGAGGCCAGGAGCGGGGCCTCGTGAGCAGCCGTGTTCAGCTCAGCCCCGAGCTCCACAAGGCCGTTCAGAGCCTTGGGGGCCAGCGATGGAGAAGCAGCTAAAGTTCGGGGGGTTTCTGACAGAGGCTTTTCTACGTTGGGCATCGGAGGCGCTCCCAGAGAGGTTTTGTTCTCCCCAACAGAGGAGGAAGGTGGGGATGAGGCTGAAGCAGTGGACTCCCTGACTGAGGAACATTCGCTGATGCTGGCCACTGCTGGTGGTAGCGTGACCATGGCGGTATGCGGGACGTGGGGGGGAAGAACTGGTTCCGCCAACGCAGGAGGCTCAGACACAGGAACACTGGCCTCCAGTCTCTCCAACGGAGCTTCAGGCTGCACGAGCCCAGGAGAGGAAGACTTCTGGACAACTGGCTCCAATTTCGGCAGGTCAACTGAAAAGAGGAAGAGAAGAACAAAATGGCTCTAAAGTCCACACATGAAGGTCCAAAAAACACCAAAATTATGCAGAATTACAAGTTTTTCTGATCAGTAATCTTTATTGTTTATAGAAAACCTTTTCACTGACTCAACTGCTGATTTTAAGTCAAGTTAAATATCTGATGTTTGAGCATTAAGCACTCAAATAAAAACAAAACAATGAGTGAATTTAATGTTTTCATAGATGCTGCTTTTCAGCTCTTAAAGGTGAAGTCTAAACAGCAGGAGAGTAGCATTCCCACGTATCAGAGCATGCAGAAGCACTTTTAAAGAAAAGGAAAGGGGACTTTGGGGGCAGACCTGGTTTGGTCTCTGCAGCCCCAGTTGTCAGCGGCGGCTGTGACTGTGGGATCTGTGGCGGCTCCAACACCTGGCCACTGGGATGATGGACTTGCTGTTGCTGAGTGGGCGGAGCCTGCTGCTGCTGCTGCTCTGGAGTCTGGCTGCTGCTCAGCTGCTGCGATTTGAGGTAGAAAATGTGAGGATAATGAGGGTGCGGCCATAAAAACTAGCAACACACAAAACAAGAGCGAGAAGTGAAGAGGTGTAGGCACACAAATAAAGTAACAAGCCCGAGCGCAGGATCAAGCAGAAGTCAGGAGCCCGGCAAGGTATGGTTAGATTAAAACAACAAGAGAAGCAGGGTCAGGGCAGGAGCAATGGCAGCAAGAGGATGAACGCTCAATGTAAAGGACAGAAAAGAAGAATAAAAGGACAGAAAAATCAGAAAAGACACAGTTAACACCCACAAAAGAACAAAGGGAAGGAAAAAGTCACAGATCTTTCTACAGAAAACAAACAAGATTCCAGATTTGGAGGCGTCGTTAGTCTGAGGACGGCTGTGTGACATTTCTGAACCACGGAATCTGTTTGGATTCTGCTGAAGGAGAGGGAGAATACAGACGGGGTAAAAACAAAGACAGCAAGTAAAAGATCTAAACATGTAAACCAGATTCCAGCCAATATCAGAATAAGTGGCTTAAATGAGCTCTAATTAAACCTATTTGAGTTTTTGTTACGAATTTCTTAGATTTGGTGGCCTTAAACAGCAAACTTTACATTTTTACAAAGTTTTATTAAAAATAGGGTTAGGCGATTGGAATTTTCCCCACCGCCAATCGTCAGTCCCAAAAAAAAGACGATGGACGATTTATTCATGCACGTGACGCCATGACGCACGGACACAGAAGAAGCCCAAAGCACAGATTTTTTTATATAAGCGCAGCGCATTTAGATTTTTGTTTTTGTTTAGTTTTGTATTTGTAGTTTGGTAGAGTGACGTAAAAAACACGGTTAAAGTGTTAAAAGAAGCCTGGTCTCTGTTTCCTCGTGGTGCCTACCATTAGGGTATTTTATATATTATATATTAAAGACTTTCTTTGTTTCATGAGTAGGAAATTAAATGAATCGCTGAGGAGGCCGCACGATCCATTTATCCCGTCACTTTCATTTTTAAAACAATGAATAATAATTTGTTGAATTTCCATTCATTTAAATTAATATGTGGTCCACATAAGCTGACCAGAGTGCTCCGGTAGCATTAACAATGCAATTAAACGAAATCACTTAAAGTAGGAACATTTCACCTGCTGCGGCCCAAACGCACGTTCCTCCTGCGCCGCGTAACCCTGAACTGGTCACCTGCAGCTTGTGCGTAATCAAATGTCTTTGAGGTGCTTGTTGAAGAGGTTAAGAGGTTCTGGACTGTTGCCTCAGACAGACTCGTGGATATTTAAACGTTGTTCTGGATGGATCCGCGCTCCGCAGACACACTCGATGCAGGAGCTGAATAACGACGAGCGCTACTTAAATCAGGAAATGTTTCTCCAAATGAAATAACCAGAAGTCTTCCAGGCTTTCTGAAAGACAGAAGGGTTTCCACTCAACACCACGCTGCTGTGGACGATGTGGAGTGCGTCACAGACGCTCTCCAAGCTCCTCCTCTGCGCGCCGCGTGTGCGCCCACTGTCGGCAGCGAGAGGCAGAGGAGAGGAGAAAAGGCTCAGGCGCGCTGATGGAGATCTTTTGTTGATTGTTACCTCTGCGACGTTCTCTGTGCGTAACATGTAAAATATTTTTTGTCATAAACAAACTAACTCACGGGCATACAAACAAACAAATGAACAAACAAATCACCTCCGGTAAAAACACAACTGTATCGGCACCGCCCATTAAAAACTCTAGTTATGTTAATCTAAAAATCTGTTTTTCATCTCAGATCCAGGAGAAGGCATAACATAATCTAATCGGAGAGCCATCAGGACTTTCCAGTGACTCTGGGATGTGCTAATAAATTATGGAGTCATAAAGGCCACGCACCGCTGGCCTCCCCCAAGGTGGTGAAGAGACTACTGGAGCAGAAAGCTCCCACTGTGATTAAGCAACACGAGACACTGCTCCTATTTCAGTGCTGTGCATCACATCTGTGTAAAGTAGAGGCGCTGTACCTGTGGAGGGGTCGGGGTGGAGAAAGGGGGGCCGATAGGAGGCGTTGAATTCCTGCTTCCTGAGCCCCCTGCCAAGATCTCCTCCGTTACATCCTTGCCACCTCGATTTGGGTCACGAATACGGATCTAAAATTATATGAAAAGCAAATAGAAAAGACATTTTAACTGTTTGATTTTTAAGTTTATTCTAACTACTGATAATATCAAACCTGAACTCTCCCCAAACTGAAAATGTCAACAGGAACATTATTAACAAGGTTCACACGTTTTTTCCAATACATTTGCAGTGGGATCTCGTGTCATTGAATGCCCCTGTGAGTCAATCACTGTGGAAAAAAAGCTCCGGCACTCCTGTTTCAGTAACTAGAAGTGAGCCACAGGAGAGGTTAGGAGAAGACGGTATAAACTGGAGTTTTATTTCCTGATATTCAGACATTTCGCCTCTAACTGGCTAAAAGCAAAACCATTCTAACAATGACTCCATTTGCTTTGCATCATTCATGTTTTATCTCCACAAATAACACAAGCCTGAAGGAGTTCTGCTGTGTTGTGGAGTTGCTAATGCTAATGGTTAGCTTCTACTATCAGAGATGTGCTCTAATTTCTCCTGGATGCTAAATCAACAACAGTTCTCCTCATCGTGAGCAAGATGAGTGAGATCATAAGCATTAACTATCGATGAGACATGGAATCGACTGGCTTTTCCAATCCAAGCGTTTCCCATCTGTTTTCTATCAGCGGCTAATGCAGGAAATGGGGTAGAAGACCGATTTCCTGTTTAACCTGCATGTTAAACTCAGAGTAATGGTAAATGGCGTGTACAACCCCCCAAGGTGCTTCATAACACATCCATTCATTCGCTCGCTGGTGATGAGCTACGTTGTAGCCACAGCTGCTCTGAGGCGCACTGACGGGAGGCGAGGCTGCTGAACACTGGCACCACCAGTCCCTCTGACTACCGCCAGCAGCTAACCTGGGTCAAGCGTCTCGCCCAAGAACACGACTGTGACAGATTGAGCGGGACTCGATTCCACTACCTTCAAGTTACGAGACAGGAACCTAGCTCCCCCGCCACCATCGTCCCATGAACTCATAGAGTGGCCGATCACATTTCAAAAACAAGTAAAAAGCTGTTTCTTGGAGAACTCAGTCTTTAAAGGCAGCAACATGCCAAATATTGAAAAGACAAAAAAAAAAAAAAAAAAAAAAAAACACTTGAGACACTCACCGTTTTCTTTTCACGCTTGGCTGAATGTTGTGTAGGCACTAAGATGGGGGGCGAGGGGGGGAACAGTGTCTGTCCTGGGTAAAAGGGCGAGCCAGCTGTGGGGACGGGAGCGGGTACAGAGGGAGAGACTGGAGGGTGGTACCTGAGGGCATCTGAATACATTACCCAGAAAAGAAAAGAACAAAACAGAAGAAAATATGTTCTAGTGAAATAAGGAATTATCACTCTTCTGTGAGCAGACTGATGCGCTAGTGTGAATTCATGATTCTCTGGGAAAGACTCACGATATGGGGCGGGGTACTCCCCTGGTCCGGGACCAGGGTAGAAGGTGCCAGAGCCTGGAGGCTGTACAGAATACTGCTGTGGAGGTCCCACAAAGGGTGTACTGGGTCGATACTGGAAGTACATAGGACACACAAAGATAAACAAATATAGGAATGATGGCCAAGTTTCTCTAAAACCTCCACTGCCCATCTAAGGAATAAAACTTGAGTCACACCACATCGTTTTCAGTAAAAGATCCAGTGCAGTGGTTCCCCAAATCGATGGAGTCACTGCTGACAAACATTTCTTGGACCTGGAATAACTAGGTGGTGGGCACCAACCATCCATAATGCAGGCCTTGGCCTGTGGTTTGCTGCATAGAGCAGTAGCTGAGCTTGTAAAAAAAATAAGGCGTGAACACAGGTCACACATATGATATCAGAGCATTTTTTCGCAGGCAGTAACGTAGCAAAAATAAAAATCCCAGTTACTTACATACACAACAGAGAATTTGCAAATCTCCACTTTGGTCGGAGATTTTGAAAGAATTGTTTCTGGTGCCATAGATCTCAACTTTCAAATGGACGACCCGTAGACCAGGGGTGGGCAATCCCGGTCCTTGAGGGCCACCATCCTATTTGTTTTAGTGTTTTCCCTGTTTCAACACACCTGATTTCAATCAGCAGGTGATTAACCTAATAGATAAACACCTTAGTTTTGTGGGATACTCTGCGACGTGTGACAGGGTCTAAATAGATACTAGGGATGTTCCGATCACATTTTCTTACTCCCGATCCGATTCAGAGTCATTTGATTCTGAGTATCTGCCGATACCGAGTCCCGGTTTCAGAAAAGCAATAAAATAATAATAAATACATTTTTAGCAAAGCATTAAAATAAGAAAAAAGGGGGGGAAATAAATCAGGAATGCATTAAAATAAGAAGAAACATCCAAATTGTTCTTTAAGTTTCACTTTCATTTTTTAAGGAAGTACACCAATTAAAAACTTGTTTATATTGTAAATATACTTAAATGTTGCAGCCTTGCTCTTATTTCAAGTTGTTTACTCCCTCAGTATGTAGCTGTATTGAGCAATGCATGTTCATGTGACGGAGCAGGCAGGCGGGGTAACTGTTCTCTGCATAACACCTGCAGCTCCAGCTCCAGTGCTGCAGGAGAACTGGAAACTGATGTTTTGCAGTCTGTTGGATATTTCTCTTTGTTCAGGAGTGTAACTTTTTCTGTCAGCTGACTCTGCGGTTTTGTCTGACTTCACTGTGAACTGCGACTGTTAGTAGTAAACTGGGGATTAATGGAGACGGTGATTTGCTTTGTTGATGCCTGAAGGGAAAAGCCGTTTCGTACAAGAAACAAATATTATTGATGTAGAGGGACTTAGTAAAACTAAGCCATTTTTATTCAATTGGAAAATCTTTAAAAAGTCATGTTTGTTGTTTTAAAAGGTTAAAGGGACTTTACGGAGTTTTGAATTTTTATGCTCGTGATTGCCCCCTCAGGCCAAAAGTGTAACGGCAGCTTCAATAGTAGGCTCGTGCACGAGGCGCGCATGCTGTACGTGCACACTCCTTAACGAAAATAACAGCTGAGACAGTCCCGTGTGTGTGTGTGTGTGTGTGTGTGTGTGGCCCGGAGGACAGAGAACAGGAGAACGCGCAGCTAATTTGGATCTGTACCTTTCTCTTCAGCACAGCTGACAAAGGTTTATGATGGGTCAGTCTTCCTGCATTATCAGATCATTCCCTTCCCTTGCTTGAAAAATTGTTCCAAAATGAAAGTTGAACCCACATCTTTCTTATCCGTGAATTCAATGCCGTTCAGCGAGTCTCAATTAAAAATTTGGGCATCTTACTGTAAAAAAAAATATTGAAAGTAGCTAAGGGTCCTCAGAAATGTAGCTAGGTTCATCACTAGGCGTTAGGAACAGTGACAAAGTCGCTGAGTTGGCACTGCCTCTCTCTCTGCTGCTAAAGCTACTGATAGCAAATGCTACGGGCTATGCCTGAGTGTGAACGCGCATGAAGCAGCCTGCTCGACCCGAGCACCTCTCTTTTTTCTGTGATTTTACAGAAAAACAGGCAATCACAGTAAAAATGCCAGGGCTCATTCCACAGGACCAGGGCATTGCAGGAGAATGTATGAAGAAGAAATGTATTATTTCTATACATGTTTTGGCTGTCAAACTTCCATAATGCCCCTTTAAATCAGATTTATTTTTCCTAATTCCAATCCTTTCAGAAACACGTGATCGGCTCAGAGCATCCCTAATAGATACACTTACAGGAAGTTTCTAGTTGTCATAAAGACCTGAAGAAGACATTAAAGAAGAGTTCAAAAGTCGAGTTTAGTTTGTTGTACCTGTGGGATGTAGTACTGTGCAGCCTGTGGGGAATGAAAAGGCATGGGTGCCATGGTCATCATAATGGGTTGATTAGCAGGGTAGACTGTAGCCGTGGGAGCCTGCGAGCATGGCCGTATGGAGGGTGTGTTTGCTGGGATGGTGGGCCTTGCAGTCTGCATTTGAGGCCTCTGGAAAAACTGAGAGAAACAACAGGACTCATTAGAAAGATTCTCATGCTGGCATTTTTCACCTACTTAAAAAAAATAAAATAAAAAAAGTCTCCATTTTTATATGTAGTCATCACCAAGAAGACTCTGAAAGCACCTCAACTGGGGTGCGTGTGGTGGGTGGGTGGGGGGCACGGGCCGCCTATTGAGTACAACTGAACTAGAGTGTTAAAAGTATAAAAACAAGTCTAAGAATCAACTTTAACATCCAAACTCACAAAGACAGCCTGTCTAAACATTTGAGCCCCAAAATAGATTTTTAAAATATTAATCATCCAACAAGAGATTTAAAAGAACATGACTAAAGTCTGTTTCTCAGGGGTGTCCACAGTTGTGAAAACGAGGACCAAAAACATCAGAAGTCTGCAGAAAAGGGGCATTTTTATTAAGGAAACACAAAGATTATTTTATGGAGATGACTTTTATTTGTATGCTCAGAAACAGAAGCGAAACAATCTGAACATTGACATTTCACAAGCCTTGAGCTTCTCCCTATTCCCTTTTAAGGACCAAAGAAGAATCTCTAATACCCTCTAAATTAAGAAATTTTTATTTTGTATTTGATTATAATTTGTTTGAATGGTCTGAAGTGAAGTAAGTAAGTAAGTAAGTAAATAAATAAATAAATAAATATTTTCTGCTGGAGACTTAATTTCACTACTCCAAAAATGAAACTGGGGGTCACGTAAAATCATTCTAAGGATCTCAAATTTAGTCCAATGATCCTTTGAATTTTTTAACACTTCCGCTAAAACATTGAAAATCTCGACATCGGAATGACTGAGGTTCCGTTTTCTTTCCTATCTGAGCTACTCAGGAATCCTTACAGTTGTACCACACGTGACATCATTCCGTTTCCCATGCAGATAATTTGTTTTTCAAATGGCATTTGAAGGGGGAAAAAAGGGAAAATGCAGCCAGAATCTGTTGCGTGAGGCACATTTACAGTTTTACATCAGGTGGTGGTTGTGTGAAAAACACACAATCAACAGAAGTGACAGCTGGTTCAAACTGGGAATAAGTAAACGGATCAGAAAATCCTCAGACTGAAGAAAACCGGGCTACAAAACACTGTAAACACCGTCCCAGGAGGGAAATCTAATTCAGCGTATTTGATCAGCCTCAGTGGCTTTATTGTAAATAGCTTTGTGAAAAACCTGGGAAAAGACCGGAAAAAGTTTCATTATCAGCCACCCGGGGAGCGTCTCCAAACCTTGGGTCAAACCAAAACGTGTAAAACTTAAAAGAGGATAAGAAGCAAAATCAGAACATTTTAAAAGACCCACTTTCAGTTTACAAAGAAACTAAAACCCAACAAATCAGAGGAATTTACTGCTGTTCTGCTATTGCGCATGCAATTTAAACCTATTCGAACAATAATAACTACATGACATAAAATATAGAAATAAAGTAGAAGAAAATGAAGGGAAATGGTGATAAAAGACAGGTCTAATCTGTCATGAACATGGATGGAGGTAGTGATCATCATGCCATGCATCTCTGCAGAGGTAAAGTTACCTGGATGGGTCTGAATCCTCCCTTGGGTTTTGAATGCAGTAAAGAGAGAAAAGCCAGTGGGAGGACAAACGGGTGAGATTTAAAACATCCAAACAAAACACAAAAAAACTGATAGTTTCTGCAAATAAAACACAGAGGAGGCTTCTGAGCCACTTCAAAAGGGTTTTATTAGATTTATGATATTTTCATTATTGAAGACCTAATAATAGGAGCCATTAACAAGTCACATTTAAATTATTTTTTCTCAGAAACAGCAGATGAAACAAGCTTGTTTTGGTAACTCGACACAAAAACAAAGACTGAACTCAAACAACACAAGGTAATCAGGATTAAGGAACAGGTTTGTTTTGGCCGAACCAACGTTTTGGCTCTTAGCGTGTTGTTCTCTGCGATCGAGTGCGTTTCAGGAGGACAATAGGCGTTTTCTTCATGAGCATAAAGGGCGACTGTTGAGCTTCATCTGCTTTCCGATTGCACTTCCGTAGTGACACAAGAAACCTCAGCGCCAGTTTGTGACAGCCAGTGCACGCACTTACACTTCCGTACACACACACACACACACACACACACACACACACACACACACACACACACACACACACACACACACACACAATCGCCAGGAAACACAGCCGTTACACTTTCACACAATATTATTAGTCTGTCTGTGTGTCCACACAGAAGCATCCAGATGTTACACCATTCTGATGATGAACATTAGCAGTGGTCAGCTGTGTAAATCATCCCAGCTTAAAACGGGAAAACACAAGAAACCTGGAAACCATCTGGACCCAAACGTCTCTACGACTCTCAGCATTTGACCAGGTAATAATCGGATATCACCATAAATACGGGCCTGTTGAAGCTTCAACGATGTCCTCACACATGCCGATTGGTGCCAGTCAACTGAAGATCAATTCTGAATACCGACTACCTGAACACCAGTCACCCCTTATTCCCCGCCTACCAGTACCCTATAAATAAAGGTTCGGCACTTTGGGTCCATCTAGCATCTGGAATCCACTGGAAGTGTTTGTGTTACTGCGTTCAAAGGTGTGGCTTCACTTTAATGTCCTGTATTTGATATAGCACCTTCTTAAGGTTCTACAACCCCCCAAGGCGCTTCACAACACAGTCACTGACACGCTGGTGGGGATGAGCTACGATGTAGCCTCACTGACAGAGGTGGGGCCTGCCGAGCACCGGCACCACCGGTCCCTTTGACCACCACCAGCCGACAAGGGGGTTTAAGTGTCTTGCCCAAGGACACAGCAGCGGTATTCTTTGGTCGGAGCCGGGATCGAACCTCAAACTTTCTGATAACTTGACAACCCGCTCTATCTCCTGAGCGATGGCTGTCCTCATGACAACTTCAGACCATTTCAAAAGTAAAACCTGTGGTTAGCTGGCTCATTTAAAACACAGAAAGCTTTTAAACCCTGCCTCTTGAAAGAATCTGAATCAAGAACCGATTGGAACCAGAACCGTCAAATTCAAACAAAGCCCAACCCCACGGGTGGCGAGACACCCTAAAAACTATCTGGTGAAATTGCTGAGAAATTGTAGTCAAATTCTCAAAAAGATCTGGTTTCAAAATATACAAAATGTGCTAAAGTGCAGATTCATGCTAAGTGCTAACATTTAGCACTCCAGTCAGCTGTTTTACATAAATACAATAAGGCCTTACATTCAAGGCTCCTTAATGCAAACAACCAGCAAATGATGAAACACTTTAACCTGCTCGACTCCTAAAACCCCAGAAAAATAGGCATGTTGGAATGTCTAAGTAGGCTGGAAACAAACCACGATGCAATGGTGTCAAAAGGACGTATATTAGTTATTTTGGTAGATTAGATGGCTGAAGTACTTTGCCATATCTATTACAAAAAACTTCTTTAAGTACTTCTTCAAAATAATTTCCAGTTTGATATCCAGCATGAGAATAAAATCAGTGATCGATGATCAACTGAGAACCCAGCGATACCGCGCTGAAATAAAATCCCATTACAAACAATCCAATAGACCAAAAGCACCTGTTTATGGGCCAGTAAAGCCAAAAACATGACTTCTTCCAGTCACGACATCAACCAAAACACAGAGAAATTGAATGATTTATTGAGGATATTTTAAACACCTAGCAACACCGAAACGTCTCATGAAAATGAACTTTTTGTCTCCATAGACTTTTAAAGCTGAAATAGCAAATCTACATCCCAGGCTAGCTTTTCAACGCAAACATGGTTACAAAACTCTCAACCCTCCTGCCGGGAGTCCTCCCTGGGCCATGTCCGCTAGAACTGGAACCCACATTGCTGGAGGGAATGGGAGAACACTAAACATTTGCCGTTGTCTAGGTCCAAACATCTGTTGTTACTCATGACTACAAATAGTGTTTTTTTGTTTTAGGGATTCAGGAAGTTTGTCCTAAAGTTGAAGTGGTAGCAGCCGGCTGTTTCTCCTTCTCTGATGTTATTGAGCGGAGAAGCTCTCACACCAGTGGTGTTCTGTAGTTAAATGAGTGGAGGACCCAGGGATACGCGGTAGTTCGGCGAGGCCAACAGCTGAATGGTCCGAGCCGTGTTATTGGTGGTGGTTTATTTGACAAATGAGAGAAGCACTTTATTAATTTCTACTTTCTTTTTCTTCAATCTCCACCTTACATTTGTAGCTATACTATGTTAGAACTTTGTAGCTTTAAAGGCATTCAAATCAGGTTTCAGCAACAGAAAATTCCCACAGAAAGCTCGTTTGGCAACAGGGACAAGCCAACTGCTTTGATGAAGATGACAACGATGCAAGAGGGTATACAGAGGGGGCAGGGGGCATTCAGCGGGGGCAAATTACCTGATGGTGTGTTGGTCGAGGGCCCGTAGCAAACTGGAGGGGGAGGAAGGAGAAGGTCCAGGGAGGAGATTGTAGCAGTGATGGCAAAGCGGGGAGAATAGAGAGCACAGGAGAGACACCGTTACAGCTTAAGGTAAGCGAAGGAACCAGACTCTTGAAAATACAATTTAAATCACACACACACACACACACACACACACACACACACACACACACACACACACACACACACACACACACACACACACACACACACACACACACACACACACACAGTTTAAGTTGAACAACAGCTCACAGTTTTTACTGGCATTAACATTCTGATGTTCTAAAATATCAGAATGTGTAATTTTATGTTTTAAAGGACATTGTGCTCAAATTAGAGTGACGCGTGGCAGACTGGACTAACGTGAACCCAAATGTGACTGAATGTGTAAATACCTGTTGACTGAAATCAGATAGACTTTTCGCTGCTGACGGATACTCAGCAAGAGCCCGGCGAGATTTATGAATAATGCAACATCAAAATCAGCGATGCACCGATATGAAATGTTTGGGCCGATACCATATTAACATCACTGTTATGGCCGATAACGATATACTGACATTGATGCTACTAAAATCAGATTTTGTATAGAATGAAAATGATTAAAGCTGAATGTACATTATTATGTACGCACACATTTACGCTTCAGAGATAATTACAACCGCTGTCACATGACTAACCCCCCCCCCCCCCCCCCAAAAAAAAAAAAAAAAACAGATAAACAAATGGAAACAAGATGGCAAAAATATTGGTTGTTAATATCGGCCCGATACCGATATGTTAAAAAATGACTAACATCTGCAGAAAACAATATTGATGCCAATATATTGTCCATCCCTCGTCAATATTCTATCTGGGTATTTACTGTTGACCTTTTGTGATGGGATGGGACATTCTTGTGAAGGATTGTAAGGATTTGGCTAACTTGAAATGGCTTTCCCTAGAGGAAAACACTTTACATTTCAAATGAAACTTCCAAACTCATTTTGAGGGTCGACAATAGACTAAACTCTGTAAAAGATTCATTAAAAGCTCAAATATCTAAGCACAGGGTATCTGCAGGTTTAAGGGAGCCAAATTTAAGACTTTTTAAGACCTTTTTAAGGCCACTTTGACCAAATTTAAGCTATTTTTATAATAAAATTTAAGCTATAATTTCCATATTGCCTGGAACCGGTGCTAACCGCGTCGTGAACATGGGATTAGCCATCTAGTTACCATTAATGTTGCACTTCCCATGGCGCAAACTCCCACTAGCATGCTCATCTAAAAATAGCCCCTTTCACAACCAACCAAATGTGTACGGTTCCGCTTACGCCAACATCATACACAAAAAATGCTGAACTAACTAGAAATTCACGAAAATTTTATAGAAATAAGAGAATCTTGTTTACTGGGTCTTTGGTAATTTAAGACCTTTGGAAACTATTTAAGGATTATTTGTCATTTTTAAGGATTTTTAAGGCCTTAAATTTGTAAAAGCAAATTTAAGACTTTTTAAAACTTTTTAAGGACCAGCAGATACCCTGAAGCAAATGTTTAAAGACATCCACAAACAGTGAATCCAAAAAACAGAAACGTTTCATTTCCTTAAGGCTGGACAGGCTTAAGTGATAATTTTCATTATCATCTTATATTAGTGCTTGTTTACCAATATTTGTTTTTAAAAATAAATGTCCCAACATGTGCACCAAAGTCAGGGACATCTTTACGTGGCAGTTTGGAAGCAAGATTAGGGAGAAAAATGATGCAAACTTGTTTTCTTTGTTATCAGCAACAAGACGGCACACAATGACCCCATAAGCAAATGATGAAACCTCATCAGATCAATAAAGCAGATGTTTAAGTACATCAGTCAGCAGCTGGTGAGCTCTTACTGGATCTTTTGTGTTCACTTTTTAATGACAGTTTTTTTAATAACAAGTAAAAAACGCCATCTAAAAGCAGGTTTCCACAAAACTTCTAAAGCGAGAGAAACTCACCGGGCGACTCTGTGGCTGTGCATTCATTGGCTGCGTCTGGGGGGAATACACTAAAGGAGCCGAACCAGCGTTTTGCACAGGGTTATATGGAGACTGTCAAAAAAAAAAAAGAATGGAAGTTTTTTTTTGCATACCATTTGGAAAATACACATCAATGCATCCCAATATTTTACACTCTGCAAGACCTGAATTAGATAAAACACATTTATGCTGAATGTTGCGGGGAGAAGGTGGGGTTTATGTATAATTGGTACCCTCAAGCAGTGCAAATCCTGTATTCCTTTCATTCTTCATCTAGAGTGGCAGAAGAGGGTTTAAGGAGATCTAAATTTTCCTTTAAGTGGCTGTTGCTATGATTATGATGACTAAACCTTGTGCTGGCTGACATGACTATTTATAGAAGACTGGCAAGTGACCTGAGCTGCTTTTGAGTGAGGCAGTGGGCCAGTAGGCGCGAACGGGAAAGAGGAACAGCTAGATTCTTCTCCACTCTACAGCTGCTGAGTCACAGACTCAACATGCCTGTAAGTGAGAGCAGCAACACCATCAAAAACGCCAGTGAAGGCAGCAGCGTCACTGTCTGCTGGCGTTAGTCTGAAACTAATGAACAGATCTTCACTGAGGTTACATTCACAAAATGATAAGGAGGTATTTCAAAGAATAGAATAAACACTAAAGGGTGACAGCATTCAGTCTGATGTCTGATAATGCCTGATTTATTCTGGTTCCGTCACTCCCACCATTATCATCGGCCAATTGCATGTACTGATCTCGTGATGGCTACAAAAAACTCCTGGCACTCGGAAATAAAATTAACCAGTGAGTTGGAAAAAAAAAAGAAAAAAAAAAGCAATCTGAACTGAATAAAGTTGAGCCTTACTGTATGCCTTTAATCTATCTTTTCCATCCTTATTGAATATTATAAAAGTTTTATACGATCTGTACCAAAAGAGACAAAGTCTAGAAGAGGTAAAAATTCTCATTTGTTAAAACAAAGTTTCAAAAGCTAGACTTTTTTCTCCATTTTAAAACATAAAAGTTACATAAAAATAAAAACCAGCAGGTTTCTGTTTATGGGGATTCATTAGTTACGTGAGAACCCTGCGACAGGACTTGCCTGCTGTACACCTTGGTCAGCATGAAGGACTTAGAAGAACACAGTAGATGCATGTATCTTATTGGCAGCAATGGACTGAAGATGTGCTCATGTTCTACATAGACCATGAACACACATAGCCAGGTACCCCTTTTAAATGTTACGCACAGAGTCCATCGCGGAGGTAGCTAAATCAATCCACATAGTTCTGGAACCCAAGTTTCTTTTTTATTTGTGGTTTTTAGTGGTCAAAGGTTACAATAATAGCCTACTGCCTATGTGTAGTTACATTATTATATTTTTGGAATAATTCTCTAAGTGTATTTGTTGCTGTAAAATGTGAATTTCCCCACTGTGGGATCAATAAAGTCCATAAGAAAGTCCAAAAGATTCCCATGTGGTCATTACAACGGGACACCCCACTCATGGTACTGAAAATGACGGATAACAAAAATGTCTAGAATGACTTCTGTGTGTACCCAAGGTTTTTTTCCCTAGATGCATTCTGGGTTTTACACAACCCTGACTACATGTGTACACGGTCACCATCATTTTTTTTTTAATAAAAAGCCTTCAGTCCTTTCCATTCATGTCCCTCACAGTTTTATCCTTTGTGGTGAAATAACGACGGTGTCTATGCAGCATTTATTCTGGAGCGAGTAAAAAGAGTTTCGACTACAACATATTTTTATGCTTTATGCAGAATTGCCACGTTTTACTTAGGTGTGCAAATTACAATCTATTTGTCTTCAAAAATACATGCAGGAGTTGCAGTGACACCACTGTCCTGAACTTTTAGGCTGCATTAGCTGATTTTAGCAAAGCTTCGGCTGGCTTGTTGATTGAGAGGGTTTAAGTCACACAAAAACCACAAAGTTAACTAAAAATCCTTTGCTTCACCTGAGGAAACCACCTTGTTAGCTAATTAAATCAGAAACTGCAGCACAACTCCAACAGTAAGGTCCTCTGAGCTAAGGCTTTCAAATGAACTCTCCAGAAGAAATTATATCAACCTGTTGCGACGCATTTTTTTAATTCATGAGGGCTTTTGGGGTGCAAAAAAGTGCTGCAGCTAATTATTACATGGAAAATGACTTCAAATGAAAGATTTTGTATGAGTCAAACTTATGCTAATGAAACCAGAGCAGCTCAGACTCAAACAAGCAAACGAAAGACCGATTCATTACCCCCCCCCCCGTAACGTCCACACACTCATGCACAAGACTCACAGATTAACAGTAAACATGTGTTAACACAGACTTTACTGAATACATTTTTAGGAGTTTAAACTATTGATTTGAGAAGAAGTGCACAAACAACTGATCCATCTATCTCTAATTAGCACCACAGACAAAGACAAAAATACAAATGACAAGACCAACACAAGAGAGGATGATGACGGCGGCCATATTGACAAACTCACCCCACCTCCTGTCTCCCAGCCTTTAGGGTAGCGATATGGAGAAGCGGTGGGTACTGATACCTGAGAGAGTGCTGGTGAGTGGGCATGACCAGGCGGGGTTCCCGCCAAGTTAGGATGTCCCTTTGTAATGTCAGGGCCCGTGAAGGTTGGGCCGGTATGTCTGGGTACCTGCAGGGCAAAAGGAGGCGCTTAGGCAGCTGTACTGAAAAAAGATGTGACCCACATGTGGGATTGAACAGATGATTTCTCGTCCTGCCAGACGGGGGGGGGGGGGGGATTCCCATGTTCAGAGAACCCATCTCAGGCTACAAGCCCCCATTTATTTCACCTGTGTCATCAGTGCAGTCCTATCAAAACAATCTTTCAGGTCTCAAAAGTCTCACAATCTTTCCTGAAGCAAATAAAGAAGCACATTGTGGAGTAAGCTTCGTTTCAAGTAAACAGTGGCATTTCTAGTGCAATGTGGATCCACTTAGAGTACCGCCCACATTTGAGAAGTGTCTCTACGGTACAGAGCTGTCATGGGCCTAAAAGGTTAAATCAAGGCATAACAAAGGCTTCAGTATTTTCTGAATAAATAAACCCATTTTTAGTTTGTTTTAAATGAAAACAACAACAACAACTGTCAGTTTCATTTAGATGTGTTAAAATCCATAAAGAGAAAACGAAACTTGCATTCTGTTACTCATCTTGTTGTTAGCATTCATTCAGAAGGTGTTGACCAATAAAAAATACAAACGGCATTTAATGAAAAGTCAGTCATTTGTTTTGTGCATACGGCAGATGTCCATACGGATCAACATGGATCTGGCTATGTGACATGGTGGTCACGATTATACATTTTATGGTAGGGCAAAACAGTATTTAGCAGCCACTGAGTGTGCAAGTTGTTCCACCTAAAAGCTGGGCTGTAAGTTCATCATAGGTGCACTTCACCTGTGAGAGATTAAAAAAAAAAAAATCAGGAAATCACATTGAATGATTCTTAAAGAACGTTTTTATATAATGAAGCAGGAAATAAGTAGCTTTCACAAACGAGCAAGAATCCTGTCCCTCAGACCCGCTACTTCCTCTTTGCGCTTCTATCCTCCCCTCGTTACCTGTTTTAATAGCACCTGTTTGTGTTCGTTATCTGTAATAAAAGACACCTGTCCACACCTTCAGTCAACCTCCACTATGCATCAGCGTTGCCACAGTTACTTTGAAATAGTAACTTGATTACTGATTCCTCTTTCCAAGAGTAACTTGGTTACTTTACTGATTACTTAATGTTGAAAATCACTAAGTACAGTGTGGGTAGTCAGGTTGCATCCAAGCACTGGGTCGTACAGTGTGAGAACACGACTCGTGAGCTTTGCTCTGAGGAATTTGTACGGAGCTGAATGCTGCGAGTGAAAAAGTGACAGTGTACGCCCGGCTTAAGGAGTCCAGGGACAAGTTTTTACACCTGCACACGACTGGGATGAGCCAATCTACAAAAGGCAAGCAGCTTGGTGAGAGGAGATCAACTGCTGGAGCATTTGTTAGAAAACGAAATATATACGAGATCACTGATGATTTCCTTCGACCTGGGGCTCCATGCACAATCTCACCTCATGGGTACAAATAATCTTGAGAATTGTGACGAAACAGCCCAGAACCACACGGGGGGGGGGGGGGGGGGGGTCATTGGCCTAAAGAGAGCTGGGACTACAGTCCTAAAGGTTACTATTATTAACGCACTACATCATCATGGATTCAAATCCTGCAGCAGAGCTCAAAAGGTCCCCCTGCTTAAGCCAGCACATGTCCAGGCCCATCTAAAGTTTGCCAGAGACCAGCTGAAGATCCAGAGGAGGACTGGGAGAACACTGTGTGGTAAAGTGAGACCAAAACAGAACTTTGTTGTGTAAACGCCACTTGCCATGTTTGGAGGGGAGAGGATTCTGAGTGTGCATCCCATACACACTGGGAAACATGGGGATGGAAACATGCTTTGGGGCTGAATGGGGCCATGTATCATGAGATTTTGGGCAGAAACCTCTTTCCATCTGCGAGAGCTTTGAAGATGATGCGTGGCTGGATCTTCCAGCATGACAATGATCCCAAACACAGCGCACCAGCAACAAAACTGTAGCTTCATAAAAAGCAGTTCAACGTTCTGGAGTGCCTAGCCAGTCTCCAGAGCGTCAACAGTCCAATAGAAAATCTGTGGAGGGAGTTGAAAGTCTGTAGAGCCCAGCGACAGCCCCAAACAATCACAAAATGGGCCAAAATACCAGTGCACTCAAATTTTGAGGAGGACCTACAGGAATTATTAAGGTGAACCTTTATTCAGCAGCCAACACTTCTTTTTTTAAACTTTATACAAATAAACTCTTTCAAAATCATACAGTGCGATTCCCCAACTGTTTTTGCATTCTGTCTCACAGTTTAAGTGTACCTATGAAAATTACCAACCTTGCTCATCTTTGTAAGGGAGACAACGTGCACATTCAGTGACTGCTCAAAAGTAGACACTGTATATGTGTCAGTACAAATCCTCACAATGGGTTGGCTATACAGTAATTCATCTGGGAGGGAAACTTTTAAATGTTGACAACTGACAAAGCTACAAATGCATACATTGTTAACTAACTAATAATTTTACTGACAGCAAAGAAAGTGTGTTCAATATTGTTTTTGTCCTAATGGTAAATAAGAAGACACCAATGGCTGCAAAGCCCTGCCAAGTCTTAATGACCAAAGCTAATTATCTGCCCGATCCTTTTAGCTGTTGGCACTTTAGGCAGGTAAAAAATAAATAAATAAATAAACAAGTCCATCAGCACTGGCATGACAAAGACCTGGCACAGCAGCTGAAAGTAACCTCTTGGCCAACTAAGCCAGAACAGATCACAACACTATTTCCCAATGAGCCAAAAATAAAATAAAAATAAAATAAATAAAATAAAAAACTGAACGCCTTTTGCACTGAACTCAGACCACTATCTCACTGGGCTGTGACGCATGAGTCACGATGCCTCACTCCAATGCTGCTGGAACTTTAAACCATGTTGAAAAACTAACTTAAGTTCTAGTTGCAGCCCTTTTAGCCTGTGGCTTTGTCTATTTTTCCAACCTATAAAGATAAAACTACAAAAATCTACTTGTTTATGATGTCCTGGGGAAAAAAGTCCCGATATGAATTTTTCATGCCAAGATGAGGTAAGGGTGAATTTAAATCCAAAGACTCACGCTGTAAACAGCAACTCCAGGCTGTGTGGGGAAGATCCGGTCGTCCAGAGAGGGCTGAACACGAGGAATTCTGATGAAAGTGTGTTAAAGAGCATTCAAAGCAGCTGGTGACTGAAATGAGTTGGATGTTAGACAAGATAACTCAGATTTGATTGAGACAAATGTTAATTTAACAAACACTTAATTCTAATCACTACAACTTCATTCAGCAACAGTCAAACTTTTATTATATTTGATAAACACACTGGCGGATTGTGTTGATGCAACTTCATTTTGCAGCTGCATGTTTTCATAAACTGTGTTAATCTTCTTTACATCCAGCAGGGCTTTCCCTAAAACCCTGTGGCTTGCATGGTTAATGTGATGGATCTCCCCCAATCAATCCACGCTAAGCGCCCGATCCGTTCTGAGTACACCATGTACCATCACCATTCTGCAAGAGGTAAAAGGAAAATCTGAACTGGATTCCTGGGCTGCATCTGCCAGAGTAGGGAATCAGACAACTGTTCATCCTTGTGTAGAAAGAATCATTGTTTTATTCTCTTTCTGCAAGCTGAAAAACACATAACTGATTCAACCACTCATGCGTGGTTGCTTAAGATTTTATTAACGCCAAGGTGACAATCTGAAGAGAACTTATGAAACATGAAAGACCGAGTCGTTAGGAAGATATCCGTCAGACAGGAAAAAAGAGGTAACACGTAAATATTCAAACAGCAGAGGAAAGTCCTGTGATTAGTAACCTGCTCAGGCAGTCGTCTGCGACACTCAGCTGATCACATGGTTTATGGGAAACCGAACGTCTGGCTTTCTTCCTTACACCCCCCCCCCCCCCCCCCCGCCAGCTCTTTTCCCTCACTCCAGTCATCTCCCTTGGCCCCATGCCAGCACTGCTACTTGTAGCCTTTGGAGGGGGTGTGGGAATAGACTACAGACTCATTTTTTATAAAGGCAACAGGCTAAAATGCAGAAGTACAGCAGGAAGCATTTTCCATTTCACTGCTGGAGGACTTAGAGAATGATGCATGCCCCCACCACATGCTCACACATGCAGAAATCCACTAGAATAAGGGTTTTATTTACTCCTCAGAGGTGTGGTGGTCTAGATGGAAATTAGCACCTAAAACTGGGGTCAAAACCCCAACTTTGGGTGCTAATCTCTATATTTATATGATGAAAGGTGACCTAAAAAACAGTAACAAGACAGAAATGGGCCTAGGAGCTTAACCCTCTCAGGCTCAAAATAAGTTTTGATAAAAGGACTAACAACTAAGTCCTTCAGGGGTACTTCTGAGTTTAAAAATGCTCATGAAATACGTATGTGGAGAAACCAGGTAGGTAGGTTTTAACGTTGCAAATCTGCAACGCCTGCCTCCAGAGGGTTAATGACAAACAAAAGCAGGGGCACTCCCACCTGTACATCAGAGGTTGATGAGCATTAAAAGCAGATGCAAAAACAAAAAGGTAAGATGAGTATAAAGTGCTAGCTTCATTTTTTTCCCCAACAGCAACAAAATTGTAAGGGCTAGATCTTTAGATGGCTCAAAGCCAGCATGCAGATTTCTGTTTTCTCTAAAGGGAGAACACCTGCAGTCACGCAGAATGAAGTTATGCAGCAAACTTTGAGAGCAGCTTTAAGGGCATTGCTTGTGTCGTCTGTTTAGCTCCAGCAGTCTCCCGTGTGAAGTTTTAGGAGGAACTGTATTCCTCAGAAAACCCATTTATGAAACACATACAAAAGTGCGTTTTACCAGAGAACTGACTGCAGGCCCACTCATTCTAACAACTGTGTCACTTTCATGTTTGCATCAAATGTCCTCTTTGAGATCACACAGATATTTTGGCTTCTTATTCATCAGGTATAACTATGTTTAGAAACACGCTATAATTGCTCTCTTCAGTTTGTTTGATGTGTCATATTCCTACTGAATCTAGTTTTCCTAGCATAAAAACTGACATTGTTAACCTGGAAACAATTGTAATGCCTCATCTATTAGCTTCAGCTTTCAACACCCAAGATGTTTTTACAAAGATGTATAAAAAAAAGAGTAATGGATTTGAAACGATGGTTTTCACAGATTTGAGTCTCTGTTATTATTTTAACGCTAAATACAAACATACTAAAAACCATTAACTCATATTCATACTATACACCACCTTGCAAAAGTATTTATACCCCGAGAACTAATTCGTGGTTTTCAAATTTTACACAACTACAAAACCAAAAAATGTGGTGTGCATTTGTCTTGAAACCCCTGTATAAAATCCAATGCAATCAATTGCCTTCACAAGTCCCCTAACTGAATAATGGAATTCACCTGTGTGTAATTTAGTCTCATTATAAATACCCCCTTTATTGAAGGCTTTAATGGTTGGAGAAAATTATTGAACTGCCTCATGAAGACTACGGACCCCCCCAAACACATCAGGGGTAAAGTTGTGTGCAAGTTTAAATCAGGGTTAGGTTATAAAAAAATATCACAAGCTTTGAACATCAAGGAACACTGTTCACCCATCATCCAAATTGTAAAAATATGCTACAACTGGAAATCTACAAAGTCCAACCAAGCTGAGAGCGCTGGTCAGAGAAGCTCCCAAGAGGCCCATGGTCACTTTGGAGGAGCTGCAGAAATCTTTCGTGGGACAACTGAAAATCATGAACTCCACAAATCTGGCTTTTATGGAAGAGAGGCAAGAAAAAGGCCATTGTTAAAAGAAAGACAAAAAAAGTCCCTTTTGCAGTTTTCCAGGAGTCCTGCCGGAGAAAAAACAGCTAACAAGTGGAGGAAGGTATTCTGGTCAGATGAGACCAAAGTTGAACTTCTGGGCCTAAACGTAAAGAAAGTAACACTGCCCATCACCCTGAACACACTATCACATGGTAGGGTAGCTGATGGAAGATGGGTGGAGCTAAATGTGGGGTAATCTTGAGAGAAAACTTGTTGGGAGACTTCAAAGGACTTAGGACTGGGAACGAGATTCACATTCCAGCAAGACAATGACCCTAAATATAAAGCAACATCTACAATGGAATGGTTTGGGTTACAATTTATATGTGCTAGAATAGCCCAGTCAAAGTCCAGACCTAAATCCTAGAGAATCTGAGGCAAGACTTGAAATTGCAATTCACTGACACTCTCCGCCCAATTAGGGTGAGATGGAGCCATTTTGCATTGAAGAATGGGGAGAAATGTGAGTCTCTAGACGTGCAAAGCTGGTAAAGACAACCCCAGAAAGACTTGCATGTGTAATTACAGCAAAAGGTGGCTTTAGCATTGACGTGGGGGGATGAATACAAATAAAGGGCACTTTTTAGATTAGAAAAAAATTTGCTTAAAAAATTTACATTATGAAAACTTTTTCAGTTTAATTCCACTTCACAACTAGGTGATACTTTGTATTGGTCTATCACCGGCAGTGTCAATGTGAAAGTCCGTGAATAATGGAAAGTGCTTTGAGTGCCTAGAAAAGCACTATAAAAATCTAATCCATTATCATCATCACAACCATCACCACCACCACCACGGAAAATCTCATTAAAGCAGGGGAGTCAAACTCAAATTCACACGGGGCCGAAATGAAACTCTGGGACGAAGTCGCGAGCCAAACTTATTTCCTCAAATATTTTTTGAAAAAGTGACGGCAAATTTGCACATTTTCTTTATGAACATATATGCAATTTTGAACCTTGTAATTTGGAAACAAACTTATTTTTGCATTAACACTGAATGTGGAATAACCACATGAGCAAGTCAATGTTAAATAAAACGCATCAGTGGTATTCATTACTTGTGGTATATTCAGCATTTTTAAAATCTATTCAGGATTTATGTTTTCTTGTTGTTTGATTTTTCTTATTTTTTATTCTCCTTTTTTTCTCCTGTAATACGTGTCATCGCTGCTGTGACGTCTAGCTTTCCCCACTGAGGAACAATAAAGGGATTTTCTATTCTATTCATCTATCTGCAGCCTTTCCCGTTCCTGTTTACTGTAGGTTAAATCTTTTCTCACGGGCCAACAACAAAATAAAAATATAATTTTACCTTAAATGAAAATGCAATATCTCACCTGTTAACTTTCATGTTTTGGAGCAGAAAAAGAGCATAAAACCAACATATTTAAAGCTCAGTTTGCTCCACTGGTTTACTGTGATGCTCACCTGTTCCAGCCAGATACCTGCATCATGGGGCTGACCTGAGCTGAGGAGGAGACTCCTGTTGTTTTGTTCATCTTCATCATAATAATGACAACATTAGATGACAACAGGTGCTCACACAGGTTTGTGCTGCTGAACATGTCTGAGCAGCTTGACCACGTTGTTGTGTGTCGGGGAGGAAAAATAACAACTACAGCAGCCACAGAGTCATGCTGATTTGAGCGTGTCGCTCGCTGCTCGCTGGAGTTATATCAGCTCTGTCTGGAAGTTAGTTGGAAAACTTTCTCTTTCAGTTGTGAACACATTACTGAGCGGTTAAAATCTCTGTTTCAGGGCTTCAACGTCAGAAAATAGCTGAGTAAACTCGGCGCTGAGTGAGAAGAGTGTTTAGTTTGTCAGAGACAGCGGAGCTGCAGACACCGGCAGTGGACACTGGAAAAAACACAAAAGAGGGGGCGGCTCGGCTCCGCGCTAACGCCGCAATGCATCATGGGAGTGGTAGTCTTTGCAGTAAAATCGGCCAGCGGGTCAGTTTTAATATATTTTTGATTATATTTATCTCACAGGCCACATAAAAATGCTCCAGATGTGGCCCGCGGGCCTCGTGTCTGACAAATGTGCATTAAACCTTCAGGTTTGTGATTGAAAGGTGTCAAAATGTAAAATTTCAAGGGGTATGAATACTTTTGTAAGGCACTGTAAACTGATTAGGCAGTGCAGAATCCACAAGATCCAACTTGTGGTGAAACATTTCAGTCAAGCTTTCCATGTGGCTGGCCAAGCAACCAAGAGAGTTCTGGTGTTTTACAGAATAGCTTCACAGGTACTAAGCACAACCACAAAAGTGGCTGTCCAATTTAGGCAAATAGTTTGATTACATCTCCTCATCTGCTGCTATGGATGATGACGATGGC